CATACACAAATTCTCAGTAACAGCGAAACCCCTGACGGACCTATTCAGAAAGGCAAAAGAGTTTATTTGGGGAACTAACGAAGAACAAGCATTCAAAGAACTTAAGGAAAAGTTTAGTTAAAGAGACATGCAAATACACTTCAACCCAAACAAAGAGAGTTATCTCAATATAGACGCATCAGACTGTGCAATCGGAGCATGGTTATAACAAAGAGACAACACAGGAAAACTAAGATTGGTTACATGCTACGCAAGAACCATAACCCCTGCAGAACAGAATTATAATATCCATAATAAAGAATTACTAGCAATTGTTGCAGCATTTAAGAGATGGAAGCAAGAGCTCCAAGGAGCAAGGCACCTAACCACAGTTATCAGTGACCACCAGAATCTGACATACTTTATGACGACCAAGGAACTCACTTGTTAATAGTCAAGATGGTACACTGAGGTACTAGCCTACTACAACTTTAAAATACAATATTGCAAAGGAATAGAGAACGCCTTCGCGGACGCGTTGAGCAGAAGACCAGATTTGATAATAAAGAAAAGAGAATCTAGAGCAATATTGCATCTAGATCCAGATACCAAGGGTATGATCTTAGATCAGCAAGCATTGAGAGCTACTCGAACAGTCATAACCGAGGAAGATACTCTGATGAACAAAATACGAAAAGCAATAACAAAAGATCCCTTATTTGGATAAATCAAGGACAACAATGAAAAATACAAAAAGGAAAACGGAATACTTCTATATCAAGGATTGATATATATACTCAGAGAAGTATGACCATGAATACTAAGAGACAACCATAACGCAAAGGTTGCAGGATATTTCGGAATTAAGAAAACCATGGACCAAATTACGCAAAACTACTATTGGCCAGGAATGTGGAGAGAGATCAGATGATACATCCAGGAGTGTGAAGTTTGCCAATGAAATAAATCAGAATGACACGCGCCATATGGACTTCTATAGCCTATACTATATAGAGAAATACTATGGAAATTAATAGCAATGGACTTTATAGTTAAGCTACTGAAATTAACAGAGCCATAAATGGGTATTCAATACAATTCGATACTCACAGTCACGGACAAACTGATGAAGTATACTTATTTCATACTATTTATTGAAAAGACCACATCATCGGAGACAGTATATATCCTATTATAACATGTCTTCACAGATAAAGGATTACTGGACAAAATTATATCAGATAGAGACATAAGATTCATATATAAATTCTGGATAACACTTACTGAAAGAATGGGGATTAAATAGAAAGCCTCGACGGCATATCACCTATAGATAGACAAACAAAGCGAAAGGATGAACCAAATAGTGGAACAGTACCTGAGATGTTATATTAACTACAAATAGGATAACTGGGTTTCACTACTACCAATGGTATAGCTCGCCTATAATAGAGTGAAGAACGCCTCGATAGGCATGACACCTTTCTTTGCAAATTATGAAAGAGAAATAGAAATAATAAAAACACTAAGAGAAGGCAAAACACACGCCTTAGAAGCAGAGGTTTTAGTAGAACAAATGCGCGAACTCCATAGACACCTATAGTTGAATCTCAAATTCTTGAACTACAGAATGAAACACTACTACGACCAATAGCACGTGGAAGCGCCAGACTTTAAGAAGGGGGAAAAAGTATTTCTACTCTAATGAAATATTAAAACACTGAGACCAAGCGACAAACTGGACCACAAGAAACTAGGACCATTCAAGATTTTGGAAAAGATTGGACGACTTAATTACAAACTCCAACTCCCAGACCACATGCAAATATACCCAACGTTCCACGTCTCATTATTTAAAAAAGCACCCCAAAACACCAAACCATACAAACCAGAGATACAACCAGAAAATCAAGAAAAAGAATATAAAGTTGAAAAGATCCTAGACAAGAAAGTGATTAGTGGAAGAACTCACTACTTAGTCAAATAGAAAGGATATGACTTTTTGGAAAATACTTACAAGCTAGTATGATATCTTAAGAACTCGCCAGGACTAGTCAAAGACTTTTACCAAAAGGTTTAGAAGTAGGAGAAGACGCTTCGAGAAGTTGATCAATAGAAATGCCACTAGAGGATGGAGGACCGATGAGGAGTTCATTAGTAGTATTAAAAGAAGCGGCTTTATCAGACAACTCGACCTAACGCTGACGGAGCTCAAGATTATGAGCCATTGTAACTAAAAGCTTGTCTTGAGCCTTAGTGAGCTTTTCCTGGGCCCGACGGACCATTTGGATGTTGCCAGCGATATTCATGTTGGAATTGCTAAGACGGTAAGGAAGCCAGGCCAATTCTTTAGCTCAAGGAGAGTCATCCACAAGACGGCTGACGCAAGGACAATCCTTATGAACACAAGAGGAACAACGTTTGCTGCGGGAATCCATTATAACATAAGGCTGAAGAGACCAAAAATAGTTATCACAACAAGAACGCGATAAGGAACCGGAATAATTAATGGCTGCCGCCAGAATCATATACTTAGTAGCCTGGTTGCGGGGAAGATGGGAAGATTTCTTTATAAGGGAACGGGGAGCTATAATAAAGGAAGAAAGGAGACTTACCTAATAAAAAGGAGGGAGATATATTTGCTACTTATATACTCGTTAAGACGACTCAATGAGAAAGGAGGGGATGATGTTATAGACCACCTGCGGCGCAGCCATAGGATATACACTCATTGGACAACAAGATTCCAGGACGGAATAACTACACATCACGTGACCATAAGGACAGGTCCCAGATGCCAAGACCAGGGACAGGTCCCTATGGGACCAAACATAAAAGGTCCATGAAGGGACCGGGACATCAGGTCTATAACAGGACCTGAGAAGAATCAGGAGGAAGGGACCAAATATACCATATATATAAAGACGCTTATTTCCTCAGGATCAAGAGTCTTATACTTATAATCAAACTAGCTACAGTTTTACTATACTGCTTAATACAAAGCACCATTCTAGTTGTCTTATACTATATTTACCAAATACCTCTTTGCCTATTGACGCAGGTTAACTTTGTCTTCACTGCTTATAAGGACCTTTAGCCTTTATCCGACCCAGGCACTGACTGAAGCCACACTTAGAACTAAGGGATAGTCTTGCTATAGTATTCTATCTCGCCCTGGTACCAAGCCGTCTCCTATAATAACTTACTTCCAACCTAAGCTTTCTCTAAGACCTTCGTACCTTGTTACAGACCACCTGCGGCGCAGCCCCAGGATATACACTCATTGGACGGGAGGATCACGGGCCAGACCTTGAGGGCACCAGTCACGTGACCAATAGCGATAGGACCGATAGGACGGGCTTGGCAGCTTCCTATCGATACTATCACAACAACCGATAGGAGTGATAGGAACCCCTTGGCGGAGGACTATCGCACCTATCACTAGATATATACCATGTATATAAAGACGCTCATTACCTTAGGATCAAGAGTCTTATACTCGCGATCAAACCAGCTACAGTTTTACCATACTGCTCAATACAAAGCACCATTCCAGTTGTCTTATACTATATTCACCGAATACCCCTTTGCCCATTGACGCAGGTCAACTTTGTCTTCACTGCTCACAAGGACCTTCAGCCTTCATCCGACCAAGGCACTGACTGAAGCCACACTTGGAACTGAGGGATAGTCTCGCTATAGTATTCTATCTCGCCCCGGTACCGAGCCGTCTCCTACAACGACTCACCTCCAACCCAAGCTTTCCCTAAGACCTTCGTACCTTCTGTCTTACGGCAGGTGTGAACCTCTGATCACCTTTAGGTAATCAAGGAGCGCCGTCAGCTTGTGACATACCTTCTGTCTTACAGCAGGTGTGAACCTCTGATCACCTTTAGGTAATCAAGGAGCGCCGTCAGCTTGTGACACTTTTAAGCCTAAGAATATTTAAAATAGCTTTACTATAACTGGGATTAGTCCATTTGATCTAGATATAGTGGTCTAAAAGCTTAATATTCAACTTCGTATATCTACCCCCCTAGGAAGCCGATTAAGCAACTCTCAGTTATCTTGGGGTCTATAAATACCTAGTAACCCTTACTAGTTATACAGACAAGTAAATAAGGTTAAGAACCTTTTCAGACAAGACCATACAGAACCCTCTAAGCAATTTAGGGAAGGCTTTGATCAAATTATTAAGGCCTATGAGTACGGGATGGTTACTACAACAATAATAAAGAAGCAATATCAAGATATATTTACTATAAACAAAAAGGAGAAGCAAAAACATACAAGATCTAGCCACAGAATTTAACAACTAGGGGGTCTTACAAGAGAAGAAGCTCAAAGCCTTGTTACTCCCCCTGATTTACCTACTGAACGTACAATCGACTAGCCTACAGAAACCAAACCACCAGTCTTATAACCACAATTATGAGCTTAACCACGATATAGTAATTATAATATTCTTAGATATAGAAGAACAAGATGTCCTAATCCTAGTATTATTTAATTTTTAATTTAATAATTTTTTTTTAGAATTAAGAATTATATTAAGAACTTACTAATCTATATATAATAAAAATTGTGGCTCGCTCGCTTGGGTGGCTCGCTCGCCTGTGGATTACGTTAGGTAATTTACCGCTTATTAAGTTGATTACTCATTAAGTTACATATTAATACTAAAATTACAGATATTATCCAATAAGAGAGATATATTTCGTAAAGGATAGTATGGGTTGGTATTCAGAAATACCGAACTATATCAAGAGGTTTAAAAGTATTATTTCACGCGTTCTTCAATCAGAATTGTTATTTCTTCCCTTTACTTCGTACTTATGAATGGGTGGCGGCTAGTGAGTATTTATTTCAGGCCTGATTATGACTGGCTAACACGATTGCTTCTCAGAGGTAATAGGGAGTAAGGAAGAAACAAACGGTGTCTACTGGCAAGAGAGCATGAAGGAGAAAGAAATGCAAATACATCGAATTCTGCAGCTCCCTCCCTCAAGCACAATAACTGGCTAAACGCTTGTCACCATTTCGACCTTGAAATTATCTACCTGCTTAAAGTAATATCCACGCTGATTGGCCACAATCCTCCTCGTTGAACCCTCCAGCTCGACGTTAAAGTTACAGTTGAAATGTGTGTGCCCAAAGGCCCATAGGCATACATTTGGGCTCTTCCAGCATTCTTCATCGCTCAAATCAGTTGCAAATGCAGTACTGAGGGCACTGCCTATATGCATAGGATCGGCGGCCCTGGCATCTCCCATTATAGGACTATGATGCGTGAATATCACAATCTTCCTTCTTGGCTCTAACTTTGAGATAGAAGTAACCTGCTCGTTCAGCCATGCCAAATCCCTAACATGAGCATTATTATGCTCCAACACGGACCAATTATCGATGTGGTAGAAATCGTTTAGTCCCATTATCACTGTTGCCATATGCTGGATAGGGACGTATGAGTGTAGCGTGCATCCCAAGACGGTTATATCAGCGGACACATCGTACCTAGTGCGATCTAGGAAGATGAATGTCCCGAACCCCTTGCTGTTACGCTGGCTGATTTGGTTTGAGAAGTTGGTGACCTGTTCCCTACTCTCCGCCCAGGTGGAATGATATGGCTCGTGGTTGCCCAAAAGAAAGAATACCGTTTGAAATCGCAAGAGCTGAGCTTCGATAAACGGAAAGAATGCTTTATCACGCACATTGCCTATATCGCCTAGTAGCGCGAGGTGGGGGGCTTTTGGAGGGATTTCAAAGCTGTCGTAGCCTGAGGGGGTTTCCAGGTGCAGGTCAGAGATGATTTGGATGTCCATAGTGAAGATTTTGCCAGGTATATACTCCTAGAGAATTCCAATATTCTTTAGGAGAGGATATAAGCGACCAACCCCCAAAAAGCTAGACTTAACTGCGCCAGCTACTACCTTTCGCCAGTGGCCTGGCAGCGCTTCTTATGCACTGAAGCTTTGCGCTTCTAGGCATTGGTGCTTACTCATGCATAGCGTGCCAGAGTCAACCTCACTGTTGACAATCTAGAATGACACGCATAAACTGTGAGGAGCAAGTTCCCCGTAAAGCGTTAGGGATGTTGTGATAGTTGAAAAGATCAAAGTCTCTCGTGGCCAGTTCTTCGGTTATAGAGAACTCACCCAGTGTGGTAAGCCATGTGTCCGGTCAGACTGTCGCGATTTGTGATGTATTGAAGATGAAAGCTGGAGAGCATAATTGGCGGGTATAAGCGCAGTCTTTGATGAGTAATAAACGCGGGCCTCGGCTACCGGAGAATAATAGATCCGTGATATGCGCTCGAAAGTTGAATATTGAGGCTCTCCAGCATCATATTTACTACTTTCTACGCAGCAGTTATCTGGGTCATTGAATTGGCTGTTTCTTCTGATAGTAATAACGACAGCCTAATAGACGGAGTATTACCAGAAGGAAAAGATATATACCAAAGTGACCAAAATGGCCCCCGCACCACCAAGCTCCACGCTTCAAGTCTCCAACTTTTCGCCCGCAGAATTATCCTATCTTCACACATCCCTCGCATACCCCAAAAACCCAATTCGGCCCGATGGCCGCTCAGCAACACAATTCCGACCCTTAACTGCAGAAACAAATATTGTCCCAAACGCTAATGGCAGCGCGCGCATCGGATTCGCTGATGGAACACAAGCGATCGTTGGTGTGAAGGCGGAGGTGGAAAAGACCGTGTTTGTTAGCACGTTAGAGCAGAGTGTTTCGCAGGAAAATGAAGCCGAAGATCAAGATGAGAATGCAAAAAACACGAAAATAAAAATTCCAGGGTCAGGGTCATGGGTTGAGATGTCTATTGAGATTCCGGGACTGAGAGACGATGACCCGCTTCCTGTGTTTTTGGCAGAGATGATGAGGGAGGGGCTTATACAGTCAGGGTCGGGGATGACAGTTGAATCGGGTGGTTTGAAGGAGAGACTGGTCATTAACCAGGGCTGGCATTGGAGAATATACGTCGACGTGAGTAGTTTGCCAATATACATCTGCGAAACCCAGGTTCTAACGTTCGCATAGATATTACTTCTCTCCCCACCACTATCATACCCTCTACCGCTATTATCTCTAACAACACATCTTGCGCTACTCTCCACCAAGCTTCCGCGACTTATATCCAAGGATGAAGAGGACCCAATGTTTGACGATGACTGGGACGCAGCTGAGTATCTATATCCGCGCAGGGCGTCAAAGGGCTCGATATCACAGCACATCTTCCGCCCTCCGATATCACTTCTTGTCATCTCCGTGGGACAAAACATCATTTTCGACCCAAGTAGGGAGGAAATCGCGGTTGCAGACGCAGTATTCTGTGTCTCTGTTGCGCGTGACGAGAACAAGCAGACATTCTCACCTGGCGGGTTGAAGTTATTGGCTATTAGAACTATTGATCCGCCTGCACGCATGACACATCCTGGTGTACCGGACGCAATTAACGCTGCTACCATTGGCCTTACCAGTGCCGATAATAGTACCGTGACTACTGGTGGTATAGAGGGGGCTGGGGTTTGGACTCCTCGTCGCGGTGGGCTGAAGAGGGACGTTGTTTCGAGAATTGTGAAGTCGGTTCTCCAGCCCGGCGGTGTGGGTGACGAGGTTATGGAGGGATTAGAAATGGTGGAAGTGGATTGAACGGGAGAAATCAATCGTGACCAACTAATTCAACATGAGATGATGATGGCTCAGAATGGCACATCACCAACCTGGTGATTATAACAATCCCTGTGCACGAAAGTGCACAGTTTGGATGGTACCTGACAGACACAGCTGCCTGAAAACGGCCGGTGGAAAGCTCTATCATAAGATACAGCTATGAATCTGCCAATCACACATTTCAAGCGCCAGATATAGAGTCAGGAGTGGATATATTACATCTTGCCAAAAGAATCAACAGAATTAAATCCGCTAAAATGCCCATCGTAATATAGTATACAACAGAGAGGTCCAGCGCTCCTCCCCAATCTAGTGATCTAAAGAAATACCTTTGATTCCTCACCATATGCCCAGCCATCTCTTGGGTTTCTTCATCGACATCGTCCCCTCTTCATTCACGCGAGCCACAGCATCGGTGCCTTCTACCCCCTCGACACCCTCCACACTCACAGCACCTTCAGCGGCCTCAGCGTTATCAGGCTTCTGCCGATCATCCTCCTCCAGCCCATGCGCAATCCTATATTCTTTGCGCTTATCAATGTCATCGACAATCCGCTTTCGCTTCTCCTTTGCTACAACCGTGGTGTGTTCAGCATGCATTTTCATTACGGTAAAGAATTGCGATACCGTGTTTATCGGGCTCGAGAACAGCTGGGACCAGCCTGGCAATAGATGCGCGTAGGGTGATGTTTTCTTGAAGTTCGTCGACCACGTAAAAAAGGCAAGAGAAAAGAGGACGCTCTTTTGTATCTAATTAGCATTGGGAACGTTTAAGAGAGCTGCGGGTGGAATGTACCATGGATATCCAGACGTGAATGCCCTTGTTAGTCAGGAATTTGAACAGGACTGTCCCCTCTGGCGGAAACATGTTGGGATATCTCTTCGTCTGGCGATCTGCGATTTCCTTCGGCGTGGGAGCCGGACCAGGGTAGTTCCTCGGCTGCTTGTTGGGGTTCACCACTCGACGGGCGGCGTGGGATGGAGGCCGGAACTTGTCTGGCTTCTCAAGCACGCGAGCTTTTGGCGGGCCGGCGCCACAAGAGGCGGACGAGGAGAAGTTGAGGCGGTGGAACATCGAGGGTTGGATGCCATTTCGTCGCGGAGCTGCGGCTGTGTTGATGTGGAGGTTCTGGAGGGATGATTTGGAGAGGCCTCCTCGTGGAAGGAGGAAGCGCGGAATAGCGGATGGAGGAGCCATTGCATCAGCTCCCTTGTCAAAGCCCCTTCTGCGGTCTTCGATTCGGGATTAACGATCTTATGCTGGCCGTCTGTATAACAAGATCTCACGATGAGATTTTGATTTCCATATCACGTGATGTAGAAGTTGGCCTCTCTCGATGCTCATTGGCTAAATAATTTGATATCTCAACCGTCTTATAACCATCTAACAAGTCTATAATCTATTACCGTAGTCAATACTGTGCTGGAAGTTGTAAATTATACCTAACTATGCTTATGAAATTCGTCTGCCTTAACAGCTTTGCAGTCCCAGTCAAGGCTAGATCCTATCTTCCCTCTTCTTTCTCTTCTTTGCTTAACCTTCTCCCTCTGACCATCCCCTCAACTATCTTTCTATCTTCCCATCTCTCTACCTCCCCATCTATTCTTTATCATCTCCTATCTCTACTTAACTACTATCTTCTGTCTTCTGTCGACCTCGATGTATATATGTCACGTGCTCGGGGAAATCTCGGCACTCGAACTTCCGGTTCTTCCCGGAGTCTGCCAAGCCTCTGACTAAGCTTCTTCTCTGATTGGCCAGAAGCTCCCATCAGCCAATCAGCGTGATTACAAAGCCGTCTTCTCCGTCATCAGTAAAACACGTGTTTTGCGCAAGGGAAAAAGAAGGATAAATTTTTCTCGCCTTTTGATCCTGAACTCCAGCTCTTTCTGACATCTCATCCATCAACTCCATCAATTGAATATACCACCGCCTTATACCCTTCCTCGATCACCTTTTGGACTATCCCGACCCTTCGCTTCCTTCCTAGACACATACACAGACACAATGGCCAAGGGTGCTGCTTCTTATTCTCCCGGTAAGTGTTTTGGTCGGTGTTGTTATTCCAGCAATAGGGCAGCGAGAGCTCGATACAGCTTAGAGAACGGCGGAAAAGGCAGCGGATGTGGATGGAGATAGCATGGGATTGTGGCTCTAGTGATCGCTTCACTCTGTCAGGTCGCTGCTGCTTTGGTTGGTGCCAGACAGTGAAAACTGAGAGTTGGTTCATGGTCATGATGGTCCCATGGTAGACCTCCTGTCCTGTCCTGCCTGTCACCTGGCTACATGAGATAATGACATCAGGCCACCATCATCATCGTCTGTCTGCTCTTGTCAGCCTTTCTACAGCTATATTCTTTTTCTCGCTGCTCTGCTGCACACTTATCTGCAATCTGTCCACTCGTGAAACGCCAACATGTCTGCAACTTGTGGCATCTGGGGCCTATCTGTCATTGATGGCCTGGTGGAAGACGAGAAACGCAGAGAGCTAGAAAAACAGAAAGAGTTAGAGAAAGAGAAGGCTAATAAATCATTCCAACCTTCAGGTGACGCCGCCAAGGGTGCCGGTCTTTTCAAGGTCAGTAGATCCTATCATCTATATACAAAGCTGAACCAAGCTAACATGTTTCTCCAGACTCGCTGTGCTTCCTGCCACACCCTCGAGAAGGGTGGTGCCAACAAGGTCGGCCCTAACCTCTTCGGCCTCTTCGGCCGCAAGTCCGGCCAGGTCGAGGGTTTCTCCTACACCGATGCCAACAAGGACAAGGGTGTCACCTGGGACCACGACTCTCTCGTACGTAACCACGTCATTCTCCTGGGAATACCGAACAGCTGAAGACTAACATTTATATAGTTTGAGTACCTCGAGAACCCAAAGAAGTACATTCCCGGCACCAAGATGGCGTTCGGTGGTCTCAAGAAGGCCAAGGACCGCAACGACCTGATCACGTATGTTCACCTCACTTCCATTATGCGTATAGCAATCTCTAACACTCCCACAGCTACCTCGAGGAGAACACCAAATAAATTACCAACCTGACCACTATCCGACCATCATCACCAACACCCACTCTCTCTCCCACCTACCCACCATCTGTACCATCTAACACACCGTCTCCCGTCTCCGCCTAATATTTCACTGCTCCCACCATCTTTCATCCGACGAAATGGAATGAACGAATTACGAGGACCCAGCAAAATAACAGGTGGCATGTACCAATAAATACCAAAAGAGCCCTTTCTTCTTTCCACCTTCACAACTAGATGTTACCTTTATCCTACCTTGTGTTTTTATCTTACTTGTTTCATAGTGCTGTACCTTTATAGACTAAGGGAATATTTCTTCTCTCTCTCTTTCTCTCCTATCTCTGTAACATCGTGTTTACTGGTGATGGGACGTGACGTTGGCTCCCCGGTATTTCTACATGATAGATGAGACCATATAACGAACAAATAGACTAATTCTCCTCTCTACCTTCGTTCTTATTCTTAAACTCTCGTCGGCTCCAATATGGCCTCTTAATGATCGTCTCTAGGCTGGCACCACGGTAGTTTTCCAGGATATATCAGGTTGATACCCACCAGCCCTAGCAGTTAGATATAGAACTTAAGAATACTCCTTCACCTAGATAAGAAATATAATAACTAAAGCTCAGCAATACCTTGTAAACTAGTCATTAGGATCTGCTTTCAAGGCTTAGAAGGTCATCGTTCATGTATATTGAGAAGAGCAATGCCCTTTAGTGACTGCCTTGTCCAGAGCTGGAGTACGGTCAGTCATTTATACAAACATCGGCCGATCAGTTGAAAATAGCGAGTTCAGTCGTTGTCATCATACGGAGTACCTCAACGTCCATCGTCCATCGCCAATCGTTCATCCGTCAACCCCTCGACATCTTATACTGATGCTAGCAAAAGATGAAACACAGTGCTCGCCAGGGATTGGACCAGCCACCGCCACCATGGGCTCCTACTGGCCGAGTTGCAGGTCAGTTGCCTGTCGCCAGCCAACCATGCAGCAGGGGGAGTCGGGCTGCAAGACCCGAATGGCCAGCGGGAGGTTAGAGAACCGTCGCATCTCGCGTCCTTGACTGGCTGGTATCTCTTCCCATAAACTCGATGTGAGGCGGGGATTCTCGCGGTTCATGATAACGTGACGGGGTGCATGATGTTCCTGATCGGTACGACGACATCGACTTTGCTGCTACATCGGATGTTTCTCCAAACGACTACACATCGCTGTTTTCGTTGCTACTGATATAACACGTCGTGAGCCACTGATTGGATAGCCTAGCGGCATACGGCCTGACTGCGCGCTGACGTCGCTGACTGATACCGAGCCGGGGAGCTGCCTAGAGTTGAAACCGCTGAGATCGAGATCGCGACGGCTATTATTCCATGACGAAGTCTGCATGAATGAATAGCTGCGAAATACATTGACACGGCTTCCTGGATGTATAACTGTCTCCCTTGACTTGCTACCCTCTGTTCTAGATACATAGTTACCTGCCGTGCCTTATTGGACGACGGACAGCGCATCGCATCGCATTCGCATCCTCTGCCGGTCTGGTCTCGAGATACGGTCAAGCCGATCAACTTCTCAACGTGAATCATACTCTGACCCACGACGAAGACAGAGTCTGCTTTCTCTGAATTTACTATTAATATCATACTCAGTTTCATCTCTGCTGTATTCTTGCTCTTTCTTTGGCTTCACGGCCCAGACATACATACATCCTGCGTGCGGGGAAGATACCCAGGTCAAGACCAGTCGCATAGACGTCAACCGATTCCAGGGAGCGGTAGAGACATTGACGTGCATATCCTCGTCGTTTCTCACTCTCCAGTTAACCCCGTTATTGGTGAAGAGGATAGTTCTGTTAAGCGCCTACCCAAGTCTGGGTGAAACATCACCGCCCTCTCCGCGCAACACGGCGGCAACAGACTACAGCCAGCGCATTAGCAGGGAGAGGATAAGTCGCTACCATGATGGCATCCGACCCCCTCCATGACCTGGATAACGTCTTCGACGACCATCCGTCCCTCGACGCCTCGCTTGAAGACTTTGAAGAACAGTACGCGCATCGGTCTCCGTTCTTCGGCCTACCATCGCAGCATTCTGGTTTCCGCTCGGGGATCACAGAGACATCGCCATCTGACCATGGTGGAAATATTTCTCGCTCCAGCAGTCCGTGGTCCCCACCAGGCTTGCGAGGTACATTCCCAACGCCTGAACCACATCACTATCAACCACAGCAGCAGAATCAACAAACACCTACGCAGCAGCAATCTCCAGGCTATCACCCAGCGATGATGGCTGGAGCAGCCTGGTACAGGCAACAGCCGTACATGCGCAACCAGCCAGACTTTAGACCGGACCATCTGCGGCCGAATAGTCCCGATTCGAGATCAAGAGAGGTTAGTCCGCAGTATGAAGATGCGCCTGAGAAACCAACGCCGACCCAGACCTGGAAAGAGGAAGGAAGTGAGTTGATACTGCCAGCGAGCATACCACTACCACCAGGAGCGGATTCGCCGGTAAAGGGCCGTTCGCCGAGTCCATGTCCAGAGACCAAAACCGGAGCCGGCATTGGAGTAGATGAAAAGAAAAAAGGTGATAAAGACGATACCAGGCCTAGCGCCGCGTCGACTAAGCAAGGTCCAGAGTCAATTACAAACTGTAAGATGGCTTTGTTTATCAATATGCATAGAACCATGACTTATTGACCGTCTAGATATCCGGTTTGCAGTCCGCGCTGAAGTCCAACATCGCGAACCATTCGTCGCATTTTTCAACTACATAGGAGCGAAAGTGGACTCCATGACCCAAACCCGATCCTCAACCATATTATCAATCGTCGTCGGCCTTATATCATTAACATTCATGCGAGCACTTTTCCTACCTCCAACCTTACCACCAGTACCAGATATCGTGAAACTATCGAGCTTCACACGTTCTTTTGAGCCATTGATCTATTATTCGGAAAACGGGGTGCAGCAGATCGGTACTCTGCAAGAAACTGGCGTCGCGGTATGGGATCTCGCTGAATCAGTACGAGGCACGAACATGACCAGTGCACCGATCATCGTGAGAGAGCTAGATGAGCTCTCCCAGTCATTGAATTCACTCTCCCTGGAACTTACGCGGTTCTTCGCAAATGTTGACGCAGATATCGACTCGATTTTAATCGTCATGGAATGGGCACGGAGGGAGCTAGAGGCATTATCCTCCCAACCCCCAAACACCCTTTCATCCATCTTCTTCGACAACTTCCATAGCATGTTGTCTCGCCTTGGCGTACTCGAGACGCTACCCACCAGCGTCTCAGCCAATATAAGCAATGGCATGAACAATGAAACCAACCCCGAGATGCCAGGATCGCCGGTCCCTACACGCCTAGGAGCCTTCATCACCACTTTATTCGGACGCACTCGCTCCCAACGCACGCAATTAACGTTAACACACGCCTTTACTGAACTTCTTTCCGTGCTGGAAGAGAGCATAAATAACGAACTAACGCACTCCACCGCTCTCTTCACCCTCTTCGAATCCATAGACCGCCAATTCCTTAACCTCCAACGCACAGTGGTCCGTGAATCGAACGCCCAGGAACGTGCGGAAGGCGAACTCCTCTCTTCCCTATGGACGCGAGTCCTAGGCTCCAACGCTATGGCGTTACGAAAATACGAAAAGAATCGCCGGCTACTTTCGAGCGTCAGACAACGAACAGTCGCCAACAAGCATCTTCTCATGGACCACCGGGGGAGATTACTAGCTTTAAAGGCTAACCTGGAAGCTCTGAGACGGAAACTAGTCAGCCCTTTACTGCGAGGCGGGAACAGTTCCTCCGGACTAGCGCTCGGTATTGGACCGTTGGTGGGGATTAGCACTACCTCTGCACATGGCGGTGGCGGGTCAGAGGACGTGGTAGGATCCGAAAATGCGATGGATATGATTATCCACGGCCAGATAAGGGGACTAGACGGAGCGCATGATTATCTTAAGGAGGTGAGGGATAAGCAGAAGGCGAAGTTGATGGAGATGGTTTATGGAGCGGGCAATCGACGTGTTGCTGCGATGGTTGATGGTGAGAGCGACGATGGTGAAGGTGATGGTAAGACAGACATGGACGAAATGGAGGAGAAGTAAGGGCACGGCAGAGAGAGAGATGAAGCTGAAGATGACGAAAGTGGTGCATTTACCCTTGCCTTATCCCTCGTATCACATTCTACACATTTAGCATGCTTAGCTATTTCCCTTCGTTTATACACACTCACTCCCTTCTCTTCCTCCCTTGCATCCACATATCCCCTATCCCCGCAACCCGTACTCTTGACTTGTCTAAGCCGAGATATCCCCAATCGACAGATTCGATGCTAAGGATCGGTCTCAGGGGCGTATACTACTGAGATCTTCTCCACTGAAGCTCTCACACACGCCCGATGGTGGAAAAGCCAATAGCCAAACCCAGGCCCAATATAACCCGAGACAATGCCAGCTACTCTTCTCTGCTGGTCGGCTGATTGGTTGGTGCAGATGGACACCATTCACCTGGTATAGGCGTTACATGTTGATTATTAGGTGAGTTGAACCCTAGACAAGCTTCCTATTCAACTACAGCTTACTAACTCTATAACGAACAGATCGTTTATATGTTGGCAATTTGTCGGGGGGTGTCATGGCACTATGTTGTATACGGATGGCGTGGTCATAGTTTTTTTGGATTTATCATTGCATATCTTAATAATATATTCTTCTCTCACCTTTGTATAAAATTTACCCTCCGCCATAGCCATAGGCTTAGACTATATGTTTAATGTTCCCGGCCCATCGATCAATAGGGATAGATATTTTGATAAGTAATTAGATCTTTATCTCGTATTTTGCACTTTTATATGGTACAATAATAGATGGAACGTAGGAAAGAGCAAACCAGGTAGCAAACCAGAGATCAGGTCTAAACCAGGTGAAGTGCAAAGGAAAAAAAGTAACGTCAGGTCCCCGCCAAAGATCCGCCCCTAACACCAGAAAACCAGTAATATCTGATCCCATTGTTTTGATAGTTTCCGGAAATCGCCATGGTATGAAAAGCAGCATTAAAAAAGAAAGGCAACGAAGAAAAGGTGATATAGGGAGATAGTGCCTAGGTAAGAATGCAAAGTGATGGCCATTTCGCATGCCACCCTTAAGATTAGAAGCCGTATCCCTGGCCATAAGGGGTTGCTCCATATGGTGTGGCGCCTCCTGCACCACCCCAGACGCTACCGCTGCCACCAGCTCCCGACCCAGCCCCACCAGCATTATTCGCACCACCATATGCAGTGAATCCACCGTCGATGCCTTCTGGGGGCTCATATGCATCCGGGCTTCGTGCACCAGCGGCATCCTGGTCCATACCGCCATTAACTATTCCTCGTTCCTGGTCTGCGCCCGTCAAACCGGAGATGATCTCTGCTAGTTTGCGCTGCATCATTATGATAGCTTGCTGTACGACGGCATCGGGTTCGAGGTTTCCAATGCTTTCAATGTCGATATAGAAGGTTGTGGGTTGGGCGTCGTAGTCGAATGGCATATCGCGTGGATTGGCTGTTTCCCAGCCAGCGTTTGCCGATAGAGGCCTACGGGATGTTAGAGAAGAACGTATATAAAGCAGAGAGAGATAAAGACGCACCATTCCTTGATAGGATCCTCCTCGTACCAGTAATCGACGTGTCTCAGGTTATTATGAGGATCATACTCGAACCCCACGGCAGAAGTAGGAGCCCACTTCGCATGCTCCTTCGCAATACCCTTCTTCACGATACAGTTGAACTTCACCTCCTGCCCTCTCCGCAGCTTACAGATAATCGGCCCCTTACCCTCCGGATCTGTGATGACGGGGTTACCCACCCACTCATTCGCCCTATCACCCACTACAACCAAGTCTCTCGCATACACCTTCATGATCTCCTCACCGGTACATTTAGCATGCAGAGATAGATTGATGATACATCGCTGACAGCCACCCTCGCAATCGCAGTCGCGCGAATAAAGCATGTCCGTGTCGCAGTTTTTAGAGCATAGTGGTATAAGTCCCAGACGGTGAGCGACGAATTCATCCGGTAGGACGGAAGTGTTTGTTTCTATTTCAACGACGTCGATGGCTACGGTTGGGATTTCGGCGAGGATGGTACGGCGAAAGGAGTTGGCAAAGGCGAGATCGACGGAGCTGAGGCGGAAGTCGACGCGGTATGGTTCGGCCTGGGTATGTTAGAATGGGCGCAGTCTTGTAGATGGAATGGATGGAATGCGGCATCTCACTTCTCGGACGGTAACTTGGGGCCCTTGGGGCTCTATGTCCATCGCATCGTAATCCATCTTTGCGGCCTGGGGATCTCAGGTAGTGAGGCCTGCGCAAGGCCTAGCTCGAGCTCCTCCAAGGTCTCCGGCCTCTCGTGGTATAGTGATAGTATTGGTGCAATTAACTAACGGACAGGGAGGAGCTTTCTCAGACCAGATCGAGTGTATTAGGCCGTCAAGTCGAGAGTCGATGATATCCAGATATCTCAAGTTATCAAAACGTGAAGCAAGTGAAAGTTGAAGTCCGGAGAGTGGAAGAACCTTTATCCGGAAGCTGGCCTCTTTCCCTTTTAGGCTGCCCTGACTCCTACGATATAGATGATATACACGATATACACGATAGATAAATAGTATATTATAGATATAGATGATATAGTGATATAGATGGTGTAGATATATATGGTAGAGAGACTCCGACGCCGTCCATTCTATGTATGCTTAGTTATTATGTATTTTCTATCTCTAAATCCGCCTGCCGAGCGAGTCCCACCATGAAACCGTGAAGCTAGAATCTGCTTCCCTTTACTCTCCCGTCTGTTCTCCTTTCTCCTTTCACCTTTTATGAAAATGACAATAAACAATGAACTAAGATAAGAAATATGAGATGCTATGCAGAACGATGGCCGAAACTCTCACGTAACCAGGTAGAGATGCAAGTATGATTTTCCCATCGAAGCAGCGCACATGAACACAGGATGCAATGCAAAGACCAACCAACAGGATACCAGAACGAGCACAGGAAGAGGAGGAGGAAGAGGAAGATTAGTATGAGTAAACGAGGTAAGACGCCTGGAACCTTGCCGAGGCGGAGTGAAGCAAAAGCCAAGGATGTAAGGATGCATCCAAGGGAGTATAAGATGGAGGATATGGCGGTTAAAGGAAAAAAAACATTAAACAGATATAATCAAATGGTGTGGTTCTGTTCGCGTGGTGAATACGCGGGGAAGCGGAAAAAGCAATATGTGAACGTATAGATGTCGACACCGATCGCCGCGTGAGATCGAGATATCCGGTAGTATATTTATGACCCAGCGCAAGGTCCGGTGGCCTCTGTATGCGGACTACCGCTTGAGCGAGCTCCTATTGAGAGCATCGAGCAGCTCCGGCCTGCCTGTCAACGCCGCCACGGCCTGCGCATACGTCACCCACTGCCTCTTCCGCTTATGCATCTCCGGCCACTGGTTCTCCTCGCGGTCGACGCGGACCTCGAAAAACTGATACAGCACCTTGGGCGCCTTGGCGGAGATCTGCACTGGACTGCGCATGTCTGATATCTTGCCCAGATCCTTTATGACGGTGCACACAACGCCGGCTTCCTCCCAGGCCTCGCGACAGGCGGCGTCGTGGGCGGTGGGCTCGTCCAGCTCCCAGCCGCCCTTGGGGAGGACCCAGCCGCCGGGGCGAGCGGACTGGATGAGCAGCACCTTGGATTTGTCGGGGGAGACGGGCACGACGCCGGCGACGAGCCGTTCGCCGACGGGGGAGTATCCTATACACCGTTAGTCGTGCATACGGACGTGGTGCATCACATTTTCATATATCACAGAAAAAGACAGCAGGCTAGGAGGACAGGGAGGCTGCACGTGCGCGATCCCCGGGCTGAGAACTTACGCTGGTTCTTCCGGCCAGTGCGGGCTTCCATCGTGCGGGCGGCCATTTTATACGATATCGATATAGACAATGGACAATTGGACGGCGGAGGACAATGGACGGAGTAGACGGAGTAGACAATGGAGGTAGAGAATAGGAGGTAGACAACGTCGGTAGACCGTAGGGAGATACTGGAGATAGTAAGGAGACTGGATAGGAGATAGTAGATTGGAGATAGCAAGAGGATTGGATAGTAACGTGGAGGATAGTAGATAGGGACCGGGAGCTTTATATAGCTGACTTGTCCCTGCGGACGCATGCACGAACCGACTGCCAATCCTCTATTTATGTAGAGAAGAGGCATCTGGGGCCGGTTCGGTTTTTTTTTAAACCTCTTGAGCTAACGTTAGCTAACTTAATCAGATACTTTATTTCCGAAGCCCCTAAAAAGTCCCCAGGTCTATGATATAATCCCCGACTAATAGCATCGTCGAGCAGCGCAGGAAGACTGGTACGCCCTTCATCTATCACATCGACCACGACAGCGAATCCCCGGTCGATCTCAAGATTCATCCCGCCAGAGATTTACGATGCCCTCTGACTGGCCGCCAGGTTAAGCATCGCCCTGTCTGACGTTATCGTGCATGTCCGGTGCAGACTTGTCCCTTGTTGCTGGCATCTCCCTGTCCGATCTCACCGCCCACTGTTGGCCCTGGGTGAAGCATCGGGTCTTTCGAAACGACGTCTCGGGTCTTTCTCTCGCCCTCTGCATCCTGGCCCTTCTTTTCTTTTTTCTCGCCTCTCCCATCCACCTTGCCCTGCTAACGAACGTGTGCGTGGAGGCTATCTTGTAGCGTAGTCGAGGTCGAGAGCATCCCTGGCTTCGCTGGCATCCTGGCATCCCTGCTGCTCCGGGACGAGTCGCATGTATCTTCGCCTTCTTCTTCTTCTCTTCCTTCTTCTCCTTCTTTTTCGTTTCGACGTTTCATGTTCGCTTAGTCAGAAATTAGTCATAGTGATAGTCACGTGGTAGCACTTCCACTTGGCATAAACAGCACATATTGTAGAACTACAGTAACAGTTGACTGGACAAGTACTCTGTATAGGGAGTGTATTAGGCGGCATGGCGGCTCCTCGAGACCTGAAGCCGACGGAGATATCGTACTTCTCGCCCATGGGTATGCTGCTTGACATTCTACCGTCTAGAGGGCAGGACTGACCTGCGTCTAGGATACCAGCGAAATACATGTGGATACTGTAAAAGGACGGATGGAAGTTAGTCAGACCAGATACCCGTCATCCCAGGCTCGGATGTGATCTAATACTCAATCAAGGCGCCAGTTACTATGCGTCATCGACTTCTGTGCGCGTCGAGGAGTATGAAGAGCTGATGAACCGTGGCTGGAGGAGGTACGAACCCTGGATACGCAGCATATATGCCATTTCTAACTCGACCCAGATCCGGGTCCCTTTACTATAAACCCAACCTGGCCAGGTCATGTTGCCCGCATTATACCATGAGATTAAATCCCAAGGAGTATAAGCCACGTCGAGACCAGAAGAAGGCTCTTAATCACTGGAATTCATACGTGCTGGGTGCATCGTATGTGCAAAATGCAGCCAGGTTGTGTCCCAGGACAAGAGAGTACGCTGGACCTACCTTCCCATGGACAGAATGGTGCTAACTCCCACAGGGAGAAGAATCATCATAACCAGACGTTCGACCTGAGTCAGCGTGTTCACGAGATGGAATATGCCAACTTGTCCAGACCTATCAACCCAAAGACCAAGACCACCATTGAACCGGCGCACAAGTTCGAAGTTAATATCGAGTCTGACTCTTTTTCAGTTGCAAAGTAGGTCTGCTTATATTCTTGCTTCATATCCCCAACTTATCAGGTATAGGTACAATCTATTCCTACGGTACCAAACAACGGTACATAAAGAGCACGAGTCACGATGGAAACATTCCGACTTCAAACGCTTTCTATGCACTGGCATTAAACAGAAGACCGTCAAAGAAAGTTTCAAAAGTGACGACGGCCCGGTCACTATAGAACGGAAACTTGGCTCGTACCACCAGTGTTATCGACTAGACGGGGCTTTGATCGCCGTGGCCGTTCTGGACTTGCTACCTCATTCCGTCAGTTCTGTTTATATTTTGTGAGTGCTGCATCTTCTATTTGACAAGGGTTATGCTAACATGTTCACCCAGTTATGACCCCGACTATGAAAAGTTTGAACTTGGAAAGTTAAGTGCTATGAGAGAAATTGCGTTGACGGATGAGATGCGGTATCAACATTATTATATGGGTAAGACCACAGTAATGTCAGCATGCTATACGTCATACTAACTAGCTGAGGCTAGGATTCTATATTCACTCCTGTCCGAAGATGCGATATAAGGGGACTTTTAGACCTCAGTATCTCCAAGGTCGGTCCACCAGCCACAGCTCTTTACCTCCTGGCTCCTAACTTTGGCAGACCCCGAATCCCTTGCATGGGGGCCACTAGATGGCGAGTATTCTCCGAAACTAGATAAACGACGATATGTCTCGCTAGCTCATGATCGTAAGGTTGCGTCGTCTACCGCCCCAGATCAACCATCTGATACAGTAGCTATCTCTACGGTCAAACGCGATATGCCAGACAAATACGCCGATATACCGAATGAGGAATCAATGTCCTTGTTCGACTTACATATGCCAGGCGTCTTGACGTTGGAAGAGCTACGGACACAAGTAGACTTGGACCATTGGCACCTCCTTATCCGTGGAATGTTGGTTGAAATGACGGTAAGCGGTATTTACTATTAGCTTCTGCATTTCATTAATCTTTAAAGTTCTGCGTGCATGCGTGCTAACTTGCCATGGTCTAGGACCTCGTCGGGTGGGAGACGTCGAGTATGACCAATCCGCAGGCGATAAAGGGGATTGTAGCTGAGCTTGCTGCCGCTCTGGGGCCGAAGGTGGTGAATCATTCTGCAGTAATAATGTTTCAGAGCTAAATACAATCCATTTCATTAACAATTATATGATCGTTCCATTCCGCTATATAATAGAAATAGCCGCGGTATATGCGATTACCGCAATAGGAAGTGCGGGACGCCATTTTAGCGCTCCCGCCAGACCACGTGAGCCGTATTCGGTGATTCAACTTCGGCATAAAAAAAGTGATCGAAGGCGAGGAAGGTTGATATTTTCTTTTTATCCGGTTCTTCTATATATACACGATACCCCGTATGCCCAGCATAGTCGCGTTTAGAAGGGTCAAAAGGAACCTGTTGTTCAGTCCTATTCTACTAGTGGCGGGAAACAGAAACAAATATCTTTCGAACGATGGCATCTACGCCTGAGCCTAGGGAGGCGCAAGTTGATGCGGAAAAATGTACGGTGCCTACTGAGTCACCACCAAAAGAGCAGCCTGTCCCAGAGAAAGATGGACGTTTACTGCCATTTCTTCATGCATTCTGGTCCCGGCTTGCTTCCTGGGGTGTGGAACTGCGTGGAATTGTTCCCGTTGGTCTTGAAGAACGAACAGACAAGAACGTGATGAGTTTGTTCTTCCTTTGGTTCACGATCAGTTGTAATCTTTTACCGTATGTCAAATGTCCCCTCCCCTTTCCGTGAGCTCCATATGGAACAACGCGGTTACACCATTTTCTGCAAGGGATACGAAAATGAATATCCGCTAATGCATGTAACCCCCTTCTCAGAGTCATTACCGGGATGGTTGGAACGTTGAGTTTGAAATTGAACTTGAGGGATGCTTCGCTAGTTATCATCTTCTTTAATCTGCTTTGCACGGTGCCGCCTGCCTATCTATCCATATTTGGCCCGAAGACCGGGATGCGGCAAATGATACAAGCTCGTTATAGTTATGGGTAATTGACCTTTCACCCCTTCGCACGATAGGGGGTGTTCAGCTAATCGATGATGATAGGATATATCTCGTTAACCTAGTGGTGTTGTTAAACATGTCTACCATGTCTGGCTTCACTATCATCAACTGTGTGATAGGCGGACAGACTCTGTCGGCCGTAAATAGCGGCAGCCTAAGTGTGAATGTTGGGATTGTAATCGTTGCTCTGGTTGCACTATTTATTTCCTTCTTTGGATATAGAGTCCTATACCATTATGAGAGGTGGGCGTGGATTCCGACCTTGATCAGCCTCGTCGTCGCTACTGGATGTGGTGGTAAGTATCTTGCCAACCAGCACACTCCGCCACCAGCGACAGCAGTACCCATATTGTCATTTGGCGGCCTCTTAGCCGGTTTCCTGATTCCCTGGGCCGCCCTGAGTTCCGACTACTGCGCATATTTTCACCCCAGCGTGTCTTCGTAAGTCTTTTTTTTTTTTTCGTGACAGTCCTTGAACACTAACACCTAATCCAAGATATGCATGCTAATGATTGTACGTAGAAAACGTATCTTCACAGCAGTATACATGGGGCTATGTCTACCAAACATACCACTCATGATCCTCGGAGCAGCCATCGGAGGCGCGGTTCCCAACGTCCCCAGCTGGTCTGCAGCCTACGAAACAGGCTCAGTAGGCGGAATATTTGCCGCAATGCTGTCCTCTGCCGGGGGATTCGGCAAATTCGTCATTGTTCTACTCACCTTTTCAACCCTAGGAAATATCGCTGCTAGCATATACAGCATAACGCTGAATTTCCAGATTCTACTACCGATACTCGTGCGCGTTCCTCGTGCTGTGTTCGCAGTCGTGTTCATCGCAATTGTGATACCTGTCTCCATGCGAGCAGCAGTGAGCTTCTTTGTATCACTTGAGAATTTTGCTGCCGTTATATCTTATTGGTCTGCAACGTTTGTCGCCGTCATAGCTATTGAACATATCGTCTTTCGGAAAAGGGGCTATGACTCGTATGATCCGTCAATATGGAATAATGGCTCTGCGCTACCGAGTGGTATTCCAGCAGTGGCCGCTGGTGCGTTGTCATTTGCGCTGGTGATTCCCTGTATGTTGCAGACTTGGTTTCAGGGGCCAATTGCGAAGACAACAGGTGATATCGGCTTTGAAGTCGCCATGGTGCTGAGTGGTATTTTGTACCTTCTGTTAAGAGCGTTAGAGATAAGGATTAGAAAAAGGGTATAGTGGGTTGACATGTGTTTATATATAAATGGGGTGGTTGTGAATAAACATGGGGAAAGAATATAGTATAAACATAAAAAGCGATACATTACTACAAACAAACATGATAAGGAGTACTTAACATCAACATCATATCAAAACGGCACAAGCGGCTTCATTTTTCTACCCCAAAGGGCTACACACCATGTATAAGCCTCCATTCCCACTCTCTATCTCAACCATTTTTGAGTGGACATATAACCGAAATAGATGGTAAAGATGCGAAAATAACTCCAATGAGAAAGGCCGTAGACGGTTCATCTTCATGACATTTAAAATCGGGTAAAAATTGATAAATGCTGTTCAGGGAGTGAAGAGAAGAAAAGGCTTAACCTATGGCGTTGCTTTGCTCATGCCAATCAATCGTTTGACACCAACCTAGATTACGTAGTTAGCAAAAATATGCTACCGTTTAAACGTTGAGCTGAGGAATTTAACTTACCATCCAGTTTCCACATTCGTCGGTGCGGTTCGTCAGAATGTCCAGGTGGATAGCATGTGCGGTTTCGTAATCTCTACTTTGGATTGCTCGCGCTAGCTCCACCATGCTATCAATCGTTCCCGGCTTCAGTAGGTCCTCGTTATTCAAATGTTCGAACAAGATATTCAATCTTCGTTCGGTATCATTAACTTGAGGTTTGAATGTTGCTGGAGCACGAGATTTCACACGTTGCATGTCAACGGAAAGGATATCGAAGATTGGCTTGGCATGGTCTGGGATGTGGGAACGATCACCAGCAGCTGGAAAAATATGTTAGTTAGGGTTAAGCTACGAGCAGTCAATCCATGGCCGTCTACTTACGGTGTTTAGGAGGGGCAGGGGCCTTCTTTTGGGATTGACCGGTGCTAGGTCTCGAGTCTTGTCGTGGGGGAGCACCGGTATGGGGAGGTGGTGGAGGCTGAGCGAACTGGCTACCTTGAGATCCGTATGGGCCCTGGGGAGGGCCCTGAGGTGGTGGCGGGCCCGGCTGGAATCGTTGGGCTCCATATGGACCCGGTCCTGGTGCCTGTTGGGGTGGTCCGGGAGGTCCAGGAGGTCCAGCTGGATGAGCAGGCTGGGCTGATTGAGCTGGAGCGTAACGATTCTGGGGTGGTGGGCCAGCTGGCGGGGGGCTGTAGGGGGATGCCGAACGAGCAATTTGTGGAGGGCCTCCGCTCTGTGTTGGTGGGGATTGAACTGGGGGAGGAGCATACAGGTTTGCGGTCGATGATGGTCGTTCTGGTGGCACAAATTTAGATGTACCTGCAGACCCTGGAGGGGTTGCTTGTGGGGGTGAGAATGGACCCTTCGGGGGTGGAGGAACAGGCATGGCGCTTCGCTGACCTGGACCTGGAGGACCTGGAGGGCCTGGCTGTGGAGGACCGGGCGGTGGAGGGCTCTGTGTTTGCGGCTGGTTAGGGAACGGTGAGCTAATGACCGAGGCACCGAGGCCAGGAGTTCCACGGCGAGGAGTTGGGGTCCTTGCAAATCCGTCGGGTAGATCATTCCATGCAGGGATATTGGTTTGCTGGGTATATGATTTTACTGTCGAGGGAGATTGTGTCAAGCCTCTCGGGGGTGGGGGGATGCCATGACCTGGTTGCCCAGGGTACTGAGGAGTAGGGATGCCAGCTTGTTGCTGTTGCGGTTGGTAACCAGCTGGCGAATAGCCAGACATCTGGGCAGGGGCATACGGGTTGCTGGGTTGGTTGAACGCGGATGGAGCATAAGGGTTAGTAGGTGCCGGTCCACGGTTCACCATGGGTGGTTGCTGCTGGGTTTGAGGCTGGGGAGGGTTATAGCCCATTTGCGGCTGGGGTAGAGTTGATGAAGCCTGTCTTGCTGCTGGGATATGGGATGTTGCTGCTTTGGGAGCAGCCTTGGTGGTAACCTTTTTGGTGGCTAATTGGATGCGGTTCTTTGCAACTCCTCCTGCAGGGTGGCTATCCGGTAACAGACTAAGGTATTTCTCTGCCACATTCAATCTACCATGAGTTGCGACAATTTCAGCATACTCGATATACTTGTCGTAGAGCGAGCTGAGCTTCCAGTCTGTCGGCTTTTGTCGTTCAGAATCCTCGAACTTAGTAACGTTGCGGAAGATAGTAACCTTCTCAATGAAATCCCTGAGGACTTGGACGTGGATAGAGAATCCAGTCTCATCGGTGGCATCCTCGATCTTTTTGTTCTCGTTTTCTTGCAGTTCCCGGATCCAGATAGAGACAACCTTCTCCAGCTTCGAGCTAGCCAAGTAGCAGAAAGAAGCGTCCTTGCGGGTTTCCTTGCTGCCATTAGATCTAGAGTACTCTTCCAATCTGTCACCGAGGGCTTCGCAGAGATCGGGGTATTCTTTGTCATCTGCAAAAGTGCAAATTACTGCAACGATTTCCTTCCAGTTTTGAAGATCTGCGTTGTGAACAACATCCCAAATATCCTTTCCGGCGATAGATGCAAGGAGGCGGATGTAACTCGGTCCTTCAGATTTCTTAAGGAAGTACGCCTCTTGGGCCTTTTCAATGCATTTCTGGCCACCGGAGAATGCAATCATCAGGGCATCGGCCATCCGATCCTCCTGTAAGCAAATATCAAGGGCCTTGTCGAAATGGCCTTGTATAAGAGCTTTCGTTATAGTCTTATCGGCATCGGTCTCTTCTCCTGTAAACAGCTGGAATGGACTGTTGGTCTTGGCCTCCTTGGAAGCAGACATATCGCTCAAGAAGCTGTCGCCATCAGCACTGGAGTCGAAAATAGAAGTGAGCCTCTTATGCCTCTTCGCTCCTGCGCTGGGAGGAGCGAGGGTCGGTTTTTCGCTTTCAGTTGCTTCCTCTTTACCGAGTCCAAGTTTCGATAAGCTGTCCGCGGCCTCATCGACATCTCCAGAGAATCCCAGATAGGTGATGAGCTCCTTTCTAGGGGTTTCAGACATCAAGGTGCTCATAACCCTCCAATCAGCCTTTTCTTCGTCGGTCTCGGCCTCGGCAGCTCGCGATTCACAGATGCTACGGAGGTCTCCCGAGTCTATGGCAGTCTCAAAGGAGTCGGTGGCAGCGCCGATGCTAGCATCTACCTCGAATTTGCTGATACGGACGGTCGACGTTCGCGTACCCGGCGCAGTTACCACGGAGATGACCCTTCCTCCAAAGCCAAAGTTAGCAGTGGTTGGCCGCTCAAGCCATTTCGGGGCGCTGGGTAACGAGAAAGTTGGGCCCTGAGGTTGAGTCTGAGCCTTTGCAAAGAAGTCTTCGTCGTTGAGGGGTTGCGAGTCATCGCCCTTTTGGGCGGCTTCGGGGTTTGTGTTTTGGAGTGTTTGGACAGAAATCTTTCCATCAAGCGACGCCGTAGCCAGGATATTAGGGTTGCTGGGGTTCCATCGGGTCTGAAAAGTAGCATTTGTAACGATTGGGAACTCTCCATAGGCCTCGCCAGTCTGGGTGTTCCAGCAGATATTGCGGTTATCCTCACCACTGGATAGTAGTAGTCTTGGGTCCTGTTCGCACCACGACAGCGATAGGACACCGGATTCATGGCCTTTCAATGTTCGTTCTGGTGCGTTTGCGTTACGCAGATCCCATACCAGAATCACCGGGTCACTCTCAAGGGGTATGGAAGTGACAAGTCGGGTAGAATTTTCCGGGTCCCAGGCAATGGCACTGACAGGCTTACGGCCAAGGTTTTTGAGAGTCAAGCTCTCCTTTCCAGACTTAGCATTCCATACCGTCACAAATCCATCACTGCTTCCGGTAGCTAAGATATGAGGGACCTTCTTGTTCCAGTCAAGACAATCTATTTCAACCTGACTGGCGGCTGCTTTTCCAAGCCGAGTTGGGTTTTCGACGTTATTGAGGTCCGTGATAAATAACTGGGGAGCGGGATCCGGTTAGCTAAAGGCCGTAATGTAGATGAAATAGCAGACATCACATACCTCCCCCAAGCTGCCACTACTTGCTAAAAGATTGGAGTGCTTCGGGTGAAATTGGACAGCCTTGACTGCCCCGCTATGAGCAGAGACTCTCGTAGTAGGAGCGGTGCTGTGGACGATTAGCTCGGTACCTCCATTGAATTGATGTCCAATGCTACAAACCTGGAGCCATCCAGCAGCTTTCCGGCATCCCATAGGTCCAGTGACCCATTCTCCAACGCTCCAGCAATCAACCCCCTTGAACTATCTTCTGTTTCCGCCCACGCGAGGTCATGAAATCTATAAAAATAAGCCTGGTTAGAATCAACATCGATTGACTGCATTTTCTCCCCGCTCCACCACCCACGCCGGGATGAGCTCACCTGGAGTCTGTGCTAATCTTGGCTGCTGGCTGCAGCTCGGCTCCGATATGTTCACTATCAAGCTTGAGATCCCACAGCTCTAAAAAAGTTTCATTGGAGAAATCGGCGTCGACTGCTCCGGCCCGAGTTCCAGTCGCAATGAAGGGCGAGGCCTGGCCGGGAGACCAGGCGAAGGCCGCCGTGCGTGGTATCTGCCTTAGACGCACCATGGTGTTGATACCTAGTTCGATAAGACTAAAAAGAAAGCCACTAGACGGGGTCCCGAAATACGGGAAGACAGTGGCGCAAAAGAAAGGAACAGTAGGAAATAGGAAACCGATTCAGTAGAGGTCCTGCCAGCAAGCAGACGGTGGTGCTGAAGACGAGGACAGGTTGTTCATTGATCGTTGGGCTCAAGGGGCAACAAACAGAGCACTTTAGGTGGCCTTCCACTAGCTAGTCACGTGATGAGGGCAGGTTGAAGTTGGGAAGTTGATACAGACACGGATGGACTTAAGACATAGAGACAGGAATCTCCCAGAGGTAGATATACGGAGCAGAGACCATGACGGACGCTGCAAGGCTGAAGGGCACCATCTACGTGGGCGGACTGGACCAGGCCGTCACTGCCAGGACGCTCAGCGAGGCATTCATTCCGTTTGGCGAGATAACTGATATCTCGCTCCCAAAGCCAGAGCTGCCCTCTTCTACAGACCTACACCGGGAGTTCGGGTATATCGAGTTCGAGCTGCCCCAGGATGCGAAGGAGGCGATCGATAACATGGATCAGAGCGAGCTCTACGGTCGAACTATCAAGGTTGCAGCTGCGAAGCCACAGAAGGAGAGCAACGAAGGTCTAGGGAGTAAAACCGCTGTTTGGGAACAGGTACGCTGGTTGACGTCTTCATTCTTTACTGGGAGTAGCATGTTAACGATAATATAGGAGGGCTACCTGGCAAAACATGCCGTCAGCGAGGAAGACCGGATGGCCACAGAGGAAGCTGGAGAAGCTAGCACGAGCAGAGCTGAGGATCCAATGCAAGGGCTGGAGGGACTAGACGTTGCAGGCCCAAAGCCAGCATAGTCAAGTATCGATGCCATATCAAAGGAATATAAAAAACGAAAACGATATCAAACGACGAAGACTAGGAACTGATATTTTCAGCACTTCACCTCCAAACTGTGCTGAATTATCTCATATATGTACAAGACCGCCACCAACTCAGCTGCCGTCTAACGATACAAAAAGGAGATGATTGCATTTTCGTGCTCCTAAATTTGGTACTCGAACAACCCTATTCCACGCATCATCCTTTCCACGCCACGAAGATATCCGCTTAATGATCTTCACGCTTCGATCGGCTGAGACGGAGGGTCTTGTCACCGAACAATTTCTTTCCACTGGAGTAGACGGCGGCGCCAATGGCAACACTATGGGGATCGGTTAGCGGTATATTGGGGAGGTTAGGTAGATATCAAATCTTACGCAAGGACGACACCTGCATGTGAAATAGACGAATTAGCAAATCAATTCTCTCTAGATCAGTAGACGAACGGCCTTTTCAATCATTATGCTTACCGAGAGGGATCAACTCTGGAGGGATTTTCTTAAGCGTTCGCAGACGCTGGGAGATTGTGTGAGCTAGTAAAAAAGGACGTCAGACAGGCTCGCGACACCAAACCAACGCATTGGCCCTGCTAGACCGTAGCAGTCGAATATCTAGAGCTTACCGCTTTGCTGTTCTTTCTGTAGACAGCTGTTAGCAGCGATCAATGGATAGTGGCAAGCAGTATCAGATTCGAGATGTCGTGACTTACGGGGATGGGCTCGAACAGCGGTCGAGAGGACCGGAAGCCGAGGACACGAGTGGCCAACATGGTTGCTCTTAAAACAGCTTCCGCAGAGGGCGAAGAGGGTTCTGGCGTTTGGGGTGCTGGATCGAAGCAAGCAGTTATCCTGTTAGCCAGCGGTTGTTGTTGATGGGAGGAAGTGGGAAGAATAAGCTGAATCAAAGATTCGCCGGTTCCGACGTGCACGGGACCTGGCAACTTCACACCAAGAGAACGACCGACGCCAGAACGAAACACATCCAACGTCCGCAACCTCGCGACTCCAGCTGCACCACCACCACACCACCGTCCACGGGTCTCAATTGCGTTGACCTGTCCAGTCAAGATGCCGGCCGATATCCCAGATGCTGACCCCGATGAGCCCGTCGAGACCAAGCCCTTCAAGTTTGTGACTGGTGTGTATCCTCTCCATTTTTCCATCTAGCCAGCTCACGCCATGCCTCCCATTGACCTGCTTGCTTGCCTCTGCTGACTCTCTCGATAGCCGGTATGTTCTAGGAATTGCTCGAATCGGCCCTTGTCTCCTCCCAATGGGACATGACATGATCGTACGACTTTACTGACGGCACTCTAGGTTTCGACGCCCGCTTCCCTAACCAGAACCAGTAGGTCGCCCGTTCTGCTCAATTGGCATGCGTCGGATGGATGGATCTAACGGTGTCTCCTAGGACCAAGCACTGCTGGCAAAACTACGTTGACTACTACAAGTGTGTCAACGCCAAAGGAGAAGAGTTCAAGCCCTGCAGACAGGTATGGTTCAGTGCTCGCTATACATGATATCCGCATTGGGCTGTCTTGTGTCTAATTCCGCATTTCTAGTTCTTCCTCGCTTTCCGATCCCTCTGCCCCAAGACCTGGACCGACCGATGGGACGACCAGAGAGGTATGTTATCCTCTTTATGACGATATCAGGATGTATACTAACGATGCTACGTCTGCAGATGCTGGTAACTTCCCAGTTCACCTTGACCGATAGATTTCTTTTAGGATGGCCTGGGGTTGCTACCAATGAAGCTCGCTTTAAAGCTGTTGGCTCGGTTTCCTTGGCTTGCTGATGGCTAAAGAAGTGTATATAATACTGTCTCAATATCAAAGCAGGATTTCGAAGCAACCTTACTCTTTATCATTTTATCGTAAAAGTGGATATTCCTAACAGATAGAAGTAATGAAGTCCGATATAATATTACATATCACCACGAGTTGTATTTATTCTAAAGGATCCAAGAATATGCCAGATGCCCATCCATAATTGCTATGATCACGCCACCAACCCGGCTCTACAAGAAAAGACACAAAAGACCAGTTTGATGGCTGCGATAATGATAAATAACAATAACCCCACCCTTAACCGACCCTCCCGATATAATAAATTCTAGTCTATGAATTCCAAGCCATATTACAAAATATTAGGTGAACATGCGACCCATCAGGTAAACCAGCCTCAAACTCCGTCTAGATAGACGCCTCCGGCTTATCCTTCTTCAGCATACGGTATATCTTCTTATGCTGCTCCAAGAACAGAAAAGTAGCGATAGTATGCGGACCAAGTCGGATGAAGCTAGGTGTCCATCCCCTGAACATCCATGTGAATCCTTCTTTCTTAAAGACATCCCTTAGGATTCCCACGAGGGTATGCCCTTTACTCTCTGTGGGACTGGCATGCATGATTCTGGTCTTTATCACATCAACAGGGCTGCAGACAGAAGTAGCAACAAATCCAGCCATGAAAGAGGAAGTAAAATGCGTCGTAAGGTTATCTTTCATCCCCAGGTTTCTGATACATATTCCTTTAAACGTATCGTAGGTGGCAAGCTGTGATGCAGTCATGAGAATTGCTCTGGCCGAGTTAGGCCAAACTCCACGGAAGGCACTGCTGATACCTTCTGATCGAATCATTTGAGATAGCCCGTGGAAAGCATGTTTGTAATTTCGTCTCTTCTCTGGCGGTAGGCCGGCATCGGACTGCATTCGAACGTTTAGGACGTCCGCGGGGTTACCTACCAGCCCGCCTAGGAAGCCAGAGAATGAAGCCATGGCAATCAGAGTGAGAAGAGAAGGAGGGGAAGATGATGACTCGTTGACTCGCGTTTTGAGCTCCTCGTACACTCCGAATCGAGTCGTGGAATATGTCAGTTGTCGCAGGACTGACGCAGACAGCTATCGTCATACATGTCAGTAAACGTTCAATCAGGCCAGGTCTGACCATGGAGGACTCACTCCGCTATAAAGCCCTAGGAACCCATCATTCTTGCAGACATGGACTATAGTCCGCAACATCCCGGTTGGGTCATTTGGCCCTCGAGTTTGTAGCCGCACCTAGAGCGCAGCAACAGGATATAAGTATAATTCTAAAGAAATATTCCCGCAAGAGGATAATACCTTGACTATATTAGAAAGAAAATGTCAGTAACCAGCATCAGCATGATCAGCGTATAAGAGCTATCTTACCTAGATCCAAGGGATGCGTCACCCCCGCCGCACAGCATGAGGCTGACCCTCCAAACCAGAATGGATAGTGCAAGTTAGACTGGGAAGAAGGACTGGCCTGCTGGCCTTTTATCACTTCAGTTTTCCCCATGTCGACACTTGCGGAATGCGCATCCTTCCCGCACAATGCTCTTCGCGGCGGGTAGAATAACAGCTTTTTTTGACCAACAACTCGAGCTTCGAATAATTCCCGCGGCCGGAAGCTCAAATACATGCCTCTATCTGACAATACGATACGCGCTATCTATTCGCCGACTCGCTGCAATTGGCTGCAGATTGTGGTACCTGGTAACTTTGATACGACACCGGAACATCACCAAAAAAAAGTTACGAGAGCTGATATTTACCATGACTTCATTTACGCCAGCTTGAAGAGCGAAGAACAAGTATACTGACTTGACACGATGCAGTTACTTGCAACAGGGAGGGCACTGCGAGTCTCCTGCAGATGGTCTGTCGCAGCAGCGAATCTCGCAGCACCCCGGCCGGTAAACATCCAGCTTCATCATCGATCGCTTCAGCCGATACTGCGCCCAAGGTTCAACAGCTCTACAGCGGCTGCAAAGGATAATGGAGACGGACGACCTCTCGGATCGAAACCGGCAACTTCAATTGCTTCCTCACCTCCAGCTTTGACCGTGGGAAACAAGTCCTACCAGCCCGATGACTGGACAAATGCGCCCAGTCACATACTCTCACACCTTGGTCGCCGATTATATCTAGACGAAAACCACCCTCTATCTATAACCCGCAAGCTCGTTGAGAGTCAATTCGCTGGCCCGGAGTTTGGAAACTATGCCGAATCAGACCCAATTGTTACCACAAAGCAAAATTTTGACGACCTGGGCTTCCCGGCAGATCACCCTGGACGCAGTCGGACGGACACATACTACTTGGATAAAAATACTGTTCTACGAACACATACAAGTGCTCATCAGCGAGGATATTTCCAGCAGATGAACAGAAACGGCACTACCAGGCCGGAGGAGAAAGGATACACAATTGTAGCGGATGTTTATCGCCGCGATGCTATCGACAGAAGCCATTACCCTGTTTTCCACCAGATGGAGGGTGCACGGCTGTGGAAGCGGCCTGAAAATGAGCCATTGAAGTCCTCTCAGCAAACAGCTGCTGAAATATGGAAGGATGTGGAAGCTCTGCCTCGTCACGACGTTGTTGTCGAGGACCCGAACCCGACACTACACCCGACCCGCAACCCGTTGCAGGACAAGTATCATACCGCCGAAGAAGTCGAGGCGATGGCTGCACATCTAAAACGCTCTCTAGAACTTCTCGTGATTAAAATCTTTTCCGCTGCGCGAGCTGCCACCGAACATCCTACGGCAGCAGAAGAGCCTTTGAAAATTAGGTGGATCGAAGCCTACTTCCCCTTCACTAGCCCATCTTTCGAATTAGAAGTGTTCTGGCAGGGTGAATGGTTAGAACTACTCGGCTGCGGTATCGTCAAGCAAGACCTCCTCAATTCATCTGACGTCCCTCACAGAATTGGCTGGGCGTTTGGTCTTGGTCTCGAGCGAATTGCAATGCTTCTCTTTAATATACCCGATATCCGACTATTTTGGTCCAAGGATCCCAGATTCCTTTCCCAGTTCCAGGCCGGAAAGATCACCCGATTCACACCGTTCTCCAAACACCCAGCATGCTACAAGGACGTTGCTTTCTGGTTGCCGCCATCAGCTTCGGGGTCTGTCAGCGCAGCTGGAGGAGCGGTACCATTCCATGAAAACGATATAATGGAAATCGTTCGTGGTTCTGCCGGGGATTTAGCGGAAGACGTAAAGTTGGTCGACGAATTCACTCACCCCAAGACGGGACGAAAGAGTTTATGTTATCGAATCAATTATAGAAGTTTAGAGAGAACTCTGACGAATGAGGAAACAAATCAGCTGCACGATAAGGTCAGGAAAACGTTGGTGGAAACCGCTGGGGTTGAACTAAGGTGACGAAACTCCTCTCTATACGTACTGTAGACATTCTGTATTCTTAGATAATAATGTTTATTCGATCTAAATAAATATCACAATCGCATCAATTTGGAAGCTAGTCATTTCAAATGTTCGGAAACATCCAATCCAAAGCATGGCTGCCATTAAATGGGTCTCTAAACTGAAAATAAAATAGATAAATGGTATATCATGCCATGCACCATTCATGTTCGCACCGCTTCCGATAAGCGCATAATTCCGCCACCAGGAAATGAAAAAAGGCTTGAAACAAATCATACAAATATGAGGGGAGAGATATATGGAAGGCAATAGTGTACCCGCAATAAAACGGGTCACATAACAACGGGGAAAGAGATGGTGTGCATTTATGTGTACAGATCGTCAAACTGAAATATCATCCCGTGAAGAATAACCTTAGAGCAAAACGCCGTGCCTAGCTGTTTTATAACCGGCTCCTTAAGAAGCACAATAATATACAGGATGCCAAATGAAGTGGCTATAGGTAGAAATGGGGGGAGATTCATCCAAGATGGAATAAAGAGGGTGGTTTGGTTTGGGGGAGATATTAAGGTCGGATAGGATTCCGAGTGCCGTGATTTGGAATAAATTAGGATGTTTATGCGTTCTTCACAACACCAACCTTGGCAGCCTGTGGTAAAAAGTTAGATAAGAATTCAAACATACGATATATACGGGATGGTAGTGGGAACAAATAACATACCCTCAAGATTCTGCCGTTAAGGGTGAATCCCTTGTTCTGGACATGCATGATATCACCGTCTTGCTTGCCTTCCACTGGGGACATAAACAGGGCCTCGTGTCTGCTTGGGTCGAACTTCTGGGGTTGCCCGTCCACATGCTCGGACGGGTCGAATCGAATAACGCCGTGCTTCTTCAGGGTATTCATCAGGATACCCTCGGTCATCTTGAGGCCAGAGAACAATTCGTAAAGATCTTTATTTTCCTCCGCTTTGGCGGCGTCCACCTTGTCGGCAGGAACGACTCCAAGTGCACGCTCTAGGTTGTCAATTGATTCGATTAGGTCCCCGGCAAACTTCTGAATGGCAAAGGTACGAGCTGCTTCGACATCTCGGCGGGTTCGTTCTTGCAAGTTTCTGAAGTCGGCGACGGATCGGAGGTATTTATCCTAATAGACAAAGATAGGTTAGCTCAGATAAATGACAGGCGCACGATCTAGGGCGATATCTCATCCGCGACATACCTTCATTTCAACAACTTCCTTCTCACGTGCCTCTAGATCCTTCTTTAGAGTGTCTAGTTCAGAGGGCTTTTCGGCTTCAGCTGCCTCAGCTGCGTCTTCGGCCTTTGGCTTTTCTCCATTGGCTTCCGTCGAGGCATATCTGCTCTGTACTCGGGAAGGAAGTGATCGTGCTAGCTGTTGAGAATGTTGAATGATTGTTGATTGTCTGCGAATGGGTGAGGAGATGGAGGAGAAGGGAGTTGCGGAGCCGGCAAGACGGCTTTGTCTGAGGAGTGCTCTGCGGAACATGGTGATGGCTGTAAATAAGATGATTCACGCTTCAATGGCAATGAGGGAAAAAGCTGTAAATTCTTGAAATGAAGGTCGTGTTGAGTGTTTGATCGAATTCGAGAGCAAAAAGCTGCCAGATAAAAATCAAAGATTCCATAGCTTGGCGGCGTTACTTTTATCCGAAAATCAAGTCTTTTTGATTTTTTCTACTTTGATACAAAATATACGTATGGATCTAAGAAGGTAATAGAGAACAGCTCTTTCATTCACTCCCCTATACAATTAATTATTTATGTATCCAAATATGTATTGCTTCGCCAAGGGTATATCGTCTTTTTCAGGGACCCGATCTGATAATTCCTCTCCTCCAAAGATCAAATCCCACAGTCCTATTATTCCTGCCGGATGTTAATCAATAATTGTAGCGCCGAAGAATACGCTATGTAGGGGTTAAAGCCAGTGGCTAGCACTGCCAATCCGAGTGAAACGGGGATGATCCAGATCCCCTATGCTCCGATTATAGCCAAGATCCAATCGATCGTCTTCGTATAAAATAAAATGGTATGTTCCGTGTGGGGGTGGGGGTGGTTGGACTGGCCATCATATCCATGGCCTGTCAGCGTTAGAGGGCCGATGGAGCCCGGCATCGGCGTATATTATGATCGATTCTAGGTCGCTTCGCCGACTGTCCTTTTCACAAGTGCTGGCATAATCGCTTATGCTTCTATGGTGGCTTGGTTCCCTTGGAGGCGGTTGTATTGGTTGTGGACGAGGAAGGTTGAGAATAGCTACCATATGTTCCAAAAGCTTCTGTTGAATTTTTGCCCGCCGCTCTTCTGCGTATTCAAGTTTTGTGGCCCATTCATCTATCGACTGGTCGATTTCGAGTAAGGCTTCTTCTTGTTTCAAGACGCCTTCTGGAGAAAAACTGGATACGCCGCTGGCGGATTTTAGATATGATATAACGCGGCCGTGTAAACGCTGCCGGTCAGATCGCAGGGAGACATGGGTATCCCGGAGATATTTGCAATGTTTATTAAGAGTATGCATTTCCTATTTTTTTGAAGTTAGCGCGGGGTTTTTTGAATAATTGATGAAAGAAGGTATGTGTACCTGTGTAAGTGAGGATACCTCGCTGTATTTTAGGACTTCGAATCTCTGCCCTCTGCGGCGTGCCTGACTTTGCAGCTCCTCGATTTCTTGACAAGTAAGCAGCATTGACGCTGTTTGAATAGAGTACCCCGGCGGTAAGTTGCCAACGGGAATATCAATGTTTTCAAGGCCCGCCCCCACTCCTCCTCCCCCTCTGCCCCTTGTTTTCTTTTTGTGTGAGTTCTCTCTCATTACGAGCCCTTGTGAAGCATTTTCATTTTCTCCCGGCACGGGACTCTCTGCTCGCCTTACCGCATCAAGTCCCAATATCTTCAGCGATTTCGGCCGTCTGTCATGGTACTTTTGAGAAAACTGTGGGAGATTTGCTAGCTGGTCCGACGGTCGGTCACTTTCCAGCAGCAGATTCGAGGTGGATCCTCCTCGTAAATGAGAAAGATCGGGAGCAGATGAGGAGTGAACGGTTTCTATATATCTATTCTTCGGGGCACCCCGTCCGAAAAATTGGGCGGCGCTTGACTTGTCCTTCCTCGGTACTATGGGATCGGTCTTTGGAGGCACTTTCGGAGGTATTCCCTCGATTTCAGCCTTGGTAGGACTTCGTTTGCGCTGCAGGCGGGCTCGAGGTTGTTGCGCCGGTGCAGACTGGCCGCCTGAGGGTGTAATCCTTCCAGATAATTGCGGACTGGGCGTCATTCTTGCTGTGCTGCGGCTGTTCGTCGATGGTTTGGCAGCGCGTCTTTCGCCATAACTTGAATATCCTAGGGGTGATCTGTCGCGGGTTCTGGAAGATGGCCGGGTAAGCCCTAGTGCCGTTTGAGCTCGTTCGTGGCTAGGGAAATAGCCCGGTATCGTTGCTGCAGATATTCTAAATTAGTAACTCGTACGTCGCATAATGCCGCTAACGCTTGAACATACGTGAATCCATGGGAATATTAAGCCGGCCGGTTGTCACGGTCGAAAGCGATTCAAGAGAACCGCCAGGCTGTCTCCCACGATTAGGACCGTTGAAGGTGTATCTGCCCGAGCTGGACGACTCTGGAGTTCGCCTTCCCGAACTTCCAGAAGTCTTTTTGGCTGGCAGCCAGAATTGGAGTTTCAGCTTGTCCGTTATACTCTGCCGTGCTAAGTCCGGGGAATCGTATGTGATCTGGAAACGAACGGTTAGAGATCCGGTTTCGCCAGAGAAAAAAAGAAGGAAGAAAGCAACGTCAACGCAGGGGAGTTAAGTACTGTGATACCTTCGGCGAAGTGTCCTTTGCGATGATATTATTGATGCCGACATGGACATCGAAGTCGTCTATCCAGTGTTCACAGACAGCCATTGCCCTGGTTGAATAAATAGACAACCCCAGCCAACGGAGGAGCTATAGTGGAGCTCTTAAGGCCGGTTATGGTTTTCTTTAATTATATTCTTGCCTTCTCGATGTTTCAACGATATCCTGGCCTTGCGAATCTCCACCTTCATTTATTTGTCGATTCGCATTTTAGGATTTCTGGAAATTGGCTGGCGGTGGTGGGCGACAATCTGGCGGAATGGAGAGAGACATGAGCGTAAGAGACCCTTGCAGAAGACGCCCAAAGGGAGGAACTGCGTCGAGCATCATTCTCCATTCGTGTTCCCATACTGACTAAACTAACCAAGGTGCTAAATACCCCTGCCAGCCTTCCCTGCCCGAAGAGGGGAACCAAAACGCCTCATCACCGGACTTCGGGGCGATGGCTTGCTTTAGTTCTGCAGCACGCAGCACAGATTCTTCGTACGCGCATTGTGACGAGGTCACCAGGAGATAGGGGGAACTGGCTGGCCGGCGAATATACGCTCGTCGTTCGCCGGGAATAAGCAAAAAGGGGGCCGAAAGTTGCATGTCGACTACTGACAAACTGGTCGATCACTGGCCTCCGTACCTGCGCACGTACAGCAGATATTCTCCAGCTGAACTAACTTGCTTCTTATGCCGTCAATCAATAACCAGCCGTTTCCTCCCAAGGCGATTAAGCGATTGGGAGAAATGGGGGAGATGGCGTTGCCTGGGCAGTAATCTCTCAGCAAGGAGAGACATTGAATACCGCTCTGATTATCATCCAGCAGCCTGGGTCTCGGCCACTCAACCGAGCACAAGTATATGTCTGGGTTATTTATGCATGAATTAGTGGTTGGACGCAAATTCCAGCCAGCCGCCTACACCCCCCTGGCAGAAGGGGAAGAACAAAAACTAGGCCTGCCGGCTTCGTTATATCCCATCTTTTTTTTTGATAACCTAGATAGCCACGTTTTCTCGCATGCTTCTGGAATCCGACTTTAGCCGGGTCCTTGGTCCTGGCCCTGGGGTCCCTTGGTCCTTGGGATTGGAGCCTGAATTCCAGTTCTTGATTCTTGGGGCGTTTTCTTTGGGATTTCTGGAATTCTCGCTTCTTGGTTTCTCTTGGGAGCTCTTCCCGCCACCCGGCCCATGGAACGGCAGTACGTGCATGCTATGTAATCCGAGTATATAGTCAAACGATGATATAGGGTAGAGTATGGAGTAATATGCACATACTTTCTGCACAAGTCGTCTATACCCTGTCCCATCGCAAGGGGTGTTGCCGCAGGCCTCCCATTTCACTCTCACCACTGCTGGAGATATAGTTAACGGGATAGAACCAACGCTGGAACCTTCGGGCACAACTCCGTCAGAGCGACGATCGTTCTTTCTAGCGCCTTCAACGCCAGTAAAGATGCATGATCTTCAAAGCAAGGAAGGGGATAGACACGTGGGATGCCGAATCAGTAGCGACGCCCGAGTAGCTTCAGCTTGTTCGGTGCGTGTGCATCGTATATAAGAATAAGAAAGGGTGATCTCCACGTTGGATTTGGTTATCGGGCAGGAGTTCGCGCGTGGTGATTTGCGGAAAAGGCAGCGTCGTACTTCATGCGAGTGGCCCGACCGCATGGCAATTGCTTGATATTTGCGAAACTGGCTTCCTGACTGGATGGAGTAAATGGATATTCCTTCTTCTAGAAAAAGACACTACCTTCGTACTCCGTACTCTCTTAACTTCTGCGTTTTGGTCGGTAGTCTCCGTGCCCCTCCACTGCTAGTGAGCGTATATCTTCGCCGTCAAGGTTGCTGGCGGCTGAGACGCCGTGGGGTTGCCGATGAAAGAGGTATCCTGTTATCCATCCTGTCTACCCGTCCGTCTGCTGCTGTGTTATGTGCTTGTAGGGGTAGGAGATGGCGTGGCATACTTCACACTTCCATGGACATCCATTCCATTCCCACCGTCATCCACAGTGGAACCATAGTTGAGACGATGGCAGCAAACGGTGATCCCCCAGGCATGCATACACGATCGATCTCTGTGGGCTTTCTTCCCCCCCTTCCACTCCATCCTTCCGAGCCATCCGCCTGTTGTCTAATATGCTATCCTGAATAGCCACAGACTCAGAATCAAATCTCCAGGCTGGCCAGCCGGGGGGTAAGTTAGGATACCGCCCGTCATTCAGGGCTAGACCGGCAATCTCCGTAAGGCGGGAGCACTAACGGCCAAGGAGTTACCGAAGAGCTATCGGGAACGCAAATCCTCATTTTTTCGAAGCTTCCTCGTTGTCTCCGGGGCAAAACACAACCACGAACATCCCTGTTGGACAACCAAGGTGGGCTCGAGGAGACGCAACGTTGGCATTCTTAGGGTTGAAATCACCCACACTCACGTCACATTCGTGCATTGAACCACCTCCTTCGAGGCGTGGAGTATGAGCTTCTCCAAAGCTAACACGGCTTCTAATCGGGATCTCGTAGGCGGTCTTTGCTTTTGCTGAACATGTATACCTCGATTAGTGCGAGTATTCGTCGACTACCATCTCCCAGGGGTACCCCAACACCAGCGAGATGGATGGTCAAAACGAGCTTTGAGACCTGCATGAACGGTGTGCAACAGGTTTACTCCGTACGAGTACTTTTAAGCCGAGGTTTGCCCAGTGCCGTTCCCAGCAGCCTCATCCTGTCTGCCAATCAACTGCCTGTTTGACAGGTCACAACATAATCATTCGCATATAATGTCTCTAAACAATCCATCAGTTCCACAGAAGCTCTGAAGGAAAGGAGAAAGGACCATACCCCATAGCCCCGTCTCTTACAGCAACTATCGCCTCGACTCCATCCCGCTTCCACCTGGCTTTAGCTCTGGCGGAAGATAGAGTTCTCGATAAGGTAGATGCGTTGATGAAACATAGTAACTGTGGACCTTTTTTTGGGCCAGCTGTCGACCTAAGTATAAGTATGTTTTGTATATGATGGCTTCGCTCCACCATATACGAGATACATCAGCGCGGTAGTCCAAGGCGGATTTTGAAAGGAGCTGGCGTTGATGTTGATATCATATCGTCGCGCGTAGAGAGTCCTATCCAGTATATTGTTCCGGACATCAAGATACACATATGCGCTTAGTAAACAAGTGCACCTCCAGTCTTGCCTCTCGTCTCTCGGGGACAGCACTGCTCGCTGCTCACCACCTTGCAATAGCTTGCTGATGGTCGAAGCTAGAGCAGACTTTGGGTAGATCCTGGCAGCGGCAACTGATTTCAGCAACCGTCTTGACCTGTTGTGTCGACTCTCGTGCGAGCTAACGATGCCAGCCAACCCTTACAGGACAATCCTGGACAAGAAAAGTTATATCTGATATCCATCAGTTATAATAATGAGGCGTATGGCACAGCATGGCCTCGCATTCGTATCCCAGAATATAGTTGGACAGAAGCCATCCTCACCCCTGAGGCATACGCTGGGATGGTGGCATAGCACCTTTGATATACTCCGTGCATCCGAAAACATACCCAGACACACTCGCCAGGCAGGGCAGCCACTTATATAATTTCCCTTCTTGCACATGTGCATGGTCCCCCAGACGCGAATAAGCTAGAAAGAAACGTCTCTCCGTGCAACTACCGCGGCTTGGAACTGGCGGTAAGGCAGGGGAGCCGACTCTCGTTCGGAAACCCGCAGGTTGACGGACTGCATGCAGCTACGACACCGCGCGGAAATGCAAGATGTTTGCTCTCGATATTTGCCCTATGGACAGCATATCTGGCATGGCATTGCGCGGCAGGGCGGCTAGCGTGCCAGATGAAATTAGAGGTGGATATGATCGAGAGTCAATTAGAGATGGGTGGGTGCTTAGGTTCGGATATCCAACATATCTACGAATACTTCGTGGGCTGTTAAACTATATCTGGATATTCCAGGTTATTGGAAGAAATAGGTTTTGATTGAAGCCGTATAACATATTCGTAGCCCGGTCTCCGTAAATAAAGATAAAAAAACAAGGGTGGAAGAGAATTGAAAGAGAGAAAACTATAAATCATCCAGCCCAATTCCAGGCCATATCATTCCATTCTACGGATGAGCCCTCCAGTGTAGCTTTTTTTTTTCATTCATCTGATTCAACGGGCGGTTTCTGGGACTATTAGCACAGCTAAGAGAAACCAGGGGAGGAATACTAGGCCTAGGCCCCCTGAACGAGCTTACCCGTGTAGTCAGTCTTCCAAATTGCAAGTTCTTTCGATTCTTTAGTGATATTGTCTTTGGCTCGACTCGCTACCTGGGAAGGTTATCGTTTCTGGTGGTGGGACGTCTGGTCCTGTGGCATCATGTAGAGATAGGAAAGCGGCGTCGAGCTGGGGTGGAGAGGCCGTTGAATGAGTATCCTGTGCTGGAGATTGAGCAGCTCCTCGTCCACGTCCACGTCCGCGCCCACGGCCAGCATCTCCGCCACCCCGACGAGGAGATCTTCGACAGTATTGACATGGGCTGGTGAGAAAGACGGGATAGTAGTCCGTACCCTCTGGGGGGCAAACGTAGCGGTTTTCGCAGCGGGTAAGAGGGCCCCAGCTTCGGTGGTTGCAAACGTGGATGTAGACGGCCTTTCGACACATGGTAGATGATGGGCAATTGGATATAGACAAGAAGTGGAAAGTTCGTTCTATGGGATGTTGGAAAGGTGCTGGCTCTTCTGAGAGTGATGAACAGTAATTCGTATAATACCGTTCAACGAGCGTGGAAGAAAGGGGGGATATTCAGGAATAATTGGTAAAATACCAGGTCTTCCTCAATGCTTTTTGAGAATATGGGGAAAAAATTAAATAAAAAGAAAGTCGATTGCTCTTCGGTATCTATATTTAAGACGTAGTGACAGTCAGATGGTATTCATCACGGATGCCTAACGTGATTGTATCGCCCCGGCTTAGTCGAGCTGCCTGATAATCGGGAAGACGCTGGAAGCACTGAATAATCAGACAGTATGTGAAATCCCTTCTTCGGTCTCTCGGGAGAAAGTGGGCTCGCTGTATTGGGAGTGAGGCGGGTCCAAGAGCCTCTCGACTGGACTGGACTAGACCGATTGAAAGGAAGGGGAATGGAGAAGGAAACGGGGATAGCAGTCCACCGGCTTTCACAACATCGGCCAAGGCAAGTGAAACGCACCTCTTAGCTACTCGATTTTCGCGAAGCTTCATTTCTACCCAGAGTATTCCCAGAATGGAAACACAATCAATATCATGACGGAAAACCGCATGTGATAATCCACAGCGGGTAGGTTAACGCTGCAACAGCTATATATTATGCATTCGGAACATCTTGCGGTTGCACCACCTCAGCTGGCTGTATGGATTGAAGTAAGCCAGCGTCTAACGTTCTCATTAAGCAACGAGGGCCGTGACTCGATTAGTATGTATTTAATGCAGGAACGCTGTGGAGACGAGTAAATCGCACATATCCCAGATCAAGTCGGGATCAGAGTTGAAAAGAAATTTGTAGGACATATTCAATGCTCTAGGCAAGAGGACCTGAATATCGGGAACGCATCATTTCACATGGTATATATGTGGTGCCCAACTTGTCGATGACTGACTATTTCTAGCAAGTTTGTCAAGCGGCAATGACTTATATCTCTGGTAAATAAGAACCTCGAAGGTGTGTATGCGTGTGGCATGGCACGACCTTGAAATGAATCGGGTACACGAAGAAATTAAAACCGGTTGTTACACGACGAAAATTCGCAGTATAGCACCGTCAAGAAGCTATGGCAATGAGACAGCATTTCGCTGTGCAACCAACGGGAGATCGTCCTCTGAGCCGTTGTAATGGACATGCAAGGGGGATACGCAAATTAAATGTAGCTTTGCGCCGGGAAACAGCTGGCATAGTTGGCTGGGGGGGCCGTAAACGTGTCCTAATGAGGCGACGTAAAGCGTGTAGTTCTTGCTTTGCCAGAAAGCAATCATGGGTATGTGCAGTTGCTGTTCTGTCCCGCCTGAGATAACTTGTCGGTGAGCATCGTTACTGTCAAGTACTGTTGCAGAGGACAGCTGGCAAATCTGTCGACGGAATAATCAGGCGGCCGTAGGCAGCGTGACGGTTCAAACAGGTAGTCAGGCTCTCGCATCTGCGGAGCTATATTACCTCCGTGATAAGACTCGCTGTCCAAGCCCTGGGTTTCCTCGGGCTTCGCTCTTCGCAGTAAACGACAGATCAACGGACAACTTTGCGGAGCTCCCTCTTCCAAGGCCGCCTCCATCAACCCAATGCGGCCATTAAATGCGTGCGCAGGGTCCGTAGCAGGCAGGGCATGCTGTAGTTATACCCGGAATCCGGAGTGAGTGCACTCCGCAGGCACAAGACAAGGTACGAAGACACAGCCCGCAACCCGCAAACATGATGGCGAGAAAGCCGAGCTGAGTGACTACGACGATCGCCGCGGCGGCAACTCCGTATCGGACCATGAAGGAAACTCAAGGGCACAGAGTCTTCTAGATTGTAAGCATAGAGATGGACAGCTAAGCCATATCGTCAGTTTGAGCATGCAAATCTCTTCTTGCTGCGCCGACCCGGAGGTAAAGGAGAGCAGACCTTGCGGTCGAGAAATGCGCGGCAAGTGGGCTTAGCAGGCTTAGCGCTGGGCAAATTTCTCATCAGCATCGAGCCCGGATGGCGTCTTCACGCCCTGAATGAAACACAGTGGCGCTTGCGTGCCGACCAGTTCCTATTGCTTGCAGCCTGCGTTGTTCTCCGGATACTTAAGTGCGGTCGTTGGGATCTTTTCTGGCGAGTTTTCTCATCAAAAGACAAACAAGTCACGGGACCTCGAGATATCGAAGACAGTCGGACTTTACCAACATTACACCCAAGATATACATATCAAGATACAGACAGCAGCAGACAGCATACAGAAATCAACAGAAAGCAACAGATACCAGAATGTCGACTACTAGCTCTCCTTCGTCTCCTTCGCTCGGTGCCCGGCGGGGGGCACCACTATCGATCGAAGTCCCGCCTCTCCAACAGCCCTCACCACCATCGAATACTCTCCTAATCACCGACCTCAACGATCTATCTCTCTTCCAGCCATGCTCACTAGGCTCTATCAAGTCTCACATCACGGCTGTTGCGCCGCTCAACTCATTCTCGCCTCTCCCGTCCTTTCGTCGCATAGTCTGCTCCTTCTTGACCATCGATGATGCAATCAAAGTCCGACAGCTCCTAGACAGAGAGCCACTGCAAGGAAAGGGCCGTGCCAGAGTATACTTTGGAGAAAACACACCGATACAAACTGATGCCGAAGAGATACGCAAGAGCAAGCTCCTCGAAGCTCCCCAGTCGCAAAAAATGTTCTTCATCAGCCCGCCACCCAGCCCCCCACACGGATGGATGATGCGCAACGAGGAACCACCAAACAAAGATGTTCATGCCACCGACCTGGCTGAAGCTTTGGGCAGACTTGGTCGGATCTATGGCTCTGACGGCCATGCTGATGAGGCTGGACGACGACCGGAGACACCAATTTCTCCTACAGACCCTGCGATAGCCGGCACGGAAGGGAAGGATATTGTTCGCACTGGCTCTGGATCCGGACAGCGGAGCCGCAGCAGCACTTTGATTTACCATCCTGAACACCATGGAAACAGTCCCCATCTTCCTGCCGTTATGGTTGAAGATACGACAGTTGACCCTGACGGGGACTCTGACATGGATTTGAGCCCGCTTGATATCCAGCCAAAGAAGATATATGCGCACACCTCTCGCCCTCCAACTGAGTTGATGGAGTAATGTTTATTACCTGGATGCTTTTTCTTATTGTTCCTTGGATTGGTACGGGGTTTCTGGAGTCTTTGGTTTATAAGGGCCATTGTTATCTGAGCGTTTTGTTTCCATATGCATTATCAAAGGCATGCCCTGCCTTTTTCATAATTTGCTACTCCACTGTCTACATCACTTATCCATAGAGAAAATTACACTGATACCCATTCTCAAACTATTTCTTCCAAATAACCTGTTTAGAATATGTTCATAATACTCGCATATATTGATAAGAATTAATAATACATTCCAAACACACATGTGAAGTCTATCTCTGGATATTAATAAAAAATGCTTTACCGCGCTACGGATCCTGCCCTTAACCCGCCACTACCAGATGGAAAGTTCCTGGCGCTCAGCAAAGTCCCCTTGACACTCCGCACCTCCAATTTAAATGCCGCAATGGCCTCCTCCTCACCACCAGATGAACTGGCCTTTTTGACATCAGTGAAATCATCGTATGCGCCGTATAAAGAAGAACTCAAATATGACGGAGAGCTATATGTCAAACTATCAAGATACGTGTGTAACTCTGATAGTCTGCTTTTGGCATAATTCTGTGTGGCATCGCTGTACTTTTCAGTGGTCACCACGCTGCTTAACTGGGAGGATATCGACTGGAGACGTGAAAGGTGGTTATCGATTGCTTTCTGTGCCGCCGACTCCGCCTGTACTTCTGTGCCTGCTGGTGTTTGAGATGAAGCGGATGTGTCGAGGTCCACTGTCGTCTGGGTAGCGATATCTCGATGAAAGAGCTCCGTCGGGTCCGACGTCACTGACTCATTGTCACCCTCGCTCTCATCTTCTGCTATATGTTTCGGCTTCGAGACCGTCGGTGGGATGGAGGACACTCTTTCCTCCAGCTTCTCGTTCAACGTCTTTAGATTCCCTTGCACGGTTTGGGAGAATTCGTGACGGGCGCCGTTGAGTGACTCTAGCATTGGTTTGGCGAGAAACTCACTCGCGCCATAAATGCTGGCTGCCAGGCCCGCGGCGCCGTATATAGTATATAGGAAATTCTGGAACGTAATAAGAGGTGGCTTTGACTGATGTAAGAGGAATTCGGGATATGTTATAATTGGAGGCACGTCCCTGCTGGGTGGCGTTGGAGACGACGCTGGCGACGACTGTGCGGGAGGAGAGATGGGCTCGCTAGGAGGTTTATTGGAGGAGGGTTGTTGCTTGGTTTCTGTAGATTGGGTGGCAGTGTCGTCGTCGGCGGTGGCTTCGACGTTTCTAGATACCCCGAGAACGGTGTGGATGTCATCGTTTGAGAGCCCCTTGGACTCTAGGAATGCGATTTTCTTGTCCGTAGGTGCATCTGATATTGATTCGTCTTGTAGAAACCGCCTGGCCTGTTCGATAAGGGTTTCCTTGCTCTCCAGCTCCGTGCTAGAGCTCTGTTCTGGCATGGCGGTGTCGTCAGACGGAGCCTCCTTCTGAGCAGCTCCTTGCTGCCAGCTCGGTATCGATGCTCCTTTTGGTCCGGCCATACTGTCTATGCGGCCTGTAGATGGGGATATAGTTCTGGTATCGAGAGTGTTGTAGAATGGTGAATTGCAAGGAGGAAGACGAAGAAACGCGGAGGAGCTCAAAGCAACTTTTTACCTCGGCCCTTTTCATGCGCTGTACTTTTGGTAATGTGTCTGTAATATTACAAAGCTACTTCTATCACTAACAGTTTTCAGCCCTATCAGAGGTACCTCTATATATTACACATACCACCAATACATCACGATACTATCTGATATTTGACGCTTTTCAACCTCCGAAAACTCCAACGATGCGACCCGAAGGAGTTCTTCGACTTCCCAGGAATAGGATAGGCGTTATAGCTGCTGCTCGTCCCCCGTGCTGACCCTGTGAGACTCTGCTATTGCGATTCGCTGCAGCTTACCTCACCTGTGGCGAAAGGGCGCTATTTCTTGTCGCATCCCAACGACGGACGGATCAGATCCATGACAGAAGAGCGAGACCAGTCAAGCGTCTCCGCCAACAGGAAGAGCTCATTGCCATCCAGTGCTCGTACAACCACGACACCCGAGCAAGCAGCGATGCCAGCCGCCATTCAGCTCCTCTGAACAGTAATACTAGGTAAGGCAAGCCGACGGTTTCTCCCTGCGCGCGGCCCCCATATATATACATGCAAAAGAGCAGCACTACGGAGTACATGCAGCACAGAACATCCCGAACCCCCTGATTCCCTGTTCTTTTTTACTCTCCTGTATCCCTGATTAGAAGGCCTTGCTGTCCGGGCCGTACTTGACCCTTTTTTGGGGCTGGCTGGGAATACATATACCATCCAACATCTCGCCAAGATGAACACTTTAGGATGCGGTTTGCAGGAGCCTTTTAATATTTGGCAGTGAAAGGCTTGAATTGTAGCCTCTTACATTGCCTTTGCCTTTGTTCCGATAAGAAGACGATGCCGTGGTGCTTATGCAGGCCCCCTCCACTTCCTTTCACCGGAATTTCCCTCGCGATTCACCTCTGCATAGAACATTCACCGCAGGCAGAAGCCGCCCATCTTCGGCCCTTGTTATAGTCGATTTCTCTGTATAAACACACACTGCCTTCTGCTTTCTAGCAACATCACCCCTCTTCCCAGTTCTGATATCATTGATCATAACATCTCTATCCCCTTCGTTTCAACCGTTCAACTGTTATATCAACTATACCCGAGATGACTTCCACTCGCTCTCTTCGCTCTCGTGCGGCTGTAACCAAATTAACCACGTCTACAGATTCTCCCAACGCGAAAGCACGGTCGACACGCGCAACTAGAAGTGCTACTACAACAGTGACAGTATCCCGATCACCACCTAGTTCTCCTGAAGAGAGGAGGAAATCAATTCGACTTACTGTCAAAATGCCGTCAAGCAAGCTCCGTGAAGTCACCAATGGAGCAGAGGACATGGAGAAGCCTCGTAATATATTTACAGAGGATGTCATCGTCACAGGCCCTAGGAACAGCCGCTCTAAGAGAAGAGTTGTCGAAGTAGACTCAGATGAGGATGATGACCCATCTGAAATTGGAGATGAAGAAGACGAGGATGACGAGGAAGATGCCGAAGGCGATTCGGATCTAGATGCCGACGGCGAGCCGGACATCGATGCAGAGGGTGACATCGACATGGACGACGCTCCTCCGGTATCCCCCATTGCAAAGCAGGCGGCTTCCCGACCCACGGTTACGGTTACTCCTGCAGCCGCAACTAAAGTAAGGAAGACAGAGTCACGGGCTGTTCTTGATGACGACGATGACGAAGATGACGAAGAAGGTTTGTCTGAGCTCGAGTCTGATAATGATATCGGCGCACAAGATGATACCATTGGCCTTGACGAAACCAACGAAGACGAGGAACCCGACGATGATGAAGATGAGGAAGACGATTCAGATGAAGATCTTATGGGTGGAAGTAGATCGAGTACCCCCGATTTAAGTAAAATGACCAGACGGCAGCGTGGTCGAATCGAACTTGGAGGTGATTTCTTACAGCTACCAATGGGTGAGTATCAATTCTATAAGTCTTATATTGCACAATCCATTAACAACAAATGATAGAACCGCAAGTTAAGAAACACCTAACCGCCGAAGAACATGCCATGCGCCGGGCAGAGATGGCAAGGAGAAGAAAGAACCTCAGCGAAAAGCGTAACGAGGAGGAAAAGGTATGTAGCTCTACTTAACCTAGGTCGGCGACATACCACATATAGATTTCTAACGGTCAATATCAGATGGACACAATAAACAAACTGCTCAAGAAACAAGCCCCCAAGCGTCGTGGAAAAATCAGTGCCGCCGAGGCCGCTGGAGAGAGCACCCCAGGCCAACAGGAAGCTCAGGAGCCAGAAAAGCCAGATCCTACAATGATACGATACGTTATAAATCGTAATGGCAACCGCATCGGGGTTCCAGATGAGTGGTTTGGTACTCCTGCCGGCAAGATTTTCGGCAATCCAAGCAATGCCCCTGCCTCCCATAGCGGGAAGCTTGTTGAAGAGATATAAATGATCAATCCTCTTTTATGCAGGATTTTCTATTAGGCGAGAGAGCATGGTGCTACCCGCCATGCTGGGAAGGCTGTATTAGCGCATGACCGCTTCCAGCCATGTCTGGTGTTCGGTTAGGGTATCGAGTGAAGTGATAGCTACATGGCTTTTTATTTTTTTTATTTTATTTTTGGATGACATGGCGTTGGGGATTGAGAGTTCTAGCTTAGGACCTACATTAATTGAAACAGGGGGTAAAATGTATGATATAAGAATTTTAACGCAGTGTTGTAAACATATGATAGCTACTACGTATCGTACAGTGAGGTTTAGCTTGCCCATTTCCTCCACATCTAGGCTGATCTCATCAACTCTATCAAAGCCAATATATCCTGAATATCTCCAGGCTCCTGCTACCGTAACCTGGGAGGCGTGGTGCTTATATACTCTCCAACAAGGGTCCAGCCCCACCCACCTAGACCATTAGATCCCTATTTTCCTCCACACGAGCAGGTATCATGCATTGAGGTTTCCCCTTCAAGTTCGCATTTATATTCTTGGCGTGGCTTATACATCCAACTCCGCTTTGTGGCATTTGGCCTCGCGTCTCAAGCCGTGTAATTGATTCCTCCTAGTCATTTCTCTAGAGAATGTAATCACTTATGTTGCTCGGCTTTATTCGTTAAGTCGTTTCCCGTCCACCAACTATAAATCTGCCGTGTGTATGTAGGTTCGGATTGTTTTGAACTGGAGAAATGGTTAGCAGTTGAACCGAAAAACTATAGAGATGTTGACCCATACTCTGATTCTGCCAGCTTCCCAGCTTCATGTTCATTTATAGCTGGTTTAAAAACCATGTAGCCTGCGAAAGAGGGATACGCAATTAGCTGGTTGAAAAAAAAACCGTCTGGAAGCTGGAAACTGAATACTTACCATTGAGAACCCCAAAGCCCGTAGCTATAATAATAGGCACAAGGCCACGTTTCCCGCTCATCTTTGGTTATCGAAACAATTCCCGTCGTGAGTGCCATTAATCGGACAAGTTATGTTCGTCTGTCTGTGGAATGAATTTCCTTGACGTTGAAATTACGTAATCACTCACTGAAGAAGTTTCCACTTTAAGTCGCGTCCAGACGCGTCGTTGAAATTCAACTTCAGTGTTCAATTTGAAGCAGTGTCCCGCCAGCGAAAAATTATCTACGGAGTAAAGGGATGGAGTGTTGCAAATGGAACAATGGCGAGAACGCGGATATGTCCCCGACTCTGACGAAGATGACGAATTCGACAGCCAGGAGTTAATTGGTCAGAGGGTGGAAGAGGAAGTGATTCTCGGTGATGACCATACGGATACTGAAGAAAACAACCATGAGGTCCAAGAGGATGAAGGTGAAGAGGTGGTAGCAGATGCTGAAAGGGTTCAAGATGGAAACGAACATATATTAAATGAGAGCTCTCAACGCACACGAGACGACACCGTCGAGCTCGAGACGGATCCGTTACAGGACGACTATGAGACCGTCTTGCAGTCATTTCTGAGCCCGATTAAGAGAAGAAAGAAGAAACCTGATGATAATACCCACTTCATCAATACGGCCTCTCAACCGGAACCCCCGTCCTCTCCCGATGAACTGCAATTCGAGGAATTTCGTCCCAGGCCCCCGCAAACGCCACTTGCTGAACCAACTGAGATCCATGATGATAACCTGCATTTTGACAGTGTCAACTCATCCCCGTTGTCATCTATACCGCCGCTTCTGGAATCTCCTCCATCCAGGGCCGCTTCCCCAATATCAATACAAAATGAAGGCGAGGTCGAGCCACAACCACAGCAGGAAATCATACGCCCAAACGATGGAGACATTGATATGGTTGGCCTTGCTGGCGATGGACATTCTGAATGGCAGAACCAAAGTAGGAGGGCACTAAGGCAACGCAATGCTATACAGCTACACCCATACATGCTGGAAAATGCTCAGTACCGATCACTTCTCAGAAATAGAGGCGTGCAGCCAGTGCGGATGCCTGTCGAAGAATCTCAACCCCACAACGAACCAGGCGAGAGTCAGAGCTTTGAATTTCAAGACGAGAACGTCCTACCTTCTAGTAGCCCTGTTTCGTTTCATTTGCCGGCTTCTTCACCCGACATGTATGATCATTCGGGCTTGAGCCAGTCACTGAGTCAACAAAATCAAGCAACGGGTCAAGAGGAAAGTTTGAAGGATCGCAGTAATACCCATGCTCGACTTAGTTCTGTCAAGTTCAACCAAGTAGGGAGCAAACGGCGTAAAATTGCCCATGGGGAGAATGATCGCCGGTCAGGGGATTCTAGCAAGGGGAATGGCAATGGGGTCCAAGTGGTCATAGATAACAGTCCCCAGAAGAAAAGCGACCTTCTTGAACTTTTCGACGTATTCGATGTACCCCCGTCTCCACCTTCATCAGGCGAAGCGTCCTCGGCTCTTCCAAGGGACCCGACTACTTTTAGGTTCCCACCAGGATTTACTCCCAACGAGTTCAAGACTCAGCTGCAAACTCCGCTTTCTGAAAAAGGATCACAATCTGACTCACCTGGAATCATTTCTATTGAATCATCCCCGGTGCTAGACCTTGATGAGGAAGAAGAAGAATCCCCAAGTGTCACACATTCTTCCGCAGACGACTCTACCTCCGAGTCTCCTGAAGAGGATTCCCTCGTAATTCGACAAATACAGCGGCAAATCAAGGGAGTTCTTCCTGCTTCGTTTGCTAGACTCGACCGTGAGAAACATGAGGAATATAAGAGACAAGCTGCCGAAAAGGAGCGCCGGAAAGCGTTGGTCCGAGAACGCAGGACAGGCAAGGGAGTTGCCCAACCCGTTTCACGTAAAGAGAGAGCTGAGAACCAAGAGACTCCGACTCGGGCCAGAAATCTTGACTTATTTAGCGATTCTGAGTCCGACGATGATGCCACTCCTATGAGATCACAGCAGCAAAAGGCACGTGAATTGAGAGAGCAAGAGAGACTTGAACGCCATTTTGGGTTGATTGAAGACGACGATGATATCCCTGAAGACAATCGCATTGATTATATGGCTCCCCCGGTTTCACGTCGACCAAAAACGAAAAAGCGCTCAGCCCAGAAAAGTAGAGGTCAATCCTCTAGACGAAGTGGTACCGAATCTTGGACTCCCTTTGAATGGAAGCCACAGAGGAAGCGGCAAACAAGAATTACGGATAATATCGGTCTCCGGAAAGCAAAGCCTGCGAAACCACGCCCTCCTAATTTGGGCATCTTAGACGCTGAGGATGTTAGAAATCAACGCCTAGATACGCAGCCGCAGTTTTTAAGAGTTGCTGCTCGGCGAGCACGTTCACGAAAAGACAAGGGACGCCAAAGCCCTTCTCGGAAGATTTTCAAGTTGGCCACGAAAGCTGATACTCGTGATGCAAATAGCTCACTATGCAACTGGAGATCGGGGAAATACCAACAAGCTTCCGGTATAACATCGACACGGCCACGTACCACGCCAAGGCCTCATAGTAGAGCTGGAAATCCGTCACCTACCTCTCGAGCTACCCAGGCAAACAGGGCAACCCCAATAACTGAAACCGACCCCGAACCGATAGTCATATATGATGATGATGAAAGCCTGAGCAAACAAGATACACGTACAGGGATTAATAAAACAAAGCAAAGGCCGAAAAACAATTGGGTGGTCAACCGTCCATACGGTATCTCATCCTTTCAACGACACCTTCCAAGGCCCGCGCAGTTAGATGTGGAGGATATTCCTACTGGCATTTCCCAGCCACCGTCAGCATTTCACAGAACGCTTTCAGCGCTTCATAAAGCATATAAATCTTCGAAGCAGCCTTTAACCCTGACCAGATTCCTCAGCCAAGCAAACAAGCCACAACAACAACAACAACCACCACCGCCGCCGTGGACTAACGCAGAGAGAAGTTATGTTCCTACTCAACAAAATGTCAATGACCGTCCAGCCCCTAGAAAGGAAGTCAAGAACCAACGTCCTGCCCAAAGAAAACGGCAACCCCGGCATATAAATATCGAAACGTTCGAGTATCGCCAACCCCCTGAATTTCAAAATGAAAAAAGCGACACGGTTTCTATCGTGCACCCAGAAGACGATAATCGTTCATCCCTACCTGGCCTTCATCGCCCTGAAAACCCCTATAAACTTGATTTTGATACCCATCCACTCTACTTGGGCACATACTTCCATCAGTCAACATTCATAGGAAGTGGAAAATTTTCTCATTCTTTAGACGTGCTATCTCGGGACTTAGATGCTGATAATGGCCATGCTATCATCCGAATAGAGGACAAGATCTATCACTGGGGCCCTTGGAATGAGACTGTATCATCAGAACTCGGCGAGTTATTTGGTTACTTAGGAAACCAGCTAAGTCCACAGCAAACACTAGACAGCACGGCAATCCTGACAATCCCAAATGCTATGGAAGTGCTTGGTCTATATATATCTGTCATTTGTTACGTTACAGATCATCTAAGTTTCCGAGATCCCGTCGATCGCATCAACTTCGTTTCTAGATGCACTATTTTTGTCTCCCTGCTAAACGATACATATCGGTCTAGCTTTAACTGCGAGAAAGATGTCACCACGGTCATGGTCAGGATGGAAATGTTGAATCTTGTGTTTTTGAATCAATTGCTACAGATCACAAACCACGAATCTATGGATTCGTCCAGGGTTGACACAGTTGTTAATCTGATAAAGCTCTCCGCACGACGGACAATGGACTTTACCCTAAGCCGAACTGGGATGGAAAATATTCAGCAACTCCTGGAGGACAACCGGCAGCTGGAAAAACGTGAGGTTGGGATTCGAGATGATTATCCATTTGTCGACGCGTTCGTAGTTACTCAGAACGTCCTCCAACAAAAGGCCATAAAGGACAAGGGTCTTGAAATGCACTTTCTAGACCAGTCCACAGCCACCTCTCCCTCCAGCATCCCAGATTTGGAACGAGCCTGGGAGGCGCTTTTTACCTTGCTCCCTTTCCAAGAGATTGACCAATTCGGTATATTCCACGCTGGGCTACGTCTTCAGCTAAACCATGACCGCTGGCCTGCTGTTAAACAGTTGATGTTGAATGTCCTTGAATCTTATCGATCGAGCCCGAAGCCGCAGTGGGCGTCGTTGAATAATTACATGCGAACACTACTACAACGTTGCTTTATCCTCATCAAAAATTGGGGTTGGCGGCACTGTAAGCCAATTCTCGAGACGCTATTTGACTTTTTCACCGGAAATTCGCTTCATGACCTTGAGAAAGAAGCAGCTCATGGCTCGCCCCGCTTTCTCGATCAGTTGGCTTCAGATCCAGTACTCGACATAGACGTGACGGATAGTTGCTTTCGCATGTTCTTAAAAATAATTGCGGTGGGGTTGAAGTATTTGAATAGTCTACTTGAGCCAAAGAAGATCCTTAACTTGGTATGGCGACTGCTACCAAACCATGGCCGAACTTATCCTAAAGAAAAGCCTTTACGTGTGGAAGATTTGAATGCGCTTAGGAATCACCATGACCTCCTTTGCACGTTATACTGCTGTGCGCCCCAGGGGTGCCGGCCACCCCTTAACACGATCCGAAATCTCGTCCACCCCCCGACATCTCATAAAGATGCGTGTAGCATCAACATTCACTCCTGGTCGAGATTGGTTAGATTCACCCTTGCTAAGGATGGTGATGCGTCTGACTTGAGTAAATTCGCGGAGTGGCATAGTGATTTTATTACGGATATAGTAAGACAGCACTCTCAAGCACGAAGCGAAATAGAAGCAGAGGACCCTTCTGCCTCTCTATTTTCCCGTCAGTATATTGAAGGCGCCATTATCAAGAACGAGCGACACGCTGAAGCCCTTATTAGTGATGCCCTTGTTTGCATGAGGACGGCTATAGATGCAACAAGGGATGCGGATCAAGCAGCAATGTTAATGGAGACGATGCCCCTTGGAAAGCTTTTCGGACTCTTCAGGCCCAAAGTGAGGAGACTAGACGCGGTGGTTTGTCAAATTTTGGACGTTTTGATAGCCTTTACGAAGGCTAATGATCGACCGGCTGCGTCATTCCCGCTTGAAACACAAGTTGACCCTTCCGAGACCAACGAGGATAGCCAGGATGACTGGCTTGATTTATGCCAGGAACAGATGGAAGTCTCCAGTGCGGGCTCATCTTATCTAAACCGTGCTATTTCGCCAGTACTTTCTCAATTCATTTCAATCTGCTTTGGGGTGGACCAGACACCTGATAACTCCATTCTCGTCAAAGCAATCGATTGCTGGTTGTCTGTGGCTCATACGCGGGTGAAGCATGGGCAACGGCAATGGAGTAGCTACTTCAACCGCTACGACCAAGACTCCTGGGCAGCTCTGAAGCCAACAAATCAGACTCGCAGATTTATGCCATATTTTATATCAAGCCTAATTTCAATTGATGCAGCTTCGTATGAGGAGTGCCAGTCGCAAATATTGACCTGCTGGAGTACTTCACTTGTGGAGAAAGAATTATTTTTGAAATATCAGCACGACTTGACTAATGCCCTATTAAACGAAGATCGCGAGAACCCCCTCTTTAGGAATTTGCCATTTGCAGTCAACGGGGTAACTGGCCGATATGAAATAACATTGATGGAGTTTTGTCAAAGAAGGACCTCTCTCATTTCATGCGTGCTATCTAACATGCGAATACATCTGTCGGAACTTGAGCCAGGCCAAATCCATGCTTCTAACGGAGTTGGCGAATTATACCAGGAGATGATAAGGTCTATGATGGCAACCATGAAACAGAATTCCGAGGAAGTAGGAAAGACTCTCGCACCAGGTTCTTATGTCGACTTTGTTCATCGAGTGGTGGAATTCCTACAGGTGCATTCCGAAGACATATGCCCAATAGACAGATATTTTATGGATCCAGCGTCATTTCCCCTCCCGGCATCTGACCCTAATTATGTCGTTGCCAAACTTAAGAGATATGAAGGGCGACTATCTGCTGGCAGCAAGTTTGCTAAACAGCTTGTGACATTTATCCAGGGCGTGTCTGAACGAGCAGCAGTTGACGCACAGCAAGGTTACCTTGCAAACCAACTCTATGAAGCCATGTCGAATAGCCTTGAAAGTGGAAGCTATAAGCAGCCAACTCTTAGGTGTTTCCTCCTACAATGCGTGATTCCCGAATACGTGTCAGCGTCTCTTAGCAATCCCACTGCATGGATACTAGCTCGCCCCTTTCTACAGGCTACAACACGCGTCTTCTCCGATTTGATACTCAAAGTCGACTTGACGAAACGAGATGAGGTTGGTGTTACTATTGATTCGATCACGGCATATTTCGAATCCGTACATAGTACCCTGCAGCGTCCAATATGTGATCCCCATCTACTATATGAGGCGCCGATGCTACTCACACTCACCTCTATTTTCGAAAGCATCACAGCATCTCTTGCCATAGTAGATTATCTTGATCGTCTAGGTGAAGAGGTTAACGGCCTTTTGTCATATATCGAATTCTTTGGGCAAACCGCATTATTTTGCCTGTCTTCCCTCCTTGACCCTCCCGCAACCACTCCACCATTTCTTCGCGACTCTCCATCCAGCCCTATAGACCGCAGCCTCGGCAAACCCCCGACATTTTTTGCCGAAACTCGAAATTTTGCCGCTCGTGAACTTGAATTCTGGCTGGCGGATAAGTGGGCGCTCCACGATGGAAAGTATTTTGTGCGTCGGGGGCAGCAGTATACAAAGATTGATGTCACCCCCGGTACTTTATCTGTGGAGGTTGCCAAATCGGCGTTTATCCAAACCGTTCAGCTACTTTTTGGCTCCATAGAAACATTACATATTTTCTAGAGAGCATCTCTATGCATGTGTTTTTTCCTTTTTGTCAAACCTTAGCCTTTAACGACATGATGATGCATTTGTTTTCTGTTTAGAGCGGGAACTACAATTACGATCATACGCCTCTTCTATTTAACCAGTGTCAATACAATATACACCTAATTCGCTTGAGAGAATTGAAGTAAACTTGGATTTTGGTCAAATCAACTGTAATCATTGCGATCAAAAAAGTACCTAAACCATCAAATAAAACTGTCGAGCTCCATCGGAATAAATGCCGCTCCCACAATTTTCAAACTCCAACCAGCCTCAATTTGCTTATTGGGTATCTGACTCAAAACATAGAAGTGAGTACCAAGACAGGGTATTCTGACCATGGAAAACAAAAGGAAAGACAGATTCATAACACATATCATCCAGAGCAGATAGCAACGATCAAGCACCTTCGTCTGTTGCCGGCCTGGACATAGAACCACTATGGCTGTTTGAGCGAATATGCAGCCTATTCCCCGAGTTAAAAGAAGATAAACCCAGTACCTTCTTAACCGCATTGCTAACTCCAGACAACCTCCTTCCTTTACCATCTTTGAGTTCGTTCGCCTCGTTGTTAACTGCCTTTGGCCGTTTAATGACAGGCACGTCTCTGCAGGGCGTCGGCTTTGGGGGCCATTCGCCGTTTGTTTTCCATCCTTGGACGAGAGCGCGGGTCATGTGGGCGAGGTTTATGGGCACGGCAGGCGTGTTTGATTGAACGACGAGCCGGCTGTATATTGCAGGATAGACGTTGGGAGTTATGGCTGCACGCAGCAGGTTGGAGTCAGGTACCAAGGGGCCCATGACGGGTATTAGACACTCATCGTCAACCTCTGGGGTGGTTTGGTTGGTGGTGACTGGAGGGTCTAAGGTTGCTTTCTTATCCAACGAGACGGTGATACACTCTATCTCGTCCTCCGGAGGTGCGGTAACGGTCACCGATGTAGGTGGTTTTTTAACATGAGCAGACGCCGAGGCGTTTGATGCCGGCCTGGATAGCGTATACTGCGACTCTGTATCAACCAGGTCTGTATCGTAGCTCCCACTGTAGCTCTCTTCACTGCTAAGGGACTGTCGATATGTCTCCAATTCCGCTTTGGTACCAGTCACAGCCGGTGCGGACGGTGGCTCGGGGACCTTTGCACCTGTCCACGCGTCCCGTCGTGCCATCCAGAGATTCAAGCCCTCATTCCATTTCATCTCATCTTCAATTATCTTGCGACGCTTTCTCCGCCGGTCCGATACACCCCGCGCAACGGCATCAGGCGAGTCGAAGCGATATGGATCAATCCCCTCAGGACCTCCATGTCCATCGTCCGCGTCAGAACCTGAGTTCTCCTGCTCACGATGCCTCCATCCTATAATATCACGCGACTCCTCCGAGACCGCCGCTGCGTCTTCAGCAGTCTTCGCAGGGTCTGTTTCCAGCGGCGGATAGGTCCAGTCACTGCGGACGACCTGGAGAAGGAATCTCTTTGCGTCTCGGGCTGCAGCGTCCCTGGTTTCCAGGGTCTTGGTGACAACCGAGCTGGCTGAGTCGGCCGTGCGAGTCCTGCGATGCAAGCTTGCAAAGACAGAATTCGACGGAGCTGGAATGAGCGGATGCGTGTGGGAGAAACTAGCCAGGCTCTCCATAGGTGCAGATGTGTGGTCGACGAGTATCTTGTGTATTCTTCTTGTTGTGGGAGCGGTTGCGAGGAGGATGTAGGATGTAGAGCGGTGACAAGGGTGATTTGGCGATATAAGATTGTTGGTTTCAACGCCGGGTTTAAGGTGTTTTAGATAACTATCACGCCGAAGCTCTAGTTTGCGCCGACCAGGATCTATATCACAGATAAACACGCAGGCTGCGGTCCGTCACTGCGAGCTTGACCTTTACGTGCGATGTATCCAGCACAGCCGCCCTCTCGCGAGATGTCGCCCGCACTCCGTCCACAGTCGCTACCCAAGAAAGCGCCAAGCGAGGAAGACGAGACGATGCAGGGTGAAAGGGCCCGAGATGCAAATCGTTAGGCGAAATCAAGAGGCAAAAGCTCGCTTCTCTTCAGTCTCGTGTCGGCCAACTAGCAGCAAGGCGAGAGAGGAGGAGGGGGAAGCATTTGGCGACTCCGAGGACTGTGTGGCTTTGCCCTACATGTATACAAGAGTCCTAACTTCTCTGCCGTGTCTGGGGCAACTTAGCCCTGCATGAGAAGCAAAAGCAAAGAGACAAAGGCACGCCGAACGGTGATGGATCTATATCGCTGAAGAGTTCAACCCCAGAGACGAAGGAATCCTTGTTTAATCACCACAATAAGCTTATCTCTCGATCCGCGTCTCTTCAAAATATATCTCCCCGATGCAAGGGAGATCCGCCCGAAGGATCAAGGACAGGGAAAAGCGGTTACTGGGCTGAACGGTCGCTGGTACGACGTCGATATCAAGGCTGAAGATGTGATAGAAGGACGGTTCTCCTGGATAGGCCGTGGACAAGTCAAATGTGCAGCGTATAGAGAACGTCCTGATCGTCTCACGCTATTATATCCTACGGCCATCGGAGAATATCACAGCTACTGGAGTCTTATACGACGAGAAACTTCCTCTACCCGCGCCGCGCCCTGATCGACGGAGATGGAACAAACTCGACTGAAAGTACCGTCTTGGAAGATGCACATCGAGAAAACCGCCGCACAAATTACGGCCGACTCGAACATTGCATCAGGGTCAGCATGTTTCCTTGGGATATGCACAAAAGTGGCGCCATCTCGAAAGTCAGTCAAGACCATTGTTTAGGCTCACTACGCCGTTGGTCAGACCATATTTAGGATTCGTTGAAACGAAATGCTAACGGTCGAGGCTCGAACCTGATTCGAGTACCAAAGATGTCAGCGAGGAATATTAATAGAAATCTTACGACAGAGACGAATATGGCATTCACATCTGACGCCTAGACATCGTACGATGCTGTCAACATACGATATGCTTGACTTTTCCTTGTTCACGAGAAGAAGAACTCGACGATGAGCTCTTGGCCCACCGTTTGACGGGAGCTTGGCCTGCAGCAATGGGTGACTCGGGCCATACGGCCGAGCCGTATAAACAAGCGTATAAACGAGTCACTCCATTAATAGTTCACGAGATATCACAGGCTGTCCTCCATCGTGCGTGGATAAAGCGGAATTAAATATAGATACATCTGTTGAAGCCTTGACCTTGGAGTCAAATCACTTGGTTCCTCAGATAATAGTTTCAATTCCTCTTTTAATAGTGTTGTATATTCTTTGCTCGTTGCTCTTCTTCCTATAATCTAACTTGGTATTGTCGAGGGTTATAGATTAGATGGCGGGGTAGAATTGTTTGTCCTTTTAGGAAGAAGGAGAGAGGAGTTTTAAGATAATAGTATGCCCAGTGGGAGTGACTATCTGTGACGTTGATGAATTACCACTACTTATCGCGTTGTAAATAACTGATTTTGAATGTAAATTGATCGAAGAATCGAGACTGCCTGTAAGATATTGATATCAAAAAATTGATTTGAACTGGGGATTCAAAGTCGTTTATTGTACATTTATAGAGAGTCTGGATATCTCAATATTGAGCACCAAACGGACCTGACATCGAGCATCAAACCAAGCATCAAATTAGCTTGATATCATGCGGGATATCGAAAATCAGATTAGCTTGATACCACGCTGGATATTCACACCAAATGGCCTGATACAAGCTGGATATCAAACACCAAATCGTGCCTAAGATGGAGTTTTGTAACTCTTTCGGCCCGGAAAGCTTCTGTTTATTTTACCCTACGGAGGCTTAAGATGAATACAATATCATCCAGGGCTTCATTATTGTCGATCCTCTCTACAACACGATGTGAAAAGCCCCATCTTTAAATTCCTAGGACCTTTACTTTGGACAAATCTCCCTTATAGCTTAACCGTATTTCCTGATATACGACCATATTTCCCATGACGGGGTCAATGAAGATATCCAGAACGCAACCCATGACGGATGAAAGTCTTCTATCAGAAATTAGAACAAATGTACTCATAATCGATGCCGAGTTCCTACATGTGCTAATTTACATTGCTAGACTGGCTGCGTCGATGCGAAGTCAATAAGCTGGCATGAGTTCCCAAAGGCCACTCAAATATTCCCTCCCCCAAACTCGGTAGCCATTGTTGCGGATGTCGTCTCGAGCCAGGGCGCAGTACGTATCTTCGAGACGAAGGATGGTACATACGTTGGCGGAGTCGGAACCAACCATCTCGGCTATCTGGTCATCATTCCTTGGAACACAGACTGGTGGTTTCGCGTAGGCGGATCTCTTCGCGTTGGATGCGCTTTGAAAGAAGCAGTCGACCGTGGCTGAGGATACCGCTGCATGACTTTTTTCCGATTTACGATTAATTGATTTGTGAACTGGCTAGTCACTGGTATAATGACGAACGGGAGGTGTATGGGTTGTGTGTCTCTGTCAAGTGACTTTTGCCGGTATCTGATTCAACTGTACAGCAATAATTTGCAGTCTCTGGGAATCAACTCGAAGGCATCTCTGGATAAGGAAGCTAGGAAGTATTGCTAGCTGATTTGTAGCATCCAGAGCATGGAGTCTGGCATACTGCCAGCTCCTAGCCAAAGATAGCCAACTATGAGTACTTGATGCTTTGGTCTGTTGGCCTTGGAATGAGGCAATAGTTCCATTGCCTAAAAGCCCGTTCGTGGCAAACTGTTTGGCGACATCTTGAAGTACAATAGTATTGATAGAGTCCCACTGTTCTGTGAGCTAGCTTGGAAGGAAGAAACACGCGGACTCTATCCCGCATGTTGGCTACCAGCGAAGGACCCAGTCCAGCAGCTATCAAAACAACCCCGACATCACCAAGATTTATTTGATCCTTCGGAGGAAATCGAGATATGTCACCTTCTTCTTGGCCCCTTTGGAGTTGGAATACTTCCTCTTTGCGAGGAGCTTCCTCCATGCGATGGTGTGTCACTTCACAAAACTCACAAAGTTTTGCTTCGCGCAGGTGATTCTTTTAGCTGGTACTTTCTGTTGTCATTGTTGTTAGAGAAACTGAAATTTGCTAGCATAAACAGGTCGTTATTCTTTGATAGCGTTCATACTGGCTAGAGATCATTAATATGACTGACCACTTAGCTTCCAAGATTGTGAACCCCTGATTGGTTATCTAGTTATATCAACTAGCTATAAACATCATTATTGCTTTAGTATCACCACATATATTCCCCATACAGATATTCGGAAGTGGAAAAGGATGGACGGCGAAGTTATCGTAATACCTCAGCGCCCTGGGTGCATTGCAATTGGCCTGACTGGAGAGATCTGTAAGATGGACGAGTCCTATGTTGTCAAACATCCCAAAGCGGTCCCTGGACATCCCGCATACAACGACCTACGGCTAGAATTCATGGCTACTGAGCGCCAGATATACGAACGTCTGGGGCCACATGAAGGAATTATCCCCTACTTAGGACCTTTGGATGACTCTGGGGCCATCAAGCTGGCATATGCAAAGCAGGGGGATCTCGAAGCCTACATCTCAGCACAAGATACGCCGTCTATCGCAGTACGCATTGCTTGGATCCAGTCACTAATGGTTGCCTTCTACCACATTTATTCCAACAGAGTGCTTCACCAAGATGTCAAGCTAGATAACGTTCTTGTCGACGACAACTCCCTTAAAATCGCGGACTTTGCCAATGGTGCAATATTCCCCCTTGATGCGGACATGGAAAAAATCTACGCGGAAGATCCATTATCAAAAGCTGATCTACTGGGAATTGGATGTATTATCTATTCAATCGCCGCGTGGACTGTGTACAGCTTTGATTCTACGAGGAGAACCGCTTTCCCCGACCAGATGAAGTGCCGAAGACAGAGGGTCTGATATATCAGGAGCTGATCGATAGGTGCTGGAAGAACGAATATCACTCCATTAAACCGCTTTACGAGGATTTCCAGCGACTCGAGAGAGAGAAAACTACCCCGAAGGAGAACGATGAGAAGCCCCGTGTGGATTTCATGTTATGGTTCTGTCTTGTCCCCTCCCTCTTGTTCATCTCAGGCCATTATCTTTCTGCGAGCTTTCATTAACCCACATAAATTCCTCTTACTACCCGTCGTTCTGTTAAGACTTGGAGAGCTACTGGATATGGCCTCCTTGACTAGCCGCTGGCGGCTGCCCTCACCAAAGATGCCTCAAACTCCCTGTATGTTATTATACCTCGCAGCTCCATTCTAAAAACCGACTAGATTTGATATTTGAGCGCCCTTTACAGTTAAAGATTTTCCACTTCTTCCGGTATACATAGGAAACAAGTCGTTCTATTGATGATTCATGAGATAATGGTACATGTTGACCTCTATATTTTCCCCCAAAGTCCTTGAAACGAAGCGAAAGCAAAGGTGGACAAAAAAGATAGATGGTAGTATACAAATGTCAGGCTAATTCCGAACACGCCCGGTCTCAGCCCCCGGTGCGTCCGCCGCATTAGGAGACGTGAAGCCCAATCCGTGAGCCTTCTTCCGTCGTCCCTTGCGATCACCGTATTTTTCATCGAATTTTCTTATAGCGGTCAAGGAAGACATATCCTCGCTGATCGATGCGCTGATCTCTTCCATCGCTTTATCGAAATGTTCTTTTCGCAGAACTCGGTGTTCGGGGTATTTGTACGGTTCATCTCCCTTGTGTTGTGCTGCGAGATCGTTCTCTTCCCGAACACAAGCGAGGGCCGCAGCGACTGAGAGGTTTTTCAAATCGGAGCCAGAGTAAAAGGGTGTTTTGTCTGCGATATCAGCCAAGTCGACGCAAGGTGCGAGGCTTTCATCTTTCAAGTGGATGTTGAGGATGGCTAGACGGTCTTTTTCGGTCGGTAGGTCGACTAGGAGACGGCGTGGAAGGCGGCGGAGGACAGCATCGTCTAGGTCAAATGGTCTGTTTGTGGCTATCATGATGAAGGCGGAGAGACTGTTCATGCCGTCCCATTCGCGGAGGAATTGGTTGATGAGTTCTCGGTGTGAGGTGCGGTTACTTGCGCCCGTCCGGGAACAGAATATCGCATCCGCCTCGTCGATGAAGACCACGCAAGGGGTAAGTTTTTTGGCCAGCGTGAAGATGGCGCGGACGTTCTTCTCTCCTTCTCCAACGTACATATCGTATACATCCGATCCGCTGATTTCTAGCACGGTGGCACCGCTTTCACGAGCAACGGCCTTAGCAAGCATCGTTTTACCTGTTCCTGGGGGCCCGTATAGAAGTAAACCGGGTATCTTATCGGTGGCAAGCACACCGTATGTGAATGCCTCAGGCCGAATAAGAGATAGCGATGTGAGTGTTTTTAGAGCTTCCTTGGTCTCTGGTGGGACATGCACGTCTGCAAAAGTGGTATTGATACCTTCAGCATCAACCACGCCGTTGAGAAGTTTCTCTTCGTGCGTATTGCATTTTGGCCGTAGCTTATTCCGTCTCTCCTTGTGCTGGGACTGTTTCGATGGTTTTGACTTGTTGTGCCTCTCACCAAGCCAGTCACACTTGACCTGATCACTCTTTCCTACCATCTCGATGCCTCGCGTGATATGTTCCAGCGTCAAGCTTTCATCTCCCCTAGCAAGGCCAAGGGTAAGCGTGGAAATGCGGTGGACAAGATCGAATGGCCAATATCCGACGTCAAGACCAGAGGTTCGGATAGTATCCTCATCAAGTTCCCACGGCTGGCTGTTGAGAATACTTTGTTCAGCAGTTCCGGAACCTCTGAGTCTTGCTTTCAGCATGCTCTTCAAATGCCGAACATTGATCTCGAGTATTTTCTTCTTTGCATCTTTGGAGAATATCTCCTCAGCGGCCTTGGACGGTGTGGCGGGAGGTACGACTATGGTGGAAGAACGCTGGTCGTAGACCCTCGGTGTTAGCCTTGGGAAGGATTTCTCGTAGCCTGTCTCGGCTTCGGGTTCGGAGACGGTTCCGACGACCACTATTTGGTCGCCGTTGCGCCGCCGTCGCATGACTGTCCTGTGTAGTAGTGAGAGGAAGAATGAACCACCACGGGAATTAAGTAGGTCTTTGTAGTCTTGTATTTGGAGAATAAGAGTTGGCTTCTTGGGTGTTTGCGTTTCTGGGGATGGCAGAGTTGTGGCGGTGATAGACTCTGTAGACTCGGTTGTAGTTCCAGACGTGTCCTTTGCAGGTTGTTCCTTTGCTGGCTGCTCCTTTGCTGGCTCGCTCTGTAGACGTTTACCAAGCGGCACATCCAGCAGTTCGTTGATCAGTCGAAGACACCGGACATCTTCGTCAGAGTCCATATCATCCTTCCGATCACTAGGAACGACCACCTTGGCGATTCCGAACGAACCTTTCCCGCCAAACAGAGACTGCAGCATAGACGGATTTATCATCCCCGATACATCAGCATTTATCTTCGTGACCGGGATAGCACCCGACTGGCCTGACCATCGGTCCGACTCTTCATCTTCCATCTCTTCATCTTCCTCTTTCTCCTCTGCTTCTTCCTCCATCTCCTTCTGTGATTGCCGTTGTGTAGGCTGATAGACGTCGTAGCCGAGCAGCAACATCATGGAGCTAGATAGCTGATCGTTTTCCTGCCGTTGCTGGCCGTATAGCTCGGCAATATCCTGCGCATTCAGCGTGACGACGTTCGTGTTCAGGTCTGTAGCTAAGCTCTTGACCACGGCGTCTAGAAAGAGAATGCCGCCGTCTCCAGGGTATTGAAAGACAAGATGAGGCTTGGTGGAGGCTGGATCGTGAGCGTATCGAGCTGCAGGGAGGGTGAGGCCGGCCTGTACGGCTGCCCGAAGCTCCTGCCACACCTCTGGGCTGAGGGTGTATCGAGACTCCGGCGTAGACGGGGGCTCGTTCTCGGGTTTACCACTGCTCCCGTCGTCGCCTCCATGACCCTCGCGCTGCTCACTCCCATCCTCTGCGCTCTGCTGAACAGGCTGCTGCGGTGCAATCTGCACATCTAGCGGGAGGAGCTCTGACACCTGCGCCGACTGGTCTGCCAGCTTCAGATTCCGCTGATGGAACCAGGCCGGCAGCTCTGCGGTAAACGACTTGGCCGAGCGGTCATCGACCTTCCGGTTCCTCAACGCCCGTCGAGCGCCAGACCCGTACGGACTGTATCCCTTGCTACCGGCCACGGTCTTCGCCTGCACGCCGGACCCCTTCCCCTCGCCATTTTCATTTTTCACCCCAGGGGCCGACTCCTCTGCGTCAATTGGTTTGCTGCTGTTCACGGGCGTGTCGACGGGGTTATGAGGACCGTCTGCGGTGTCCCGGAATGCGCTCGAGAGGTGAAAGGCGCGGGTATTCCTAGCAGGCCGACGGTATCTGGAGCTTCCGGCGAGTCTGGCGGCCGTCCTCGAGGGCCCGTAGCGCACCGAGCGTAGCGCGCATTGCATTTGGGCGAGCATCCAGGGCAGATCTAGCACGACTGCCGCTGGCTGGGCGAGTATTTCGTGTATAGGATCATGTCTGGCTGTCGAGCTCTGATAGATGAGAATAGAGAATAGAGAATTATCGGACAATCATTCTTCCGTATCATTACAGACAAAGCAGAAGTACATACATAGTTTACAAGATGAAGTATATAGTTTACAAGATGAAGCTCTATAAAAAGTACATGATTATTAGATGTGTAGAAGTATGTAAAAGTATTTATAAAAGTATCATTCTCTATATAGTTATATTTATACTAGACTGATAACCGTTAGCGAGGAATAGACAGAGAGCCAGAGCAACGAGTGTGTTCAACTGAATCAGACATCCAAGGAAGTAAACCGCTCAACGACACGTCGACTTACTAGGTTCATGCGACGGCTAGCGTGGAAACTGCGAATGTAGGAAAAAATTTCATCATGCAGGGGAAGTAGAAAAATATGAGAGTATCGCTTACCATTGTACCGACGAGACGAGACGACAAGACACGAGGGAGAGACCTAAACTGCACTGTTAGCAGGAGAAAGACACACGTAGCAGAAGTCGTAACAACAGTGGAAGTTCGGTCAGACAGAGATACTGGCAAGCAACAGATCAACCGGAGAGGGAAGATCCGCCTGTCTCGTCAAGGGCGATTCAGAGACGTTTGAAGAAGTAAGGTTGGGTCATCACAGAACAGCAGACTCGTGTTCGTACGTACCTCTAGTCCTCTCCGTCTCCTGTCTTCTCTATCTCGTCTCTCCTCATCTCTTCTCCTGTTGAAAGATGAAGAACTTGTAAAGAAGAAGAAGAAGAAAAAAGAGAAAGAAAAGTTTTATAAGGTGCGACCACGTGACCATACCCAAAACGAGACTAGCGCCCCCCGACCTCTTTTGCCTCTTGCGGAAGTTTGAAGGAAACGAAGAGAAAAGCGACTTTTGCATCGTCAACGCCGACATACGACGCCGTCCTCAGCACCGCCGCCCGCTCGCTCTCTCTGGCCGTCTCGTTCTCGGTGATGGTGCTCAGGCGGACGACCTCGCTGCCGCCGTGCTCCTGATACGCCCTCTCCCGCCCGAGGGCCCGTCTCGCACCTCCCGGATCGCACCCTGCCCCTCACGCCTCGCCGCTCCCTCGCGCTCGTTTCGCGGACTGCAAGCTCTACACGCTCGTCTGCAGCGTCTCCCGGCCTGCTCTGCCATATATACGCTTCGTGGGGCTGTCTCCTGGCCTCGTCCGTGGCCCGATAGCCGCCTGGGAACGTCTCGAGACCTCGCGTCTTGATCCTCGCCGAAACACATACACCCCCGATCCTTTCCTCCGTCGCGTGCTCTCCTCTCGCTCTGTCCTCTCCGTGTCCTGGAAGTCCCGGCCTTGGTGACTTCGCATACCGGAAATGATGATGGCGCAGCCGTTTCCTGCTCCCCAAGTCGGCATGGCGCACCACCCTGGGATGGTCCAGAATCACCCAATGGCCCCTGGCCAGCATCCGGGTGCGGCGCATCTAGCTGCCCAGGCTTCCGGCGGCGGAATGATTCAGCAGGTCCACGCTGGCGTTTCCGCGCCGGGAGCTCCCCAGGCCACCCAGCCGGGCCCAATGGCGGCCGGAATGCAGCCTGTATCGGGGCCCGGAGGGCCTGGGCCTAACGCCCATGCCCATGCTCTGTCCCATCTCGGGCCAGCTCACTCGCACCAGATGTTCCAGGGTCAGCATCTCGGTCAGAACTGTATGTGATATATCTAGATATAGCTCTAGTGTTGTGATATCAGTGCTAACGAATATAGTTGCAAACAACCCTCAACTCATCCAGCAACACCACCTGCAGCAGCAACAACAATACATGCGCCAGCGGCAGATGTTCCTTCACCAACAGCAGCAGCAGAGGGTACAGCAAGCTCAGCAGCAACAACAACAGGCCCAGCAGGCTCAGCAACAACAGCAGCAGGCCCAACAGCAGGCCCAACAGCAGGCCCAACAGCAGGCCCAGCAGGCTCAGCAACAGCAGCAGCAACAGGGCCAGCAGCAGGCTCAACAGCAGCAGCAGCCGCAGCCGCAACATGCTGGGATTCCGGTATCCATGCCCAACGGAACCCAGGCGGTCACGTCCGCCCATATGGCCGCAGTCCAGGCTGGAAACCCGGCCATGCACCCGGGCAATATCCCCCCTCACATACAGCAACAGCTACAGGCGCAGGGCCACCATTCACAGGCGCAGAACTTGCACCACCAGCAGCAGCAACAGCTGTTTGCCATGCAGATGGCTCATCAAAACAGTGCTGCAGCCCAGGCTCAGGCCCAGGCTCAAGCTCAGGCTCAACAACAGAACGCACAACAGAGAACCACCCAGGCACAGGCAATGCATGATTCCCAGGGTGGCACCCCACATCCGCAACCACAGCACCAGCAACCTCCGGGCACAAGTGCCCCTTCCCAGCAGCCCGGCCAGCCGCTACCTCCCACATCCCAGCCTGGCCAGCAACAGCAGCAGCAGCAGCCACAGCAGGGACAGACTCCGCAGCCTGCTCCGGGTCAGCATGTACCTCAACCGCAACAGCTTGCCGGGCCGGAGGGCCAGATGCGAATGGCCCAGCAGCAGGCCATGCAACAGATGATGATGCCTCAGCGCATGGCAAATCCTATGAAAATGTCATCGATATTCAGACTCTTCTCCTTTGCAGAGGTTCTCAGCGGCTATTCCGTAAGCCATCTTAACACCCTACTCAGATTATACACGCGCGCTAACTATTTCCTTTAGAATCGCAATCCGTCACCGGGATTGCCATATTGGCAAACATTCGTGGAACAGTTCTATGCTCCCGGCGGTGTGCTGCGTCTAGTCGTTTTTAATGCGCAGCGCGGAACTAAGCAGTTTGAAATTGCCACACCTGCTCTCGCCCGGTATTACTGGACCCAGTTTACCAGCGGGATAAAGCAGATCCAAATGATTGTTGAAAATGTTTCAGAGAAGGAGCTTCCTACTGGTGGTCAGATTGTAGAAAGTCAAAAGACGTCTTTTATATACTGGTTTGAAAACGGGTGTCAGGTGAGTCCTTCGTTCTCTGTTTCTCTTTTGGACTTAAACTAAGCATCAGATAGCTCGTTTCCCACGGAACGCTGGTTGCCCAATATGGCCCTACCGGCAAGATAGAACTTCTTGATATTGGCACAGGCGGCCACACTGAATATATACCTCGTCACCAATTGCAACCTCCTCCATCCCCGGAGCAGAAACAAAGCCCGAGGGCCGGAAAGCCTTTGAACAAAAGGCAGAAATTGTCCGCTACCCCCGCCATGTCTTTACCTGATTCCATGGTCACAGACGACGGAGTCCCGGTAGCAGTCATGAGCTTCTTAGAGGTGAGCTCTTCCCCCCCATTTTTTTATCCCGACCCAAAGCCAACAACAACACTGACTTTCTCCGCCAGGTTGCCGAAATAATATCCCAAATGCAGACCTTATTCCAATATTCTTTACAACACCCTCACTTATCCCCGCCAGACGCCCTCCACCAACTAGTCACTACATTCCCTCACCAAAACCAATCTTTCGGCATGGCCCCAATGCCACCCGGCCAGCAAGTATCCGGCCAACGCACCCCAGGCCTCAACGGTACCACCCAGTTCGCCTCTCCCGCCGTAGCTCACTTGGGCATCCCCGGCGTCCAAGGATCCCCTCACATCGGCGGACCAACACATACACCTAGCCCTGCCCAAAACCCTATTGCAGGTCCAGTAGCGATGGCAGCCCAGCAAAGCCAACAAGGCACCAACACGAGCGGTAGCCAGGGAACAAGTGCAAACACGAGTCCGAACGTCACTAATAAACGTCGCCGCGCGAGTACCGTGAAGACGGAGGGTGATGATAATTCCTCTGCCATGGACGTAAATGGCGCTGGACAGGGCAATGCCGGCAAGGTGAAAGCCAGTCCGAGGGTCGGCGGAAAGAGACAGAAAGGGACCAGCTGATCCCTTCATTCATCACTGCTGTGGATGAAAAGGAAGAAGCAGAAAAACAATCATTTATATAAACATTTCATCACCCGGGTGATGAATCTATCCCAGAAATCGCGAGCATTGCTATGCCACGCTATATCTCTCTACACATTATTATCTACGGGCGCCTTATCATTCAATCTGGTCAAGAAAGGGGAATTGTGAGATTATGGTCTTTTTATTTACCCTTTTTGAAGCACCTCTTTATTCTCATCCTTATCTGTGTCTCTCTGCTCTGCTCTACTCCCGTGTTTTTTTCGCAACTATCGGTCTGGCGCCTGCTATTCATCCTTTCTTACCTGCTTCATCTACGTACTTATCTACAGGATCTACTTCTCTTGGGGGCTTTTCGATTTTGCTTTACACTATTGTGGGTTTCATGAACTTGCTTCCTTACTGCGTGTCGCGTTGTGTCATATCGTTTCGTCTCGTTCTTCGACAGAGGTGTTCTGGAGTTCGCGTCTTGTTATCTTTAATTGTTATATCTCCTGCTCGGCTTCGTGTTTTTGACTTGCTCTGCTTATTTGGAACTGTGCCGTGCTGCGCTGTGTGATGGATGCATGATGTCTTGCGTTTACGTTTTCTCACTTTTGGAGTAGACGGCAACGGGCCATGATGATAATATATTCAACCTTTGTTCTAATATAATCTACGTGATATTTACCATTTATTCTACTCCCTTCATTATATGTCGTTGAATCCTTCGCTGCTTACCCCTGCCATCGCCCTATAACTTGCGGTTATATTGACTGCCAACACCGAAATCCCGAGTGCCGCTTCCGTGGGGGAAGATCAAGATCAATAAATACACCCCTCACCCACCATCTTCGTTTCATCCTTCACCAGCAACTGCAGTCTTCAACCTGAGAATCACCTTCGTCTCATCGTGTACAGTATAGCCATGTCTCACTCGCACGATGCCACCAACCACGGCCACACGCACGAGATACTCGACGGGCCCGGCTCATACGTCGGCCGCGAGCAACCACTTATAGAGAACCGCGACTGGAATGATAGGGCCTTCACGATCGGAATTGGCGGGTATGTTCCTCTCTACTGCTCACTTCCATCTCTTCCCTGTCTCCTAGTCACTTGGCTCGCGTGCATTGGCAAAGCTTGACCAATACACAGATACATACGGATACATATTCATTTGGCTAATGCTGCTTCATATACAGGCCCGTCGGATCAGGGAAAACAGCTTTAATGCTAGCATTATGCCTAGCGTTACGTGATGAGTATAACATTGCGGCTGTTACAAACGATATATTTACTCGGTGGGTTGAACCCTCCCTTCCCCCGCTGTTAGAAGCAACATACTAACCATCCGTTTATCGAAAATAGAGAAGACGCAGAGTTTCTCACTCGCAACAAGGCCCTCTCTCCATCTCGTATCCGTGCCATCGAAACAGGAGGATGTCCCCACGCGGCTGTCCGCGAGGATATAAGTGCCAACCTCCTCGCTCTCCAACAGCTACAACGCAAGTTCAAAACAGATCTACTCCTCATCGAGTCTGGAGGGGACAATCTCGCAGCAAACTACTCTCGTGAGCTCGCCGATTTCATCATCTACGTCATCGATGTTGCAGGCGGGGATAAGATACCGCGTAAAGGCGGACCAGGTATCACTGGCAGTGACCTGTTGGTAGTCAACAAGATCGACCTTGCAGAGGCCGTGGGGGCTGATTTGGGTGTGATGGAGAGAGATGCGTCGAAAATGAGAGAAGGAGGTCCAACTGTCTTTGCTGTCGTAAAGCAGGGGAAGGGGGTGGAACATATCGTGAATTTGATATTGAGTGCCTGGAAGGGCAGTGGGGCGTATGATGCGAGCTTGGAGAGATGGAAGAACGGTGCACCCAAGAACTCGGGGTCCGTAGATGATGAGTGAGAGGGTATGATTACGGCAAGGAGAAGGCTTGAGTTGATAGCTGAATTATTAGCTTGTAGAATGATAGTCTTAGAACAGGTTGCAGTAAAATCAAAGAATCAACCGTTCTCTATATATAGCCACAAACGCCATTCAATCATGCATAGGAATAGGACAAATGTACACTGGTTCGTTAACTCCATGGGTATTATACCAAGCCACTTTTTTCAAGGGGGCAGCAGGCGAAGAAGGGTGAAAAGAGGAGGAGCTCATTTCTTCACAAACCTCCCCAACGCCGGCCCCAGCTCTTCCCTATCCTTTCGGCGTTTCTCCTTCAGCTTTTCATTCTGCTCCCTCCTCATCGCCTCGACCTTCAATCTATTCTCATCAATGATATTTTTACCGCCTCGTTTGCGCAAATATTTCCGCAGTGCACTGTTTCGTCCGCGTCCACGATTCTTCAGCTTCTCAGCAATATCCTCTTTCTTCGCATCAAGGTCCCTTGCCTCCCGTCTGACTTTATCACTCGTAGTATCCAAGGTACCCACGAAATCGGCATTGAGAGAAATCATCTCGGGTTTCAGCTTCGTCAACAGAGCCTTGACTTCGGCCTCTTGTCGTTGTTTGCTCGTCTCGTAAGGGTTGGCTTCCATAGCGTCGAAGTTGGGTTCACCTGAGCCAGGAACAATCATGCTAGAAAATCCCTTGTCATGCGATATACCAAGCACATCATCGTACGGACACCATCGTATGCTTTCAATGCGCTTCCCTTCACCACCCCACGCCATATATGGACTTTGAACCTTCTCTTGATCCTCTCGCGCCGCTTGAAATAGCCCCTTCCACACACTGACTTGTGTTCCCCAACCGACGCCAGTCAGCCCTCGATCACTTATCGCTACTGTTGAGCCAGGCTGATGCACGGAGTATGAATGTATTTCTTTGAACATGCGAATGTCCCATACTGCCATTTTCTGATCTTGGCCTGTCGACACCATATATCGCCCTTGTCTGTCGACGGCGAGTGATCGGACTGGTCCACGATGAACGAGGGCTTTCACCAGTGCCGTTTGTGAGTTGGGAGACCATAGGCTGACGGTTCCATTTTGGTGACCGACGTGGAGGATGGCGTTGTGAGGGTTTTGGCATAGTGAAGTTGGACAGCCCTTTCGAGTAGGTAGCTCTGCTACTAGTTGACCAGTTGAGGTATCTGTATATTTTAAAAACCCGCTTGTTGCCTGGATATAGGTTAGTCCAACGTCGACATATCAAGAGCTATAGATTAGACATACCGCGCTGGCCAGGAGGAAATGGTAAGGCAAGAATTCAAGATGCGTTGGCTCGACATGCTTGCTCAAACAGTGGATCTCAACGCCAGCCTGGTCGTAGATATAAACATATCTCTTCTGCGCAACCGCAAAGAACTGGTCATTGTGCAGCCATTTCGCATCCCTCACCGTTTCACCCAGCTGCAATTCGCATCCCAGCTTCCCTTCTCTCCAATCCATCGTAGCGACATGGCCCTTTCTCCCGGCAAGCAGAAGCTTCCTTCCATTCCGCGTGTAATCCGCCTTATACGGCCCCAGGCCCTCCAATTTCAAATCAAATCCGTTCTTCGCAACCTCGATCCCAACATTCTCTTTTATTTCATCCTGCCGGACTTTATACGTTCGCTCGAGCTCCCCTTCAGCTTCAATATATCCGCCTTCATTTTCAAGCAGCAGTTCCGAATCTTTCGCCTGGAGAATTGCGTTCTTGTATTTCGCTTCGAGATTCTTCAGGTTGCTTCGTAGTTTCTTGTCCTTGACAGATTTCACAGCGACCTGTTTGCCCCGTCCATATGTCTTTTGCGCTTCGTTGAATTGCTGGCTGGCTTCGCGGGCGGCCGCAATCTCTTCCTTTGACCGCTTCGGAGGGTCCGTTTTGGATTTGGCGACTTCCATGGCCATGGCTATCGCGGCACCAGCAGCTAACTCGCCGTGTAAATCCTATACGCAAACGACAGCTTCGATATCCTCTTTTTCCTTGCTTCGAGCTTCAACTTCCAAAATTGCAAGCATAAAAAGAGAAACTTTGCGCCAAGATTTCGCGCCCACAGACGATAAGAAGAGTCACGTGATGTTATCTCTTTTTACACATTCGAAATATTTTTTTGGTCGCTTCAATTTATGCGACGAGGAGAACAAGATAGAAAGACGAGGCTGGTTATAGGTTCTTTACTGTTTTATGCGTTGGATCGCCCAAGCTGGACTCGTTACCATTCAGGTTTAAGGGCTCAGGGCCAGGCAAGATGGCTCCCATGGCGGTCTCAACCGACCATCACCATCGGAATACTACGAAGAAGTCGAACAAGGTATTCAAATCAAAACATATGACCAAGGGCGCCTTGAAGGATCTCTCTAAAGGTATTTATACTTGGGCATGCAAGAGACTACTCTCAATTCACATAACTAACCGTCAATCAAGGCAAAATCGAGTTCGAGAGGGGCAGTCGCAAAACCCCCCACCAACAGCTGATGTCGAAGATGCAACGGCGAAACCAGGCCGAACAAAAGAAGAGACTAAAGTCTAGAGCGAAGACAGAGGCTGTCAGCATCTTTTCTGGCCAGAATGGCGCATCCAGACATGTGGCTGTTATACCAGTCTCGGAGGGCGTGGACTTGGATGCTGTAGTTCTACAGCTTAACCAGAGCGTCGAGGTACCGGATAGCGAGAGTCACAGTGGAATCTGCCGTGTGCGAATCGACAGGTTTAAGCAGAGCGTTACATATATCCCTGCTACCAGGGATCTGATTAGCGCGCTGGATGTGTGTCGACTTGCCGATTTTGTCCTCTTCGTGGTCTCCTCGGAAGAAGAAGCGCTGGATGAGACGGCCCAGGTTTTGCTTAAAGCGGTAGAGGGCCAAGGTATATCGAATATTATGTCTCTTGTACAGGTACGGCATTATTCACTGCTTATATACATCGGATTCGTCAGCTAACTTTAGACCAATTTCCAGGGCCTTGAGAAAGTACCGACACCGAAGAAAAAGACACAGGTTGTTGCATCATTAAAATCGTCTCTCTTACGATACTTTCCTAGCCTCGACAAAGTTCACTCGCTCGACTCTAGACAGGACTGCTCGAATGTTGTACGAGGACTCTGCACCGCGACTCCAAAGGGCATACATTGGAGGGATGATCGAAGCTGGATGTTGATCGAAAACGTCGAATGGCCTGCATCTGCAGCAGAGGAAACCGGTGATGTTGTGATTACAGGTGTTGTTCGAGGGAAAGGCCTCAAAGCGGATCGGCTGGTACATATTCCAACCTGGGGAGATTTTCAGATATCGATAATTACAAAGGTGCCTTATACGATACGAAAGAGGGGCGATGCGATGAATATTGATGACGCAGTGAACGAGGAAGTTGTGGACGAGCCCACCGAGGACGCCGAGGATTTGACTACCGTGGCTCCAGAAGAAGTCTTTATGGCCGACGATACCGTCTCGACGTTTGGAGCGGACAAAAAAGGTGTATTGCTCGACGACCATCACTACTTTTCAGATGAAGATGAACCTAAAGCATATGAAATACCAAAAAGAATACCCCGTGGAACGTCCAAGTACCAGGCAGCCTGGTATCTCGACGACTTCTCCGATTCAGGGTCCGATCTTATGGATGAGGAGCACGACGATGATGAGGAGATGATGGATATAGAAGAAGGCCGTCCCGAGGATGGCGTTTTCCCTGACAATCGAGATGCTATGACCGAGGGCGGCGCCACTGAATACCCACAGTCTGAGATGTTCTTGGATCCATCACCAGAGGAAGAAGCAAAGCAGATAGAAGAGTATCGAGCTAGCCGAAAGGACGAGGCGAACGAGGACCTTGAGTTCCCGGACGAGATCGAACTTCACCCCAACACATTGGCAAGAGAGCGTCTAGCACGATATCGTGGACTAAGGAGTCTCAAGACAAGCAAATGGGAAACAGAAGAGGACAGAGCATATGAGCCAGAGGACTGGCGCCGTCTACTTCAAGTACCCGACTACAAGGGAGCACGAAACCAGTGCATCCGTGAAGCCCTTGTCGGCGGTGTGAAACCCGGAACCAAAGTGAACATCCATCTTCGCAGTGTTCCATTGAATCTCCAACAGCGCAACCCCACTCCTCTCTCCCTATTCTCTTTGCTTCGCCATGAACACAAGCATGCGGTGACCAACATTAACATGACGCTGAACTCGACTGTGGAAACCCCCATCAAGTCCAAGGAGGAGCTTATCGTCCAATGTGGTCCCCGTCGACTACTCATCAAGCCAATCTTCTCTTCGGCCGGGACAACCCCCAACAACGTGCACAAGTTCGATAGATATATACATCCGGGCCGCAGTGCGGTGGCTACTTTTACCGGCCCTGTAACCTGGGGCTCTATCCCCGTGCTAGTCTTCAGGCGCACTGCTGTGGCTGACCCAGAGGTTCTTGAAGGAAGTGACGTGAACAAAACTACACTTGGTGCCCTCGAACTTGTCGGAACAGGCACAACGATGGCGCCAGACCATTCTCGCGTCGTGGCCAAACGAGTCATCTTAACCGGTCATCCGTATAAGATCCACAAGAAGCTGGTCACTATCCGATACATGTTCTTCAATGCGGAAGACATTGCCTGGTTCAAAGCTCTGCAGCTCTGGACAAGACGTGGCCGCACTGGTTATATCAAGGAGAGTCTTGGAACCCACGGGTACTTCAAAGCAACGTTCGATGCAAAGATCAACCCCCAGGATTCTGTTGGTATCAGTTTGTATAAGCGCATTTTCCCACGGACAGCGGTAGAATGGGATGCGCTTGGTTAGAGACCTTGGGAGTAAAAGTTAACAGGGAAACACGGCTGGCTAATGACGATTATTGGGATGGTTATATAATGAGCAATGATACGACACCACGAGGGCTTATATTGGCATGATCCAGATTTAATAGATATTAGCCGACTTTCAATAAATTTTGTACCTTTTTTGTACCCTTTTTGCACCTTATTGTACCTTTTGACCATTTTGATCTCTCGTCACATGACATCCCCGGCCAAAAAGTGTCCAACTTCGGCCTCAACTTCGACTTCAGCTTCACGATATGCAGGCACAAGCGATTCATGATGATCACACCAGCTAAACTGGCCTTATCTTCAGCTCGACAGATGCGCCGCCGGGTCCCTGGCGGGCTCGAAACCGCTGGGCCGCAGCCAACAAGCTTCGGGCATCAAACCACGGGACAGAGCCCTGCGATTCCGCTGCAGCTTTGCTGGCCGTATCCATGCCGGCGCCCAGTGGGACCTTCAATCCTCCGTCCTTTTGCTCGCAAACTCGAGGGGAAACGCTGGCCATTCTCGATGAGAGGCAGAAGAAGGTTGGCGATGCGATGCTATCCGCCCTTTCTGTGCTATCCTGCTTTCCTGCCTGGATGTCCATCCATGCATGCAGGAAGGCGGAACCCTGTCGTTTATATATATATCTCGTTCGCCAGGCGGATTTGATATATAAATTATCATCTTCCTAGGACTCGCGACAGCGCTCCTAAGCTTGTCTCTAGCCGTCAATTCTTCTGTCCTAGGAATAGAACTATCCTTAGCGCTATCCTTATCTACGCCATTGACCTACACCCCTAGATCGTACACCGGTCGAGGATGACGACGGTGCTGCCCGCCCTTCGATCGCGCGGGTTTGTCACTGCGAAGCCCTCACGAGTCGACCTGGACGAAACCCCGCCGCTGCTACCTAGGAAGACCCAATCGCAGAGTGCTATAACACTCTCCAACAAGGAAGTGCCGCATTGGCTTGGGGAGAGCGATTATATCCTAACCGGCTACCGTGTACCATGCAATTCAGTCGCCCGTTGCTTCTACAGCTGGTTTTACATTCACAATGAGACCGTCAACATCTATACACATCTCGTCCCCGCCATTGGCTTTGCTGCGGCAGAGGTTTTTGTTTTTCGACATTTTGAGACGCTCTATCCGGAAGCTGCAACGGTCGACAAGGTCGTCTTTGCGGTTTTCTTGCTTACCGCTATGACGTGCATGAGCTGTTCGACTCTGTTCCATACGTTTATGAGCCATTCCGAGACTGTGTCCAAGGCATGTCTGCGTGCCGATTACCTAGGAATCATTGGACTGATCTTCGGCGACATCATTTCTGGGACTTATGTGGTGTTCTATGGTGAGACGGCCTTGTGGGCGACCTACTGGGCCATTGTAAGCTATCTTTTCGTTTTGATGCGTCAAGGCGTGTCCATTGAAATGTCAAATTTCTATACCTATATTTGCGCATCACCCTGACTAACTTGACGAATTCAAAGACCTTCGTGTTCAGTGCTTTGACATGCACTATTCTATTTCATCCAAAATTTGAGGGCCAGGAGTACCGAACTTTCCGTGCAGGGACCTTCGTATGCACCGGGTTGTCTTCAGTAGCCCCCCTGCTACATGCTATAATGCGATACGGCCTGCAAGAAATGATGGAGCATTCGGGCCTTCCGTACTACCTCCTCGAAGGTCTCTTGCACATCATCGGCGTTATCTTTTACATGGTGAGTATGGTTTCATTTAGTCCTCTATCTGGCATTCCTCACAGATCTTTTCTAACATGCGATTCACGACATGGGGATATTCCCTTGTTTTCCCCTCCAATCCAATCCATGTACGTGGGGTTGGAGGGGAAGGCAGGCGGATAAATCCCCAGCCCGAAACACATGGGTTCGTGATATTTGCGAGACATATAGACCCGTTTCCCAGAATCATTGAGACCAGGTAAATTTGATATCTGGTTTAGCTCGCATCAGATATTCCACGTATTGGTCGTGTTGGCCACGATTTCTCAGGTCATTGGTATATGGAGCGCCTTCGACCACAAATACCATGCCCAGATAGGCGGACAAAGAAGGCTACCCTCTGTCTTGGGGGTCAAGTAACAACAATAAAATAAAAGAGATTGATGTGCAGTAAGCAGAAATCTTGAGCGGATGAAGTGAGTATTGAAATCTCTTTATATCGGAGCTTTGCCGTGGTTGAGTTTTCGCTAAGCTAGCTCAAATAGGAAGGACGATGCCACCCCTACCAAAGCCCATAGATAGAATGAATACTATGTTCGAAGCTCTCTTCTCACAGTTTCAATAAGAAATTGGGCCAGCAAAAAAATGACCAAAAAAGGTATCGGAACCTATGGTCCCAGAGAGTCTCGAACTCTCGGCCTTCGCATTAACTCCATATTAGTACGACGCTCTAACCAACTGAGCTATGGGACCTTGACATGTCGTGGCAAATCAGGGCACTCGAACTTCTCCTCCATAACGGAGATGCGCATGGAAGGGATATACCAGGCGTCACGGCGTTCCTATTGAAGCATTGTGGAAAATAGATACAGTGGTGGGGAAATTATGGTTATTTAACTAAAAAATATAGAAACATTATTATAACCACCTAAGGTCCTAGAAATTTACTTGATTGCTATTTCATTGCTCGCCAACCCAAGGGTAGAAGCATCTGTATAGTAAGAATCTAACAGTATGGGTTTTCTGTAGAACATGGAGGGAAGGCAATCAAGAGTCGTTATCCTCAAGCTGGATACCGCCCATTCGAGCGTTCATGAGGCGTTCCATGGTGATGGCTTCAATGTCCCGTTCTAGCTGCTCGGGTTCGACGTCAGGATAAGGGCATTCATCCGGGTCTATTGAATCCTCTAGCTCAAAATCATTGTCAACCATCATTATACCAGTGGGCGCCGCATCGTCGGCATCATCGCTGTCATCTGCGCCATCACCACCGGCGGTATTAGATGCGGTAGCAGCAGCAGCAGCAGCAGTAGTAGTAGCACCAATGGCAACAGCGCCCATGGCAGTTGCGTTGGCACCTGTCCTGGTTTTTGCACTGGTTTTTGCACTGGCGTTAGAATTAGCATTATTGCTAACGCCAGTCTTTGCACCCGTACTAGATCCACGAGCAGCACCAGCCGTAGCAATCCGTTCCTCCTCGATATGCTTCATCTCCTCTTCATTCACCTCGAGTCGAATCTTCTGTCTCTCTATTTCACGCTCATCCAAATGATCAAACCCGATCCGCTGCAGTATCTTGCCAATCGAGAATTGATACTGCAAGTGGCTGCTAACAATATCAGTGACATTATAGTTTTCCACGCTCTTCAAGCCAGGTATTGCTTCAAGACCGGCAATGTCAAGTTGCATGCTGTTTGCCCGATATAGGAATTGGAGGATTCCATCTGTTTCAGAATAGACGTTGACTAGCCTCCCACTCACCACGGATCGCATTAATCGCCAATGGGAAGTAGTAGAGGGCGTCGGAGAACCGATTAGGATCGCAGATTCGATGAGTCCGAACGCCCGCCGCTTGGCAAGAGCGATAAGACAAGAGAAGATCACACGAGCCCCAAGGGAATATCCTATCAGAGTGACGGATCTCTCGCCCTGGGCCTTGTTGATTAGTGCGTCTGCGAGTATTTGGCCTGCTTTGTCTGCTCTGACTTTGGCGACGTTAAACGGGTTATCGATGATGTATGAGATTCTCGAGATGGTAACAGGAAGCATTACTGCCCCCACAACTGGTGCAAGGGCAGTTTTACTCAATACGGTTCTTCCAGCAAAAGTCCAAGCAGTGTTCCTTACGAACGTCATCAGTGAACTCCCAAGCCTCAGAAGGGCGTGCAGCTCCCATCGAAGAGCAAAGACGTCTGAATCGCGGCCGAGTACTCGCCATGGAGTGATCACGTCCATTCCCTCCGTGAGCCAGCCGCTGATTCCAATCGTAACCCTCAACCGATTATCAGAAGACGAAGGCGTGGCTGCCGTTGGGTCAGTAGACGGTTTTGGGGTCGCACCAAGTGGCAGGAAGGCGAAGTCTTCTACCTCCCTTGCGTAGCGATCCATCATTCTTCCAGACATTTTGGCACCATAAGCACCAAACAATCCACCGATTATAATGGAACTACCGGTAACGGCACCAAGATATCCAGCGGCAACGGTCGCTCCGAGGCCTAGGCCTCCCATGATAGTACCGATACCAGCAGCAACTAGCGGTGCAGCCAGTCCACCAGTCACTCCGATCAACGCTGCTCCAGCCACAGATGCAAGACCGACTTTCCACCTTCGGCTTGCTTTGGTTTGATCAGCTTTGCGTTTGATTTCTTCTTCAGCCAAAGTCATTTCTTTCACGCTATCCAAGAGCACATGTGCGACTTTCATCTCATGTTCTGATACGTCAGCGACTTGTAGTCCGAGTTCCAAAGCTACCCGGACCAGGAGGACACGCGAGTGTGCGTTATAGTGTTCCAGGCTTAAAAGTAACAGAAGGAGGGAGTTAATGATTAGGTTCTTGGTTTCGGTTGGTAGGTCCTGTAGAAGGATTCCCTGGGAAGCCTGCATCCCAGGCACAGGTTCAACCCAGTCCAAGTCAATTAAGGATTGCTGCTCATGGATGGGTTTTGGCGGCGCCCTCTCTTTGGTGACATGGAGAGCTTCTCTTAGCCTGGCTAAAACCGAATCTCTCCAGGAGTTAAAATGTCGAGATGCCTCAGCCTCCGCTTTTACCGCCGCAACGGTTGTTGCCGACCTAACGAGTCTCTTTGGGCGCTGTGGTCGCTCAGGCTCGTCACCCAACAGATCCACCTCTCCCTTCACACTATCAAAGGTATTCGCACGAGTTAGGCTCTCCTTCATATCGGACTCGGAGCGGGGAGATAACAGCGCCTCCATGGAATCCGTAGTATTGAGCACCAAGTCAATCAGGTCACTGGACTGCGAATCGCTCAGGAGCTCGCGAAGGTCCTGGCTGGGAGCAGCCTGGGAGCCATCCTCGCGCGTCTGGCGTGCAGACTGGCCGCCGGCTCTTGAATTGTAGCTCGCCATCAGAAACGTATAAGATGCCGAAGCTATGAATACCCACAGCCGCGTCGGATGAGTCCTTTAGGTAGCACGAAGGTCGATCGTCAAAGGCTCAGCGGTTCTGGGAATCTGTCCCCCAGAGCCTCACAGCTCGCCAAGGTGACAGGGACTCAGGGCGCTTGCAGCATGTCTCGGAGAAAGTGACACCGTTAAAAGCTGGTGGCCGAAGCAGCTGCATTTTGATAGCACGTGAGGTCACGTGTCGGTAATTCACGTCTCGAGCTTTCATAGAGAAAAGACGAGAAGAAGAGAGAGAGAAAGAGAAGGGAAGAAGGGAAGATATCCTAGTCCGAGCCAGACTGGACGACGAAATATCTGCCCATCGTCTTGCTAGCGGCCTTCAGGGCGTCTCCATCCCACGTATCACCGTCCGGTTTATCTAGTTTCTCGGCGTGTTTACGACGAATTCGCTTGGCCCGTCCGACAAATTCTTCCCGTTCCAACGCGGACTTTAATAGAGCAAGATCAATTGTATTCTCCTTTTGAGCGTCGCCGGTCTCGTCACGGATGCTGCGCAGTGGAGACACGTTCGTAGTGTCGACCTGTTGGATCTCCTTCACAAAGTGTATCTGGGACGCCAATGTCTTGAGCATGTCCTCCTCTTCGACCTGGGTTGACGGCTGTGGAAGGGCGGCAAGTCGAAGCAGGTGTCTCAGCTGTTTTGGCGTGATACTGGCGTCTCGGTCTTGTTGAGAGACCGGTAGAAGAGACTTGACGGACCAGGTAGGCTTGGAGAGAAGGGCGCTCACGTCCGTAGGTGCTGCAGTTGAATAGCAAACCGGCCGGGATGGTGAATTCTTGGGAAGCCAATTGGTCCGTAAGAAGGTTATTCGGGGCGTTAAACGTGTCGCCGTCATGCTTTATAGATTAATCACCGTCCGTAAAGCGAGGTCGAGAGGAGAGAAAGGGTGTGGTCGAAGAGAAGAAAGTTGATGGTCAGCTCTGGTTGAGGATTACCAAAAGTCTGGTCTTGGCCAAAACGTCACCCAACATCGCCCTTTACATCCATCACACGGTTTATACATACACAGCCCAACTTCACGACAACCCGCGTTCCTCTGTCAAAGGACGACTTCTTGCCAACTTGCATAGTACGAGAGAGGCCGTATCCTTGATATAATGTCTGAACAGGATCCCCGAGTGCTTCTGCAGAAAGTAGGGCGCCGCATTGCCCCGCGACCGAATTGTGTATGGCCCTGCTAACTATCCCTTCTCTAGGCAGACAAGGCCCTCCAGAGCGCATCTGGAGGCTTTAGCTTCTTTGGAGGTAAAACGGAGAAGTTCGAGAATGCCGCCGACCTATATACGCAAGCCGCAAATGCCTTTAGGGTACAGAAAATGAGTTCGTCTCCCCCGCGTTTCCGCGACACGTTGCTCTTGGGTGGGAGCAGGATTAGGAATGAAGCCAGCAGTGAGCTAACCGCCTGTTGGAATGATATAGATAAGGAGGCTGGAGCTGCCTTTGAGAAGGCTGCTGCTATCTTCACGCTGAATCTGAACGAGCCAGGTGATGCCGCAAACACACTGACGGAGGCGTTCAAAGTATACCGGAAGAGCGACCCAGAAGATGCCGCTCGAGTGCTTCAAACCGCCATACAACACTATATTACCACGGGAAACTTCAGACGTGCCGCATCTCACCAGCAAAACCTTGCAGAAGTGTATGAGGTTGAAATCGGAGATGAGACCAGAGCTCTTGCGGCGTACGAGAAGGCTGCCGAGTGGTTCGAGGGTGATAACGCTGAAGCGTACGTATTCCCTCTAGGACTATGTGTGATTTGCCTTGGTCGTCTAACCCTCTTTTATATTTAGACTTGCCAACAAGCACTTCCTCAAGGTTGCGGATCTTGCAGCTCTAAAGGCCGATTACCTCAAAGCAGTAACAAATTTTGAAAAGGTCGCCAAATCTTCTATAAATAACAACTTGATGAAGTGGTCGGTAAAGGAATACTTTATGAAAGCTACCATGTGCCATCTTGCCTCAAAGGTATTATACCCTTCATGACGCTCCCATATTCATTTCATTCCCCAACGATTCGTGAAATAGGATGCTGATTTTCTGGATGCCACCCGATAGGACCTTGTTGCCACTAACCGTGCGCTTCAAAGCTACTGTGAACTCGATAACTCGTTCCAGGCAACTCGCGAGTTTGCATTACTTACCGACCTAGCTCAAGCCGTTGAACAGGGAGACACTGATGCCTTTGGAGATAGGCTCTACGAATACGACCAGCTGAGCAAACTAGACAAATGGAAGACGGCAATATTCCTCCGGATAAAAAATAACATTGAGGAAACAGGGGAGGATTTCTCTTAAAACGCACATGTTTACAATTGCTTCTTTTGCTCCATCAATATATGCGTTCTATATTTATACATTTCCCTTCCGATATGGCCAATCTAACGGTATCTTACCTTAATATACGGTCTTACTTATATTGTTATATAGCCATTATGCTACGATGTCAGGGCAAAGGGAGCAAAATGGACCTGACGGTAATATTCTCAACCACGGCATCTGTAACCCTCCCTGTATAAACAGCTTTTTAATGCTCCTCATTATTAAAGCCACAGCAAGAGGTAAGAAAGTATAGCTTCATTTGATTTGTTAAACTAGAAGCCCTAGACATCGCCATTACATCATGCATAGACCCAGTCCCAACCTTTTGCACGCTCAACTAACATATCAGGCTCATATACCCAATTTTTACTCCAAGGTAATTGAAATATCTTCTCTCACAACAACAGTGGCATACCTATCACCACGATCTGCCGTATTTCCATCGTGATGTTGCTTATCATGCACCAGGTCGGATTCCAGATACTTGTACATCATCTGGGGTTGGATAGTTCTGAAAATTCCTTGCTCAATGGAGCGTGCCCCTTGCTTAACAACATAGCACACTTTCGCGAGACGCTCGCAAGTCTCGATATCTGCGTCCAGACAAAATGTAATATTGTCTAGTTCTCCGTGTTTGGATTGATGGAGCGAGTCATGGAATTCGGCGAGGGCATCCGTAGCCTTTAGGAGATATGAGTGGGCGAGTACGGTCGCCTCAGCCTTGGAGAATGGGAAGAATGGGATAATGCATCCAACATGCCCAGCAAGAGATGTCTGGATTGCTAGTTAGCAACATCCATATTGGCCAGATACCTGGTGAGTGAAGGGGAATAAAACGGCCTTACCCCTAGCCCTTTTTCTAGTTCATCACCAAGCCAAGCCTCCAAGTCACAATGAACAATGTTCTCTGGATGCGTCTCGTTATCCTCCTCCCCCTTTGACATATCCTTGCGATGATACCCTAATACTCTTTCTTCTCCGTGAGTGGTTGCAATAATACACAATGTATTAGATTTGTCGATAATCGTTTTCTCCCCTTTGTTGACATAGTAATCTACATATGCATTGTTAGCCGTTGATTTCTGAGAATAATAGGGTAGCACTCATATGCAGAGCACCACAGGGTATTTCGCACGGGTTTAATTATATAAATACTTACAGGTATCATCTCCATCTAGAAACGAAAGAAGTCGCTGATACCCGGCTATATCGTTATTGTCAACAAAGAGAACCTGCAATTCTCCCAGCGCATTGGTTGGTTTTCTTGTATTATGGGGAGCATCTTCTTCATCGTCATCATCATCGTCATCCACTTTCTGAAGCTTCGATAGGGGTATAAATGTTCCAAGTTCTTTGGCGAGGGAGGACTTTCCGTGGCCTGCCGGTCCAACAAAAGCCATAACCAGTGGTGAATTCATTCTTGTCATGAACTTCAAGGTCAAAAACTTTTTAATCCACTCGATTGCAACTCTCTGTCCAATCATAGTATGCTCCGCGCGAGTTATTCGTTTGATAAACGGCAATAAGTACATCTCAACGTTGGCCGGAAGGGGAGGCAACGTCTTAGATGCTTGTAGGAGGCTGTGCCTGATCGATACGTTTGCACTCTCCGCAAGAGTATCTGTTAAGGCCTTTAGCCCAGAATCAATTGATTCATCGTCCTCGTCGGCAGTTTGGTCGTGGGAAGTGTAGATTCCATCTTCCCATAGCGACTTTGGAATTGCGTGAGGGTCAGCACCCGAAGCCAGAAGAATGTTGACAATTGAAACTGCAGCCGAGTTTCTGTTCAATATGGCAGATCCGAGAAGAGGAATTTCAGAATTGGGGACCACGCCATTTGGATCCGCTCCGTTCTCGATGACCAGTTCAACAAGATCTGGTCGATCGCATCGTATGACTGCTAACAAGATCTCTAACTTCTCCCCTGGTGAAATTGAATCTTTCCCCCCCGAGTGTGAATAGTTGGTGAGAAGCTCCTTGACAAGCTCATAGTCGTGTCCGGACTCGATAGCTCGGGCTACAATTTTTGCAGGCCGGACAGTCTCAATAGCCTGGTCAGATGTCGCAACTGAGTTGAAGTCCTAGAATATGAGTAAGAAATATAGTTCAAAAGGGTCTATACATGGATAGGCATCGCTTGATGCATCTTCAAATACCTTTGAGTCGCTAGAGTCCCCTCCATTCGATAGTAGGTCTATAAGATTCTTCGTTTCCGGCCTATCGTCCCTCCATGCTGTATCCAAAGTAAGCAAGCTATGTAGCGAGTAGGTCCAAGGCTCTTTCTCACCGTATCGAGGAGGTTTTGGTGGCTTAGCAACTCTCTCGGTGTATTCGTGAACAAATTTGCATTGGTCGGCGCTGTGTCTACAGCCTCCGTTTACCCAGTAGAAGCAAGTAAATGCCTTTTTAGGGTATTGCCCGCTTAGCATAATGTAAATACTATTATGATCTCCTCCCCACAATTCAACAGGCGTGTAAACCGCGAGGCAACATCCAAGATTGTGGGCGAAGGGAAAAGATAGTTACGGACAGAGAGGAGGCGCAGAGAAGAGCAAACGGCCACACGCTGGGGAAAAACAAGCTGGGAAGGGCGTTTTTACTGACCATCGTCAACACTTGCAGAATGCCTAATTTAGGCGCTATATAAACCGAAGGAAATCACAGACAAAACTCAAAGATCAAGCTATGTTCATAAAATTCTGCCTTAGAGGTGTAAAACTTCTAGTACTTTCGAGCTATATACGAAATAAGCATGAAGGGCAATGCAGCAGCTCAAATTCCATAAAATTATTCTTCTTCCTGCGAGACGTTTTCTTATTTTCTGTGCTGTTCCTGTCCGCTAGTCTAGTTATTTATTCCTTGGCGCATATAAATACTGATCAATAATACGAAGTATGGGAAGGCTTACAATGAAAACTCCATCGCATAGTTCTATCTTAACATAGCCAGTGCACCCTCTGGTGCGACATAAATGGTTTTGAAAGCCATCGGTCGATATGGATACCACACGGACTCTCCTTCCATTTTGCTTCTGGGATACTGGAATATCCCCTGAGTGGAACGTGCTATACTCCGTACGTTGTAATGCATTGCTAGTATACTCCGTAGAAAGATGTAAAGTCAGCGCAGGAGAAAGGGAAAGAGTGTACGTACTTCGTAGGTATGGAGGCTTCTTGCCAACGAGCTCGTTAGTACGCCGCACGCGCTACTGCGACGTGCCGAGCAGAGAGGCAGCGAGGCGGAAAGGCGGAAAGGCGGAGGGGCGGGAAGGAAGGCTTTCAACGCCAGATGATCGGCAGAGCGATGCAAGACTTGTTTGAAATATTTTGGCGACAAGACCTTCTGACAGCACTTTGCTGGGATGGAGTGCGACGAGTTACATTCCACCGCTTTCGCGTTTTTGATGTATAGTTTTTTTTAAACATACTCGTCCGGAGGACAGAGGCAAGGCTATGATCCATTCCGCATGAGTAATATATTGTGTCTCGAATTAGCCGAGGGCACCTTTTAGTCCTCCGCATATATAGCATTGGCTAGAAGCAATATCTTGCTCCCCCCGACCGTAAAGTGCGTCTCCTATGAGCAGGGTCTTTTTACCCGAATCGAGTTCTAAAAATAAAAACTCCATCTCTGTTCAGTCGCCCCATAGTATGTTATGCAGCTTGAAGCCAGTCTGTAGGAGTTGAAAATTATTCGGTTCCAAACCGCCTGTGCTTATCGATATTCTTCAAGGGCACCTTGAGGAACTCAAACGTAAGAAACCAAAACTAAGCCCTGTCCTCGCAGCCGTTTCCATTTGAACTCGGTCGAGAGAATCGAAGGCAAGACGTTTCAGGGGAGGTCAATGCTCTTGCCCCTTGCGCCCGACGCTGCCCATAGATGTTACGGGTTCGGGAGGCAGTGACCCCGAGTGCTTGTAACCTGGCTTATTCCCCGGATTTCCGCGTAGAAGACGATAAGCCCTCGTGGGGGCACGGAGCTTCTGTACCAAGGTATTTCCGGGTGGCCTTAAATAGGAATACGGAGTAAAACGGTCATCCTCTTCTGGATACCTTGAAGGCTGACCCTGTTCGTAGCAGAATCGGCCGAAAATCACAGTTTAACGATCGGTATGCGTATATAATAGTCCTATAAGACAGGGTCGGCCCTTGACTGACAGATAATGGCGGGAGCAGTTAACGACCAGGACAACAACGGCGAGGTTGCAAATTTTGTAAGACGTAGAGTGTTTTAGAAAAAATTCCGCCGCGACTGGCGAAATCTATCGTCAATCCGCTTCCCTGGTGTCGATTAACGGGGTACATGTTTCTCCAAGTTTCTTCCCGGAGCTAGCGTTTCTTTCACATTCTGGAGGGCAGTTGGATGGTCACACTCTTGACGGGTCCCCATGTTGGTTGGTCTGTTCGCGAACTGCGTTCCCCGGGGGGGTTGATCGAAGGCGGTCTGCCGCAAGGAAACCCTTGCTCTAAACCCTGATCAAGGGCTTAAACAGGGAAAGCGTAATGGAAATCGATAGACCTAGTTAATAATATGTAATCCATACATGATAACACACTATTTTCGGTCGGGAATCCGTGGCCTGTCTCATTCCGTGACCGAGATTGTCAGGAGATAGCGCTGTATAGGTGTGGTAATATATGTAGGGATTCCGTAGATCACTCTCCCCAGTCGTTGGAACTTACGTCAGGTGAAGACAAGCTTTGGTTTGAAACTTGTTAGCCCTTGCAAAGAAGTCACAGAACATTTGTGGTAGGCGGTATGGTTAATTCCTCCCGTTGGCTTGACCTCCCTACACCGTCCTTTTTGCGAAAAAAGGGGCATGCAGATTATGTTATACCGCGGGAAGGGTCCCCGCTCGAGAATCCATCTCCACGCGAGATCACTGTCTGTGGTTTCTCGTAAACTGAGGCTCTAGGATACGCTCCATACACGCCTCAGAATCTCTAACAGCGCTAAGTAGATCCTCCGTGGGCATACGCTGTCCGCCGTGTATCAGCTGTAGCAGGCCCAAAATATATTGCCGTGACATCTAGACTTGCTCTGCTGACGAATTGATGCTGGCGCTGACGTAGCCTAGCCAAACCTGGCTCTCGAAAGATTGTACTTTGAAGCTGGACTGGGCGTCTCCGTGACAAGCCTGGAAGACAAGAACGCGCGGTTCGCAAAAATCGGTTGCTGTGTCTGTAGCCAAATGTGACACCCCTTTTGAGGCCGCGTCCTTTGTCTTTCTCCAAATGTAGTCTCTGGTCATGCTGCTTGTCGTCTTGTCGACTTGCCCTGCCGCGACTATATCTATGGGCCTGGTGCTAGTATATGGCCTCCGCGCGCCAAAGGCGTCTCTTAAGACACATAGCCTGTCGCTCAAGGGCTGTTCAGCGCCAATTTCTCCGTACTCCATGCCCCGTAGTGAAGAGTGTCGATGATGGCGATGTTGGATGGTTGAGGTTGGAATAACCGTAGACTCAACCCGCATAAGCTTAATTCAACCGCCGCCCTCAGCGGATATACTGTAGAGTGAGCACCGCACCACGAAGACTCGAGATAGCCCGTGAGTCTCTCCGTCTACCTAGTCGAACACCTGGGCTTGCTCTAGGGCCAAGCGACGTGGATCGCGCGGCTAAAGCTGAGGCTCGCAGACCAAAGACGGCGCCTGTTGCTATGGCAACAATCCCGCCAGCGATGTTTTGTTCACAACGCGAGATCCCAGATCGCAGAGCTGAGCTGAACCCCGACCATCCTGCAATTGAATTGTTTCAACGACGCCTACACCAGCACCCTACGACTGATATTCTAACTGTATATGCTTGCAATTTTACAGGAGTGGCCATGGGGAAAACCGAACCGCCGTTTCTCTACGACCCGCCCTCTCTATATCCCAAATCAGCACAGGTTGCTGATTTCAACCCCAAAGCTGTCACCTTGAACAGCTGGGCACCTCGCCCGCAAAGGCCAAAGAAAAATGGCCCCTTGGTCAATTTCAACCAGCATCCAGACTCGGTATGTATCTATTTTGTACTATGTCCTTGTCATGATGAATTCTAACGTGGGCTACTTTCTGTTTAGTACGCGGTCATTCCAACAGGAACACAGCCTGTCACCAACATGAGCCCAAATATAAAGAAATATGTCAAATATGCCCGACTCTGTCAACTTCTGCTACGGGTATTGACCCTAATTGGTGTTCTGGGGATCCTGTTCTGCGTGATATGCATCAACAATACAACCATTCAGGTAGCATGGATTATCCGAGTGGGGGTAAGTTTATCACTGCAAAGATGATTTTTATAGAGGGTTAGCTAACATATAATAGCCCGCTGTGGCAGTGGTTCATGCGATCTACGCTATTTTCCACCTCTGTCGGTCTGCTATGTCACGCACCCCTGGTTCCACGGCTAGCTACATGCTTTTTGCCGCAGTCCTTGACGCTGGTTTGATTCCGTTCTTTGTGTTCACTGCCCTTATTTCGAGAACCGAACATGAATCGAAAAGCTATGGGTGGAACACCCTATTCGGGGAAGACCAAGTCACAGAAAAGATCATCTATGCAACGGTCCTAACTGCCACAACTCTTGCTGGGCTTCATATCGCGTCACTCGTTATAGACATCTACTTGGCTGTGGTATTCCGCAAAATAAACAAGTTACCACCGGATATGAACCCGTTGGAGGAGAACTTGACTTCTCGTCGCCATAAGCGCACCAAGTCTGAGATAGCCGAAAAGCATCTGAGCCAAAGCACAATCGGTTCGTCTGAGACTGATCCGTACAGTACTTTACTGCCAGCCACTCGTACGGTCCCGTTTGCGCACACAAGGAATAATTCGAGTGTGACGATAACAGCAAACCAGTTCCAAAAGAATGGCGATGACAGGTTATCATACTATTCTGCTAAGTCCCACAGACATTCACGCTGCGACCTCCCTAGCCAACAAATGCGTCAGTATGAAGAGACTAGCAGACCTAAGACACCCATTGGCCGAACGACTGTTAGAGGTAGAGGTAACGGATCATCCAGGCCTCAGTCGGTTGTGTTCCAGACTCCGCCCTCGACCGCACAATCTCAACCTCAGACTGCCGCAATTCAGAACCGCGAACCAAGTGGCGTGTCCTCTATGGGAGACGATAACTGGGAAGCGTATCCTTCCAACCCTCCCTCTCCCGAACTACACGCTCGTGAGGTTTCGCCACTGAGAGATCCCATCGGTAGCCCAGGTATGGACGACCATGAAGCTAGGCAAGCGATCTGGGACGACGATTATGAAGACAGCGGTCTCAATCAACGAAGCGGTACTGTCAGACGCCACCGCGGGGTATACGCTGCTGTCGATGATGAAGACGACGAAGACGATGACGAAGCCATGCTTGATCCAAATGAGCCAGCAAATATGTACGGCTATCAGCAGAGCCAGGGCGAGCGTTACTACGCAAAGGGGAATGCTGATAACCTCAACAATAACGCTAGTTTGGGGGTAAACCCATTAGGCATGAACCCACCTACTCCTCGGCCCTTGGAGGTAGAAGGAGGCGCGCAACACGAGTCTAGTGGTGATATGCATCGAACGGCACTTTCGGACCTTCCGAATCCATCCACCACCACCACTCCCGTCAAAGGCACTCCCGGTAGTAAGACACGATCATACGGGGAGCTGGCACAGAGTACCCCATCCCCCGGAAGCAACAAGAAATCAGGATCCCGCTGGAGACGCAAGAGTGGCCGGTTGTCAGCTTACGAGTCACTTCGAGCAGATAATGCTGACAGTGACGGCAACATGGAAGCCCGCATCGGTAGAGGTGAGACCGATCGCAAAGGACGAGTAGTTAGCAACACGGGCATAGACCTTGGCCCAGATCTAGGTTCCGGCTCGCCAGGGTACGGAAATTATCTTGCCGGCTTGGGGGTTGGAAGGCGGCGCGAGGTCAGTGGGAAACTCGCTGAGGAAGGGAGGGGTGCTGACCTTGTCCAGGATGAGAGTGAATCATCCCCGTCGAAGAACAGAGGACATGGACCGTCGAAATCGAAGGAAATTAAAGCTGCAGGTTGGGCACGGTGGAAGGGGTTGTAAGGCGAGGGAAGTGCGCGTTTCTTCCCGAGGGTTGCCGTTGAATATTGCATGATACTTACCTCGATACATGTTGCTTTTTATATCGCCGGTTTTTGAAATTGTTCTTTGCGATATGACAGGGTTGATTTCGGGTAGTTGAAGTCGTGGGGGGGTTGTAATTACAGATGCTGATAGCTAACGTGTTGATGACGATGGATGTTGGGTTTATGTTTGGTTGGATTGTTTTACGAGGAGTTCGAAGGGTGTTGCATTTTTCTCAAATCTGTTTTTCGATAAATATAATGAATTGACCAGGCATGATCGTGTCCCAGAAGTATTAACTGTGGAGTCCAGTTCTCACGTCACGGCTACGACATCCTGGCATTGCCATGCCATGTTGGTATGGGGAACTCCTACATACACATGCAGTTCTATGTTACTCTGCACCTCGTATTCCTTTTTTATGTTCTCTTGTCCGGTTTGAAGGTACGGAGTTGGCATGCATTAAAATGGCCACATGTAGCATAAGCATCCTTCCCCTGAGGGTTATGTACTGGCACATTAACGGGCTGTTCTCTCGTACGGCATATGCATGTGTGCTCAAGGCATCCCCGGTTCCTGGCATGCCTCGTTCCAGCCGTTATTCGGCGGCCCTGTCTGCTCCGTACTCCTGGCTGCAGTCAGCATGAGCCGATACGCATGCCAGCCATGTTGATAATCCGGCCCGGGAAAGACGGCGTTGGGCTGCGCGGCGGTCTGGTAGTTCGCGCTCGGCTGCCCTTCAGCTCCCTTCTCTGGTGGATGGGATGAGAATCCAGTGGCGATGCCAGGCGAGGAGAAACTGCGGAGAAATTGAGGACGGCTCAGCACGCGATGGAGGATGAGGGAAGACGTTTGGCCCCCGAGTGTGCCTGTTATGCCTTGAGGAAGGGGGATCTTCACACAAAAAAAGGCGCCGGCCAGTAATATCACGAACGATGTATCTGGATCGCCCGCCAGCCTCCACGAAGTAGTTAGTTTGTACTGCCTTATTGGATACTACCAGAGGGTACAATCTTATGACCAGAAATAGGTACGGCTGGGAAGGAATGTGGATGCTCGAGTACAGCCGCAGCTGTAGCTACGGAGTATTCCGTATCTCGAGGCTCGGTTAGGACGACAAATCGATATTTTATTGACCTGCCACGTTGAGGTGGCAAGGGAGCCAATACCTGCGCTCTCTCGATTTATCTGCGTGTTTGACGGCGTGTTATGGACAAGGCTGCTGCTTGGTATACTCCATAACCAAGAACACGCCGAAGGATCCCTATTAATAAGTTATCGTACTCACAGAGCCGAGGCTGAAAGCCGGTGCAAGAACCTTCGTACTTTTGGTGCTTTTGGCAGGTAAAAAAAGGTTATGGTAGCGCAGAGTTTGCTAAAAAAGAACGTCTATCCTAGCGATTGGTCAGGGGGGTTGCATTTTTACAACATGCAAAGGTCAGAGTGATCGACATGATATTTTGATTCTATATACTGGAGTAAATGTGATGTTTTTGGTGTGTTTTCTGAATATTGATTTTGTTCCTAGAGAGGAAGAGAGAGAGGATGACAGGGAAACCGTATATCTTGCTCACAGAGAGATAAGAGAAAGACAAACAGTTTGGCTATGTGCAAATTCTAGTAGACATAACATGGGACGGTAGGATATATATCAACGGAAAAAAAGTGAGAGACGTACCAGCAGTAGACAAATATAGCGTATGTGCAGGCAAGAAAGGTAAGTTGGAAGGAAATAGTAAAGGTATGGACAGGCGTCATTAATGTATCCAGACAGGACGGGAATCGGAGAGGAAAAGAGGGTTGAAAGTGATGGGGGAAAAAATTACAGGGAAGTAAAGAAGGTGTTCTCAGAGGTTGTCTGAGGTGCCTGCACCTCCGCATATCTCATCGTCTTTACGCGATGATGTATTGCTTCTCCTTCTTGATGTTCTCAATGACCTCAATTGGCACATTGATAGCAGCAGCAGCGATGTCGGCGGGGGTAAGGGCGAGCCATTGGCTGAGAGATACGTCGGCGACACGGTCGGCCTTGTAGATTTCGAGGTAGACGAGCTCTTCGGTGTCAGAGGTGTTCTCGACGTAGTGACCGGAGTTGTCTGGGAAGACACCAGCATCACCAGAGGTGAAGTCGAAAGTTCGGGCAAGGCCACCACCGATGTAGACAGTTGCGCGGGCATTTCCGCTGTGGAAGTAGAGCCATTCCTCAGCCTAGAAGGAAGTATAATTAGATAAGATCCATAAAGGTAGATGGAGATAGATCAAGAGCTTACAGTTGGGTGCCAGTGGAGTTCGCGCATGCCACCGGGCTTTAGGCGGACAACAGCGCAAGCAATGGTCTTAGAGATAGGGAAGTTCTTGGAGTCGACAACCTGGATGGTACCACCACCGCCGGGAACTTGGATTTCTGGAGCATTGCTGATGTGGAAGGTATAGGAGCTGTTGCCCTCGAGAACGCCGTTGGGGCCGGTGACATTTCGGGTGCTGATGGTAGAGTTGATGAGAGCTGGGTCGGGGTTGTAGGTCTTGTCGAAGGTTCCAAGTGGGACGCCGAAGTTCTTGGCCAGGACGTCCTTAGGGGTGTGAGAGATCCAGTCGGCAACCATGAAGGTGGTTCTATACATGTGTTAGAAAGGGAATGCAGCCGATAAGCAAAGGAATACGTACCCGACACGGTCAAAGTCACCGTCATCAAAGATCAGGAGAATCTCGTTCTCATCATCAAGGCCTTGAAGAGAGTGAGCAGCTCCCTTGGGGAAGTAGTACATGTCACCAACGGTAAGCTTGTCGAGCTGGAACTTGCCGTCCTCGCTGACGGCAGATATCAAGAAGGTACCGGCGTAGATGTAAGCCCATTCAGCCTACAATGAAATCTAAGTCTCAGCAAACAATTCACTGCATATCAGTTGGGGAAGAGCTCGTGCGCAAAACATACAACTCTGTGCCAATGCATCTGTCGGATACCACCCTTGATCAAATGAACCTGGGCGCCGGCAATATCGTGACTGGTAGGCAGATCCTGGATGACCTGCTCACGAATCCAACCACCGTAGAACATTCGTGTCTTGGACAGAGAGAAACTCCATTTCAGGTTTGGCACGAGACCGTTGTCACTGGATGGTTGGGCGTTGATGTTGCTTGGGTTTTGGAGATCGAGTTCATGGTTGGTGCCACCTATTGTACGTTAGCGACAATGGGCAATGGGCAATGGGCAACGATTTTGGGGATGATTGCATTGTACATACCAGAGAAGACAGCACCCTTTCCGTGCTCGGTAATGGGTTGACCAACAATTCCGCCTGGGGGGATAGGGCCGCTGGCCTTTGCGAGCGCAGCAAGCGCGGCCACCAACACTGAAGCATACTTCATTTTCTGTGAAACTCCCAACTTTTGTATTAAACAATCCCGTTCGACTTTTTCGTCTGTCTATATGTTGAGGAAGGACGGATAATGGTTATCCTCAAAGGAGTGGATGTGAATGTGTTCCACAAAGCAGTTGTTGAAGGGTTGCAAGAGTGCTCATTTATCTAAAATCCGTCGACAGCGTAATGTGTATATATATATATATATTTAGCCTCCGTATCGAACGTGGCTAAGGCCACTGGTATCCGCCAGGCAAGGCCTATCATGCGCCTAGCTACGCTCCCCTCCCCCCACCCTGGTTCCTATACCAATAATGTTCTTGTTCTCTCGTAGCCAGATTGAAACAGGCTGTCGGCCCGCGGAAACACTACTCACCAATTCAAGCCAGAGCGGCCGAGAGAAAGAGAGAAAAAGGAAAAAACCGAGTGCTAAGAAACCCAAGAACGTTCAAGAGTTTGGCAGTACAGATTCACTGAGGAAAAAGTCGTATGAGACACCTAGTGTCTGTCTCATTAAAGCAACCAAAAAGGAAAAAATTTGGAGCATGGAGCTATTTCAGACCCTGTCGAACTCTATCTTTTTTTCGAATCATTTTGCTTTTTTTCATCCTGTCATTTTTTCTTTTGCATCGCAAGCTTCGTGTACTAGGGTCCGGGTCTGGGGGTGTGGTAAATTCAGCCTGGATATGTGGCGGGGATTGTTAAGCTGGTCAAGCTTCAGCCTGGTGTTTCAACTTAATCCATTCAATTTCGGTTCCACATTTTGCTGGAGAGGTTCCTCCACATGGTTGGCGAGCGGGCTATACATAGCACGCTAAGCCGGGGTGGCCACTCCACCAAGCTCGCCTCGGACAGCAATCTCAGTCTGATTTGCAACGATGTACGGCTCCACGTGATGGCAACCATGGCTCATGGCTCATGGCTCATGGCTCATGGCTTCTGGAAGATGATGCTGGTGCAACCAAGAATCAAGGTGGTGTACAACCAAGCGGATGCATGTTCATGTCTCGACAGCGCGGAAGTTTCGGCCAAGGTGTACCATTTTCTTGGGCGTAAGAGGTTTGTTGTAAGTAGAATAGATGTGTGTCGCCTCCCGCGTCTACACTTACCACATCAACGCCTGCCCATACTCCATGTCTCCGCCGTGACTATGTATCAGGTTTGAGGGACGACTCGAGCCGACACGACACAACACGACACAAACACGACTCAACACGATCGGGTTGTTCAACGTTCATCGGACCACTGCGTTCGGAAGTCCCCTGGTTTCCCGTCATGGCTGGCCTACGTAACTATATCCAGGGCCGCAAAGTGCCGTGGGAATCCGTCGGTCGGCCGGTTCGGATCATCAACCAAGACTGCCTGAGTCAGTATGTATGTATATAAAGAGAGCGGACTCATGTTCTTGGAAGCTCGTAGGGTTGCTATTTTCTGTTCTGCTTGACCCAGACATGCGCTGCAGTCCGGAACCCAGCAGGGCGTGCTGGGCGCGCGACTTGGCGGCGTCAGCAAATGCTCCAGCGAGTCCGGTGGCCACCCACGGAGTCTGGGGCTAAGTTGAGTATACGAGACGAACCAGCGATGGCCAGCAATTCCCACCGAAGGAGAATGAGCCAGCCAGCGCAAAAAAAAGGGGGTAAATTCGGCTATCCTGAACAGGGGACTCCCGGGGCCGCCCCGCCGTGCATGGCCAGAGGAGTTAGGTATCAGGATCCCAGTCCGTCTACCGCCTGCTGGTGATGCTCTTGGTTGCTCTCTCAAGGGGCAACTCATCCGCGATCTGATGGCTTGCGACCAGACACGAGCGGGTCCGTATTGTTGCTGCTATCTTTTCTGTCGTTGTTCTGGTGTCGTTGTTTTTGCCTGTTCTATCAATATATAAAAAAAAGCCGCCCGATCGATCAGTCACGTGGTAAGCCCGAGGCTCAACCGAAGAAAAAGGCCAAAAAGAGCAAAAAGAAAAAACATCAGGACGAGATACGTCCAGCTTCGATCTCAGCGTCGGCTCTTACATCATCTCGCATCTGCGACTGGTCTCCTCCGTTCGATCGCGGGATGCGAATGGGACAGCGACGGACCGTGCAGTGAACATCGTCTCTCATCGCCAGCATCGCAGCCATCACCAAGTTTGATACAAAATCCTGGGAACGATCCTCGCGCGGTCGGATGATCAAACACGCAGATGCTAATTGTCTAACCTTACCCTGCCTGCTGGGCAAACTGGAAATTAGCCTGCTCCCTGTTCGGATCTGCCTGTCTTCGGCGGACTGAAAGGTCGTATCGGGAGGGAAAATTATCCACCACTAGGGGCCTCCTGTTCCACTATCTCAGCTCCACTGGCGCTGCTTCCTTGATCCCTGATCCTTCATCCCTGGCTCCCTGATCCCTGGCCCTTATACTTGTTCCCCTGGTTCAGAGATTGGCCCAGGAAAGTCAATCGATACGAACGGCTCCGACATTCTTCACTCGGGAACGACCTTACTAAGCGGTCTTGATCTCTGCTGGACTCCACCATTTCTCCTTCATAGGAGGGGATGCGAGATGACTGCCCTCTTCCCCCAGTCGATACGTCCATCGTCTGGCGTGAACCTGTTCGGCATAGGGGGGGACAAATGCTCGCGGTGAGCTTCTGCACCGACCTTTTTTTTTTTTTTTTTTTTTTTCCTTTTTTTTCTTGTTTTTTTTAATGTTTTGAATTTTTATATAGGGGGGTTGTTTTTTACCCTTTTCCCTTCCCCTTCGATCCATCATGAAAAGGCAAGGAAGAGGATTATGTGCAGACTTCCCCATGGAGTCGGAGGTGCAGTTTCCAAGAGTCGTGAAAAACCGTTAACGATGACCAGGTAGTGCGCAGTGCATTTGCATCTTCTTGTACATCTACTCGATAGGTGGAGCCCTCGATCCTGGATACTGGCGGTATCTTTGTCGATTTTGTAGGAGGATGGACTCGGGCAGACCCGAGCCCTCAGCCTTTTCCATTCCCTTGCCCTGGTCGTTGCTCTGCATCTCAACGTTCTTCCATATTCTTCTCTGGGCCAGTTTCGAGGTTGACACTTCTGTGATACGTAAGAGCCGAAGCCGTGCATCCCACACCCACGCAGGCCAAGAATCTCACTGCTTCTTCATCCATACATCGGCCGAAGACATGCACACAAGCATGTCAGCGCCATATGTCTGGCCAGCTTGTTACGTCTAGAGTAAATCAATGGCGCCACCATTTTCTTTCTTTTGTTTGTTGCTAAACATAGCCAAATCCTTCATATTCACCCCCGCGCCGCGCCTCCGGCATGTGGCGATCAGCTGCTTAAGTGCAATGCTACTCAACCAACCTGAGGGAACGCCTTGCATGAAAGGTCACACAAGATACGCATATTGACACGCTGGCTCGCATTTGGACGGTTCCTCTCGTTGTACGGAGTAAACAGCTGCTGACACGCGAGCTCTCCGCGGGGGTAGCCGAGTAAAGAGGCGAAACGACAAGCTGAATGCATCGCAACATGGTCGTCTCGAATGCATATACTCAAGCATTGGCATTATTTCCCTAGTCATTTTGAAAAAGAGTTTCACATCTCTCATCACGAACCACATATCGTACGTTCGTCCTTTGCCAATACATACGTGTGCGATTTCTTCGGTCTACCCCGGACCCCGTATATAGGGGACCATGGCCAGGACTTTTTCGTCTTGTCATCATGTCATTCCCGCCTCCCGCCCACTCTTCTCATACATATGCATGTTTACGATATATCCCTCAACGGACTTAAGAATGGGTTGACGCACGCCAAAAGATGGCCCGGAGGATAAAGAAAAGCCTAGGCTTAGACTCCATCGACAAAATGCGATCCCCTGGCCAACTAGACTACTGTCGAAGAGAAACCTCCGGTGTTCAATAAACGCCGTTCGGTGAGTTTACAGAATGGTAGCGAGAGTTTACTGTGGTCAATGGCTTCCCTGACCGCCGAGCCGAACTTGATTCAGGCACCAATTTCGGCCCGATGGCGTTAATGCGGACCACTTTGCGATAGCAAACAGCTTGATGCGATTGAATCTCTGACCAAGAATCACCAGTCGGACTCTGCAGGTAGTGCCAAAAGCGAATCTGACACAATTGTGGGACTTTTTTCGCTGCTCAGAACCCGTTCTTGAAGCTGTAGCTCTCATTAATGCTGAGATGCAGACGGAAAAAGGTTAAACCGCCCAAGTTTTCTCCAGTTTTGGAAGTCTTCACCCTTCCTTCGCTTCAATAGTCTACTTTCTTGCATCTCATCCCTGTACACGCTAATGAAGCAAATCACTTTAGTCCTGATGTCCACCCGTGCAGTGGAGACAGGGGGTAGCGGGTTGTAAGTCTTCCCCTTAACCTATATATTATTGCAAAAATAGCACACTTCTCCTCCGTACCTAAGTGCCTGGTTGTTGACGTTAGCACTGCTACCATATGCAGTCGTTGGCAACATCTGAATTATACTATATCATCGTATATGATATAGCTCTGCATGGTTGATGGCGCAATTGGCCTTTGTGGACACCTTAACCTTCCGTTATCTCTCCTCAATTGGTTTCAATAGGCGGCTTCAAATCCCTGTATGCTCCGGAGGTACTATACCATCTGCTATGTACATGGGCCACTTGGAGGGACGACCCTCGACACTCCTCCGCATTAGTCGTCTGTCTCGGGATTGATACTTCATCGGATGGCGACCAGTCCATCTCCGACAAATGAGCAGGCATGTATATACATATTCACCCCTGTCGTCAAGCTTGGAAAGCTCTCCCTAGTGCGACTATACCTTGACAGCCCGGAAAATTGTTCCAGTCGACTGGTCACTTAGCTGGCCGACTCCTCCTCTGCCATGTACGGGAATGCAGCCTAATCCTGAATATCTCCTTCCCACGCCTTTTCTTCGACTCAAGGGACGGCCTCCATGACCGATAATGCATATACCCTAGGAATTTGGAAAACTAACACCAGAACTTTGAAATCACTAAGACTTGTAGCGGAATGTT